GCTCGTCGGCGGCGAGTCTTTTGTTTTCCGAAAAGCTTTTGATAAATTCAAGTTTCGCACGCGTGCAGCGCGAGCAGTTAGTCAAAGGCTGCGTTTTGCTGCCTTCTTTGCTACAGTAATTGGCGTATCGAAATCAATGTTACAACGATTGATAAGAATTCCATTAAGAGCCAAAAGCTCCGGGCTTTTAGCGTGAAAAGCTGTCAGCGCGGATGTGACGAGGTGCGCGCGCGTGCATGTTCATTTACACTTGTAAATATCATTCCGGCAGAATAAACGAACGACAATTTGCCACCGAATGTAAAAGACCCGCCTGGATTGGCCGAAAAGATACGGAGAGCGTGCTCCTAGAAAAACAACGTCGCGGAGAAAGTGCGCGCGCACACACACACACGCACACACACAACGCCCACGCGATGCGCGCAGCTTGCCCTTGGACGTTCGTTAATTATATCGCTGATTTAGCGCTCAACTTTCGGTGACTCATTGCCACTTGTTATTGAACGTGCTTAATCTCGTGGCTCTCCATGTATATGTCTGCCGTAAAGACGTGAATTTTCAAAACGCAAGCGATATATTAGTCATCTATTTCTCTTTTTTTTCCATGGCCGAAATTCTCCATCGGGGAAAAAAGCTCGCTTGCAATACTAATATTAGAAGATTATAACCGCGAGATGTTTCCAACGCATGCGAGCGTAAATCTTCTGCCTTTCCCCGTTTCCTTCCAACTAATCAAGTGACGTAAATTTTGCACGCAGAATCCAGCGTCAATGGAATAAATAAATACGTAAATAAAAAAAAGATAAAGTCGCTGCCACTTCGTCTCCCGCTGCACGAAGAAAAATAATAATAATCAAGAGATCCGCGGCCTTTATTGGCGACGCACACACGCGCGCGCGCAGACACCCTCGTGCATGTACACTTTTATCGGCGACGCTTTTAACGGGGCGAAAGGCAAGATAGGCCGCAAAACCGACGGACGTCCGATAACGCCTACATTACGGGCGTTCGATTTCGCTACACAAGCTTTCCCCAAAAGTATATACGTATACAACGCGCGCGCCTCGTGTACGTGCAACCATATAACGCCATTACGATGACAATCGCTCGCTCATCGATTTATTGATTTTGCGTATACGTGTAGCCGAGCTTTATGGCTCTCTTCCTCATTTTCTTTTTTTTTTCTACCTCCTCCTCGATGCGTGCGATGATGGCTGCTGTGTCGTGTGCGCGTATCACCGCTGATGGCAAGAAATAGATTCATTGGCCGAGGAATCTCGCGCATCCGCGGTGAAGAAGGGGCTTTTGATTTGTATACGAGGTGACAAGTGTTTTGCATTTTTTTTCTTCTGCTTCTCGCTTGGATTCCGATGCGGTTTAATCCAATGTGCGATAACGATCGATATTTTTTTTTCTCGCTTATTCCAGCAAACAAATGATTAATCCGTCGCCGAGATTTATAATTTCGCTGTTTCTCGGAAATAAAGAAGACTTTTGGACAGCCACTGTAATAAATGAAATGTAAGCTAAAAGTGCGTCGAGTCACGTGTGCGTAGAGCGCAAATAAAGTGACCTTCTCCGAGGTCGTACTCGTATTTTTACGTTTTCGCGCAGCTGTTCTTTATTGCCGAGATTAAAAATATATTGTAATCTTCGGGATTCGTTATACATTGACGAACGATGCATGGTAAAATGTGTTTGAACAACGAAAGACGTCCGCTACTGAGAAGTTCCGTTTGGATGATGTGTGTAAATTTTTATTTTATTTTATTTATTTTATTTTTTTTTTTTTTTGCAGGAGAATTCTTCCGAAAATTATTCACGATCATCCCAGTCAGATCAAGTGATAAATATTTTTTAACGGGAAATAAAATTTGAGAATATTTTGATTTTTGGAACTTTAGACGCGTTAACAGGCAGTTTCCTCTTCAAAAGCATTCAAGACGGAAAAATACAATCGAACGAGTAGACATTTCAAGTCGAAGCAAAAATAATTTGGCATGATTTTTTGTTCAACATCTCTATTTAAAAAAGACATGCGAAATCCGTACTAGACTTTGCCGAGCTCCTCGACAATTTCCCCATAAGCCAAAGAAAAAAAAAAAGAGGGGGGAGTGAGGAAAAAAATGCTCACCCTCTCTCGAAACGAAATTGCAGCGCTGCAGGGGTTTGAGCCATGCAGCTTGAAAAATCGATGGCGTGCACTATACCTGGCTTGCGCGCAACCAACTTTTGACCTGGTTTTTCCGCGGGCAAATCCTTTCGCTGCCGAGCCATCGCTTGCGATTCCGCACCCGAGGACTTTGATTTTGGCCCTAGAATTTCATCTCGCTCCTCTTTTTCGACCCGAGTTTTTCAAGTGCCATTACTTAAAAAAGAAGAAGAAAGAGTTTCGTTGACTTCGCTGCATACAGATAAAGTCTAAGTGGATCGAGTTTGAAAGTGTTAATCGGAATTTCGAAGATGTATTTGTACTTCGTGCTAGCTTAATTTCTATACGAGTGGAAATGAAAAAAGTAATATTTAATGAGGATGTCCAATTTTTATTTGAAAAATCTAGATATGACGTGCCTAAAAAATATGAAAGTCAATTCATCATTCATATCTCATTGCGAATTCTCGAGCAGCTGCGAACTACGCGAATGTGATTGATGCGAAGCGAAGCCAAGTAGTTAAAAATTAAAATGATACGCTCGAGTAGTCATGAGGAAAAACAACGCGGCTCGAGCTTTCGAACGTACGAATTTCGATCACAGCAGTAGTAAAATAAACGAGAGAAAGAAACAATGCGGCGGATTGAGCGAAAGAAGTTCGAACGGGCCGTGTATAAGAGGTAGCTTTTATAGCAAATAGCTTGGCAAACGCTCATCAGTCTTGCGCTGCCGCGCGAGTTTACATTAACCCTGCATGAGAGAGCGGCCAACTTTCTCAAGTTCAAGTACGCCGTACATAAGCTCGTCGTTGCAGCGAGCAGATATGCGTTGTACGAGCGAGAGAGAGAGAGAGAGAGAGAGAGAGAGAGAGAGAAACAGAAAACCTTTTCTCTCTTTCAAACGCATCACGTTTGCCGTCCCTTCCCGCAACTCTTTTTTTGTAGCCGCTCCTCCCGCTAAAAAGTAAGTCAAACTCCGCTGGCGGTGGCTTGTCGTTTCGGCGCGCGAGGCAAGAAAAAAAAACTAGGAGTACAGTCGGCGTCGTCACCGCCGCCCGACGCTGCAGGAGGAGGAGGAGGAGGAGGAGGATGGCGGCGGCGCTAATTCGTAACCTTGGAAACCTGTTCCCGTGAAAAATCAATAATTTGCCGGTACGGAAGACCCGAGGTGCGCGCGCGTCCGCCCTCTCGTGCAACTTTTCCATCCCGGCGCTATACACGACGCCCCCCCTCCTCTTATAACGACGGCGACGACCTCAGCCGCGCAGAATTTTTTAACTCGAAAGAGCTGCGATTTATGTTTGATGAACTTGTCGGATGTACGATTGCCTAGGCATAGGCTTTTTTTGAGGCAGTGGGGCACGCTTTTTTGTTTTGCAATGATTTTTGGCAATCGACGGAATATATGATTGAGTTGCCGTGTTGAGTGTCAGCCTACATTCGAATAGTGTAAGTGTAAGAAGCACTAATAGTCTTTTATTTATAGAGAATCATATCAGCTGTGTTTACGTTGTAGTACTAATAACCCTCCAACTTTCGAAAGTTTCATTGCCTAGTTCATGGTACATAACTACACTTATACGATATTATGGTGCATAACAAATATTTCGCATCCATCAATTCGAACTGTAAATTATCACCTTTATATTTGCTCATCTGTCAAAGTTAATTTCTCGTAATAAACATTAGCATCGTTTGTAATTTCGCATTATTATGGCAGTCAAAAATAGTGCTTTCTTAATATTGGCGCATTGAAGCTTTCGTCGTAATATAAAAACCAAAATCAACCGACCTTCTACTAATTGAATTAAACAACAACGGCAACAAAAGCATACTCCAAAACGGCAAAAAGCAGCACGAAAGCCTGGCAGGATTATTTTTACAAAGCAATTTTTCTCACGTCAAACTCCATTTCGTGCACGAAACATTGAATGACGAAAGAGAGAGAGAGAGCGCAATGTTTTTGTACAAACCAACGTGGTAACAAATATCGCAAGGAAAAAGAAAAAATTAGTCGGGTGCGTCCAGTCCTGGAAATTACACTCCATCATTCATCACGCGGCAGCGCATTAGCAGAGCATACACAGACATTTTCGGAAAAGGGGGCAGGAGAGACTATAGCCGATCCGATTACGCGAATCCTTCTCTCTCTCTCTCTCTCTCTCTCTCTCTCTCGTCTGCAGTGCGTATAAGCCTCTTTGGGTAAGCTTCGTCGGTATCGCGTCTTGTGTTCTTATTTTTCGTTTTTCTTTTCTCTTCTCTACTTCTCTATTCGTCTCATTGTACGGTAGACTTCAACGGATCCACGTGATTTCTCATGATTTGCTGATAGCTAATCATAGAACGTAGTTAACTTTTGTTATTCGCTATTTCAGTTAAATTTGCTTTTATTTTCCAAATTTGGAATCAAAGCATTGCTTTTCCAAATAGGTTGCTGCGTTTTGAAGCAACAAATGCAGTATATTGAATTAAAAAATAATATTGAATATACTGTCTTAAAATGAAAATAAATTATCGTCGTTTTATCACTGCAATACCAACAAATATTGAAATTATTCCTAATTTAATCATGACTTGGGTGTAGTAAAATTAAATTTCGCAATAAAGATATTTTAGGTGTGTGATTAATTAATTTTCATGAGTGTAGGCATTCAACAAAAATGTATTGTTCAACGAAAACATTAATCAAAGAAACAATAACGTAGCCTATCCAAAACAGCCAAATTCTTAGTAAAGCAAAAGCCGCGTGCTCTCTTTCTGTCTCGGCGCGTTATGTGTGTACCCCCACCTCGTCGCTCGCGGTATAAATTTGACAGGCGTATAAAGCATTAAAATCGCAGTAGTCGACTAGTAGACATGGCAGGATGAGCAGGAAACGGAGCAGGAGCAGCAGTCGTCGTGCATGGGATCTCGTCGGTGAGGTTGACTTGCTGTCGGTGAGGAAATTTCATTTCCCCTCTATCTTGTGCGCGTATAGGGGTTATATTGCGTGCACCGTGCTTTTTGGATGATCACTTGAACGTGTGAGGGGGCATACTGATACGACCTTATAACCTAAATGACACGTGAACAGGTTGTCGTTTTATCGAATGTTTATTATCCTTTTAATTAGAGATAGTAATTAGGTGGAGTAAATAATGTGTGCAATTATTAATTGTCGCGTGTGGAGCACAGTGCAACCATAGTCAAAATAGCAACATTCGAAACCGTTTTTATTTTACGGAACGATTAGCGTGAGGATTCTCGGAATGAGATACACAGCAATTGGGATGAGCGTTGACTTGTGGCGGCGAGTAAATTTTTCTTGGAATTTCTTGTGTATTATTTATTTGTGACTTGCAATAAATTAGCGTTTCCAAAAATAAGACTCAGTTATTCACGCAATTTGTGAAAAAAATCTGTACACTATCACCTTGCAAGATCTGTCTAAAGTAAGACAAAACGAATCGTCGATCGGTCGTTTCCGCTATGACACGAACTCGTGATATTTCTCGCGGTATAGTGTGACGCGCGCGCGGGTAAAAACATCCATAATTCGCGGGGCGAAGAAACTTGTTGCGCTCTATTAATCTTACTTCTCGTTCGCGCAGACGGAGCTCGATTGTTTTTTTAATGCGGTGCTGCGCGGCACAGGTGACGTTTTATTCGCTTGGGAAAAGACGAGCCGCCGCGTGCTTTTTTCCTCTCTCTTTACGATCGATAAAATTTTTGATGATATCGTTACAATGCGCTGGGATTTATGCATTTTTATGCTTTACAGGACTGCCATAGAATTTACGCTCGCGGTGTTACGTAAGTAACTACGACACTGATAGGAGGGGGGGGGGGGGTCTTATACATTTTGTGCGCGAATAATGTTTATGATTGCTTATTATTCGAGAAGAAATTGTTTTTAGATAAACGTTCGGTCGGAATGTTGGCTTACGATTTTTTGTTAGACGTAATTATTTTTTTCTATGCAAAATCATTGTGGTAGTTGAACTTGATGTGATTTCTTAAATTAGTCAATGAAAAAACTGTTTGTCTTATAAAAAATATGACTACATAAAAAAATCGCCCATAGACAGTAAATTTCCTTGCGGATAAGCTATCGGCTAGATCGCACTATAAAAAGAAATCTTAGTACTGTTTCTCCTTTTTTTCTTTATACAAATAGCCCATCAAAGCTGAATGGAGACATAAATTTCCACGTTTATCACCCCATCTCGAAAAGTTTCAATTACCTCGATAAAACTTGAAAAGGCGCAACTTGTTGATTTTATAAAGTACATGTTCCTCCTTCGAGCAGCCTGACAAATCATCTTACAAAAGTTCAATAAAAACCTCGTTAAAGTTGTATTGTTTGCGAAAGACAATTTCACGATGAGAAATAAACTCGGCATGAATGAAACCGTTTTCACGACACGATTGTAAACACAATGTATATACAGAGAGAGAGAGAGAGAGAGAGAGTCCTTCCATTCATCGTGGTGTAAAAAAATGAAAAAATGAAATGAGCGAAAGAAAAGAGAGCGAGAGAGAGCGAGAGAGAGAGAGAGAGAGAGAGAGAGAGAGAGAGAGAGAGACTTGGCCGACCAACCCTCCTTTCGCCTATATTATACCCTCGATTTATAAACTTTTCACGAGGGAAGTAGGGAGAAAAAAAGTTAGGGAAGACGCGAACGACCTTTGACCCTTTTTTTTGACGTGAATTATTCATGTGCGAGAATAGTATCGAATGCGTGTCACATACCTATGACGAGGCTTTTTTTCAGGATGTTTACAGGAGGATATAGCATGTAATTGGTTGCGGTTCTTTTTCTTTCATAATTTTTTTCTCCGAAAATAGTTGTATTAAATTAATGATAATGAAAAAGCCAATGATTTTTTTGATGGATGATTTATACTATCTATTGAAAAAATATTGTTACTCAATTCAAATTAAAAACAAATTTTTTAATCAAATTTCTTTCGATTGTCATATGCATATATAAGGGGAAAACGAACAGATATGGCAGACGCATCCTTTTTTTCTTCGTTGTTTAAAATATAAATAAAATTATATATTTTTACAAATGAGGCACATCGTTACAGATACATAAAAGGATCACTACTGAGAACTTCTGGTCGGATAACGTATGGAGAGAGACGGCGACAAACACTTCGTTCGTTCTCGATCATGATTACGCTGGAAAATGTTCGACAATCTACGAAGACACACGGCAAGCCAGTAGAAACGTCAATCCCAGCGATGAAAAAGCTTCCGTTGACAGCGTTCTGACGATTGTCAGCGTTGAAGTTAACACAGATGACAGTCTAATGGATCAAGACTTGCAGAATAACGTGGACATTTCGAGCAGCAATGAAGATCAAACGAAACATGAAAGCTCATTTGTCTTCAGCGAAAATACGTCGCATTCGTTTATCGAACGTCGTGAAACTTCCACCACTTACACCACCGACGACAGCGGCATTGAGAGTTGCGATTCTACCTTCGCCGAAGATTCTTCACTTAAAAAAACTGATGATCAAGTAGATACGACAACCACAATAATCTCGAAGAAGAGAAATTGCGCCACGAAGAGAAGTAGAGAGACGCTAATTAGTGAAGAGTCACCTGTGATCGAGGGTCAATTTGAATTATCCCGAAGAGTTACTAGGCTTCAGCTGAAATGTAACAATGAAAAATCTACCAAACCGACGGTCGACAATGTTCCTGGAAAAATTGTTTGGGGATGCTTCAGCAGTGGATGGTGGCCCGGTGAGTTAAGATTAACTTATGTTCCTGAATAAATTAATTTAAATTTCATTGCATTGTATATTACAAATAATGAATATTTGTAAAGAAAGCTTTTGCTGTGATTTATCGATATCAATAATAAAATGAAATTATATAAATTGTAATGAAACAATGTAAATGAAAATTCTATTTTTTTAGTATAACTTTAAAAAAATTTGTGTACGAAAAAGAATAAAAATGTAAAAATAATCGTTTTACACTAGTTTATATAAAACAAATGTAACAATCGTTCATTTACTGAATAAATTTGAGAAATTTTCAAATACATTATTGTCTTTGGCTTGCAAGCTTGGAATCAAATGAATATTGTTTTTAAATAGAAATAGTTCAAAACTGTTCTAATCAACACTAACTTCTAATCAACAGCAATCATAATAAAAGCCGAAGATGCAGGAATGTTCGACAATAAAGGCAAGATATGGGTTTACTGGATTGGAGAAAAACTTATATCTCAGGTAGTATAACATATAAACTTAACAACAAATCAGCCTCTACATAATCATTCCATAAGTATTAATTTTTGGAATTCTGTTCAAAGTTGCCTGAAAAATGCGTAGATTCTTTCTCTAATGAATTGGAAGCGCGATTTACTAGTTTATGCTCTACAGTTAATTCAAAAAGTGCTTTCAGAAAGCAAAAGGAAGATGCATGTTCTAGAATTATTCAGGTATATTTGATTAATAATTGAGCAAATATTTCGATAACAGGATTAAAATTAATCTGCGTCATTTCAGTTGTTGCGAAAAGAATTCCCTAACGGAGCACTCATAAAGCCATATACTTCATGGTTAAAAATCAATGTTTTACCTTACAAAGATAAACGTAAGTTTAATTGGTTAAAATATAATAATTTAAATGATTTATTTTATACTTTTCTGATGATCTCAGTGGATAATTTACTTCTATATCCGTACCCAAAAAGCCTTGAAGAAAAACTAAACGAGCTAAAAACAGTGAATTCTAAAAAGAACGAAAGATACCTACGTCAGATAAAAAAAGAACGTAATTATATATTCATTTTTGTTTGTTTCTTCATTTTTTCATTTACATTTCTTTCAAAAAAAAATAATGATTCTGTAGAAGACAAGGAAACGACAGAAGTGAAAAATCCAACTCGAAAAGTTGAAAAGCCGGAAAAACCCGTGGAAGAGGGTGGAATCGATATAATGGATCAGAAGCCAGGCATGATTGTTTGGGCAAAAATCCAGGGATACAGCTATTGGCCTTGTAATGCCATGCTCTTCAAAACTTCCTACACTTGATATTAAAAATTCCCGTTATTTTTTTTACAGGTGTTATTATGGAATATCAGCATCTCAACAAGAGACAACCAAATGTTGCTCACCAGTGGGTTATGTGGTATGGCGATTACAAATATTCCCAAGTTAATCTTTATTTCGCTGTTTCAATTTTGAAGTATAAATTAATGAATATATGAAATTGACACCTTGGTCTTTTGTATTTGCAGATCGAGTACCATCATATCCTTCAATTTACGGCAGGTATGAAGAAGATGGAGTCTAAAATACGAACTACAAAAGACGAATTATTTTGCAAAGCTGTGTTGCGAGCATGCCAGGTATAATCAGCTTTCCAAAAGTTTTAAAATACAAAAGACAAACGATATCCAATAGATCTGTACTTTAGGATTATGGTGAGCAATTGGAGTACGTCACGGATAAATGGGATATCCCGTACGTTACTTATCTATTTTGCGTATCGAGAGAACAATTAAAATTCAAAGATGCAGCGTTGCAAGAATATCGTGGAGAAGAACTTTATTCACCTACTATTCAAAAGCAGTTGAGAAAGCAAGTGAAAAATCAGCCCGTGGACGAAACCAGAAAACAACTGATACTTGAATGCAGTATGTATTTCATGAAATTTATGTTGTAAGTTATAACGAAATAATTTATTTAAACATTCCTTTATTATAGGAAACTTGAAACTTGTCTTTGCCAAGAAGTATCCGTTAAAATCATTGTGTATATCGTGCTTAAAATCCGATGAATATCTGGAAGAGCATCCATTTTTCTATGCATCATTGTGCAATCCCTGTTTGGTAATGCATGTATGAATAATATAAAAATTCTTAAAAATATCACTATTGCATGTTTGGTCTGTTTTAGGAGGATTTCAGGCCGAAAATGTTTGCTTACGGAAACGACGCAAAATGCGTAAGCAAATCAATTCATGCTAGAATATATTCATCATAATCATTTTATTAATTACAGCTTTATCTCTTTCTAGTTTTACTGCAGTCTTTGCGGCGATGAAGATTTGATAGCAATGTGCGACAACGTAGACTGTCCAAGGTACAGTTGATCAATTAAAATTTTCAATAAAATTTGATAATGTAACTATTTCCCCTCCCACAGGGTATTCTGCACAGCATGTATCAAATACATCATCTGTCCTGAGTACTACGAGGAAGTTTTACTTCGACATCCATGGTACTGTTTTCTCTGCGATCAAAAATCAATCGAGATGAAAAGCAGCATGATGAAAGTGCGCAAAGATTGGCAAGCTCGTTTAATTAGTCTATATCGCATCAATTGTAGTGATTTCGTTCCGTCGAATTTACAACGACTTGGTTGTAATAGAAAAATTCGAGTTTTGTCGTTATTTGATGGTATTGGCACTGGTAAGTAAAATTTATCAACAAATTTGTTCATGAAAAGTAATCTTAACTTTGTTTTTATTTTTAGGATTACTGGTTCTAAAGAATCTAAAAATCGACATCGACTGTTACTATGCGAGCGAGATTGATCCCGATTCGATACAGGTTAGCTTTTTCAATTACGGCCACGAAATAATACAGTTAGGTGATGTAAGAAACATCGACGACAAGAAGATCAAAGAAATCGCGCCTATCGATTTACTCATCGGTGGATCGCCGTGCAATGAATTAAGCTTAGCTAATCCAAAAAGGCGTGGTTTAGATGGTAATTATTTTGTGATAAAATTATGAAATGGTATAAAAAAAATTTGGTTACATTCGAAAACTACATGAATTACAGATCCTGAAGGTACGGGGGTTCTTTTTTATGACTACGTGAGAATAAAGAAAATTCTTATCAAGTACAACAAAAAACGTCATTTGTTTTGGTTGTTTGAGAATGTAGCTTCAATGCCCAAAAAATTTAAAAATCAAATAAGCGAGTAAGTGTAAACTATTTACAAAAAGCAAAATGAAAACTAAAATAAGTATTTATTTTTCATTTCACGTAGAAATTTAGGACGAGAGCCATTATTTTTAGACTCAGCCGATTTCTCAGCGCAACATAGACCAAGACTCTATTGGGGTAATTTGCCATGGGGTCCTTATCAGGTGAATAATGTGATTCTGCAAGACATATTGAGAAAACAGTGCAAGCGCCAGGCACTTGTAAAAAAAATAATGACCGTAACCACGAGGATGAATTCACTGAATCAAAGTAGGTTTAATTCTTTTACTGTAAATAATAAAAATATAGAAAAAGTCAAATAGTTTATCTTTTGTTTTTCTAGAAAATTATTTATTTGTTACGTCTCTGTCAAGTTTTCAGTACATTTTTTTCTATTAATGTTACAGCGAAAGAAAACTTGAAACCAGTGCTGATGAACGGAAAGAAGGACATGTTATGGGTGACCGAGCTTGAGGAAATATTTGGTTTTCCTATTCATTACACGGATGCTAATCTGCAGAAAACTCGTAGACTGCAACTTATCGGGAAAGCTTGGAGCGTACAAACTCTCGTTGCAATTCTTCGCCCCCTGTTCTACTTTTGATTGTTCTTAAGATTTTTCATTTAAACAATATTTTTAGTGTGCCAATTTTTACAGTTTAGATGATATTTATGAATAATTTACATATATTCATTTACATATATTACATATATTGTGTGTAAACAATTTTTAATATTATATTCTACTTGTACGTCGTTTAGCATTTTTAGCAAATCAAAAAATTCATAGAATAAGCCATTGTTTTTAAATATATATGAAACAAATGTAATTTCTGAATGTCATTAATAATAAAATTACCAAGAAATATGTTAAAACAATCTATATATTACAAAATTATGACAAAAGTTTTAATTACAATAAATTTTTGAGTCAGTCGAATGCTTTTTTATACATTTAAACTAACAAGTTACGATTAAAAAAATGTTATGTAATCATTCGTTTATTATTCATATCTCGTATATGTAAATACTTTGTAAAAATATAGGTTGAATTTATTAATAAAACATTTAGACGTATTTATGTATACGTTACTGTATGATCTCCATATTGAATGATCGATACATTTTTACAAATTCAGTTTTATACAATGTCATAAAAAAAAAAGAAAGCGAGAATTTTTAGACAAAACGAATAGCAGAAAAAATATTTGAATCATTCTGCACGATATAGAAAAATGTATGAATAAAACGATAGTTTAACGAGATATAAGAAACGTTCACTCTTAAGTATTCTTATTCTGATCGATACGGAAGTTACCTCGACGAGGTTCGCGACTAGTCGGCAATCCACCTCTATCACCAGCGTATGGTGCATTTCCATGCAACAAAGTAAATGGTACTGGAGTGCAACCGACTAAGATGTTCACATGACATAAATCGGATTCTTTGAGTGGCGTATTGATGTAGATCTCACGACGTTTCATGTCGATGCCTCTCACTATGCCTATGAAAATTCAATTATTTTAGACAAATATATGTATATATATATATATATTATAATAATTTCATTAGTTTACGTATTTTAATAAAGCAAGTAGTTTCATAAAATTATTTGTAGTTAAAGTAGTTTACAACAAACTTACAAATATTATTTTTTCAAGTTACTACGAGACAAAAATATTTAAAAATTATTTAAAAATAAAATCATATTTTGTCAGGATTTGTCACTCAAAATGATTTGATCTCAACTAATTTGACAATAAAAATTCTATTGTTACCATAGCCATAGCAAGTACATGACGGTGGTTTTATTATCACCATAGGATAATTTAAAGTTTCTTTGATTTCTTCTGAAGTTTCATCGTCCAGATCAGTACCACACAAAGCAACGATGTTTCCATTCATTGCCGATAGTATGTGAGTCGGCGATGTATTTGATTTTATTAATGCAACATAAAACGATGAGAATGGCAGTCTGCAAAAAAATTGAAATTTGAAATCCGTATTTTCTTTTTTCATTTCTATATCAATAAAATATAACTAATACTAACGTGTATGGAATTATGTTGTTGATGCTGTTGGACGTGAAATTGCAAAAGCTGAAATTTTTAATAAAATTATAGTTTCTGTCAACATCAATAAACAGAATATCAAAAACACTTCATGTAAAATGAATATTTCTTACTTTTTATCATCAGCATTACTAATAATTTGACTAAGATAAGAAAGCAAAACAAGTTCTCGTTGTTGTCGAGGTTCCATATTCCAGGTTTCAAACTGACGTTTACCCTCGGCTACAGATGGAACGTGATGTAGTTCATAATCGCAAATTTTCTCATAAACAACGCTGTCATTGCTTAGAAAATTCAAAGAAGTTTTCTAAAAACCAAAGGTACGACATTAATTAGTATTATTTATTAATATTGGTGTTAAAGATTCAAATAAAAAAAAAATTACATATTCATTAATAGTTTGTTTGAACAAGGAAAACTCAAAGTTATTCTTTGGTCTTCTAGACATAATCTGCACAACATTGCTTGGTTGAATAAGTTTTATTAGGAAAATACAGATGTCAAGACCAATCCCTTTGCAGAATCCCATAGTATTTACAACAATTGGATATTGCTGCAGATCTTTTGTACTCTTTAGACATTCAACTAATTTTTTAGCACACTCAATGTATCGAGTCATGCAGTTTGTAACAGTTACATCTTCCAAGTAGTACTGGGAATAAGGCATTTTCAGGTGTGTGAAGTTTGGTCCAAGCAAATGTTCTTCTACAACATTTAACGACATACAACCAGGTGGTGTCATTTCTGTTTGCCCAATGTCCAAATCCAGCAACACAACTTTCTCGGAATACCTTAGTAAATTGTTAATCAAATATCTAGCAGTTGTGGATTTGCCTACACCTTTGCCTCCAACAATTACTGTGGACATAGACTTAGTCAATTGCCACTGTTTTAATAATTGTTTAGTTACATTTTGATTCCACTGAGGACCAATAGATATTTCATCTGCTGAGCAGGTGCATTGGAAATATGCTTGAAGAATGTATTCAGCTCGTTTTGGATCACACCAGGAATACCTCATATTTTCTATTTTAGGAAATAGCTTAAATGAACTGTAGGAATTGAGAAAGTTTGTCAGTGTATTTTCAAAATTTTCCAGGAGAAGAACAGTCCAACCATCTTTACATTCCTGAATGGAATCATGTAATTTTGTTTTGAGGGATCTGTCTACACCTTCTGAGGTCAAACAATCCCATAAAGCTTCTTTATCGTGCATACCATTTGTGTTAGAGGTTGAGATGCTGATAGAACTGTATCCTTTTGGAGAGTAGACTTCTAAAGGTTTCAATGTATTTTGAGAGTTGAATAAAGAACCATAGAGCTCTATAGCTCCATACAATACTCTTATTTTCAATTTTCCTAAAAATGAAAATTGAGCTCCTGGATAAAGTACTAAGATAACTTTATTCTCTAGTGAAAAAAATTTGGCAATGTTTGGATGGTATGTTGAGGTTGTATTTTCTAGTTGAGCAGTGTTTCTAGAAACTATATTTGCTAAAGTTCTTTCATCTGTGACTGATTGATCAACTGTCAAAAGTGACTTTTTCTTAGATTTTTTATTGATGTTTAATGATTTATTGGCAAGATTTTCAAATCCTTTTGTTACCTCTTCATAGAATTCTTTTAAAGCATCTGGTATGTTAGAATCTTGTTCAGCATTTAACGTTTCATTGGATTCTGTATTAAAATCTTCTACATTATTTGATTTATCATTAGATTCTTTTAAAGGATCTTGTGCATTAGAATTTGTTTCAACATTAGTTTTACTGGTATCTGTATTTAAATTTTCAAGAGCTTCTGGTATTTTACTACATGTATCATTGAAACTACCTATCACTTTTGAAGTACTGGATGGTTTGACTTTAGTATTCCCTGGAACGATTTCAAGATCGGTATACGAATCTTCAGAAGCTGAATCATTGTTTTCATTTGCCTTCTCAACCATCTTCTGATTCATAGATGTTAATTTATTTTGAAAACTGTTTTCGTTGCTTGACTTTCCTTTTTTTGATTTATCTCTAAGAATGGCAGGTATGTAATAACTAGATGGCTTTTTAAGATGAGCTTCAATGACAACTGGTTTCATATGATAATGTGAAATATCCTTTTCATATTCTATATCACATTCAAATTTTCTTGGAATATGATAATTCACTGAAAAAATAAATGTTATATAAATAAATTTTGCATTAGAAAATAGTGAATTTTATAAAAAACTATTGTATACTTGGAACTATATTTCCATGTTCATCAACTGGATCCAAAGAAGTTTTTGGAGTAATCAATTCAATACCAGTTGCTTCATCAACTGACCAATCAGCTAAAGAATCATTTAAAGTTTTCTGATTTGTAGAGTTAATTTTCTTTTTTACTTTACTCATTTTCTTACTTGTAGCATTAGTAGCTTTTGAATGACCAGCATTTTGGTAAAGCTTAGGCTTTGCACTAATAGACATAGTTATCATAGAATCTGTATCATCTTTACTCATTGATTCTGAAAGATTGTTTTCTATTTGCATTTTAACTTTTTTTTTTTTTATTTTTGGTTTTTCTCTCGAGGAATCTATTTTGCTTGCACTGGCTACCGAGCTAGATTCCATTGTTACTTTTTTCTTCTTTGGTTTTATTACATAAGCAAGGAATTTATCAGGTTCATTTTCGTCTTCGTATTCTATTGGATTCTTCTTTCTTTTACCCTTCTCTTTCTTTGAAACCATATTTTTCAATTAAAATAATAAATTTCCTAACCTTACAAACCTGAAAGATTAAAACATATTACAAATAAAAAATGTTCTAACTTTCTCTATTTTAACCTATAATTGTCAAGTTTTACTGAATACTGTCACATGCTTCTAAATTTGATAATTTACTTCTAATAAGAAAAGTCGCTTCTCAAATAATTAACATGTGTCCTATATTTACAATTTTAGTTACGAAAAAATACGAAAGTACGGAAGACCAGTGGTGCCATCGGGTGACAGACTCGGTTTCCTAAATTCCAATCAAAAGTCGAAGCATAGCAAAATAATAACACACTATTCTACCTAAGCAAACAAATAACGTTGAAGAACAAATGAATTATTTAATTCATAACTCATTAATACAATTTTTTATTTTAAATCATTACAATTTTAAGGTTATTATCTCGTAAACAACTTTTACTGCATTTAGTACACGCAATGACGAAACACTGATTTTCCCCAATAGATACGAAATCGTACGCGACAGGCAATTTCTATAGCGGGCTTTCTACTGCTGTCAACTTGAAATTACAAATTCTTAATATAACCTCAAAGTGATTAGACAAACTTACAAATACAAATAGTATATTTCAATGAGCATAAAAAGTATTCAAATTTTTATCCAATAGTTACTTTTAAAATACAGCTCAGATTAATTATAATTTTTATAATATTGTTATAACAAAACATTCGTAAATTAGAGTAATTTTGTTATCACTTTTGAGGCTATGTTGCATGAAATTGCAAAATTAGTTTATTATGAATTCTTAATTTGGCAGTAACTTGTTACGTACGATTATCGTACTATTGAATTAGAATTAGCCTAAAGATTTATTGGGAACCATAAAACCATAAATATATACATATAAAATATGTATTAGTTATTTATGCATTAGCAGCGTATCGAGTACCATTACGTTGGAGAAAATGTTTTTAGCGCGGGATAGTATGAAAGTAGAGGCGGCGAGAGTATAGCGAGGACTTGATAACCCCCTCTACAGATTCCTAGAATTTTACCAGACTTTCGTAAAACAAAGCATGTAAAATAATATTAATGATTTGCACTATAACGAAACATGTATTATATGCGGAGCCGGTACACGGCATCCTTATGAGAAATGTATTTGTTATCTACTGGATAATGCTTAATGCTATATTCACTTTGTCAGGTTCTTTTTTTTATAAGAGGATTTTTATTTTACAGAAATGATAACAATAATATAAATATGTACTTTTATTCTTAATAAATTAAATTTTAATGATAAATATAAATAATTATAATAAATATACGCATACAATATAAAGGTTAATAAAGTGTACATTATATTTTTTTAAATGAGATAAAAAAATGAAGATACCATTTATAATGGAATCTTAATATTTTATAAATTAAAATAAGTAGTGTGTATTTAAATACATGTGGTAATGGGCAATATATTTCAAATGTATTTAAATAAATACTAATGCAATAAAAAAATATTTAACTAAAACATAATCACACTTTTCAATAGCAAATTACAGTAAGAAATAATTTTAAGTATTATTAAAATAGTTAAAGATTTTTAAATATTATTAAAGAACAATTAATAATAAAATAGAATAATAAAATAGAAGCTACTTTTGATGGCAATGATTATAAAATAACGTTAATGTATAAATAAAGTCTTATTCTACACAAACGTCAGGTATAACGCACTTTTCTCCATACAATGTGAAAAGAATTTTATCAATATAATACCTATATGGATAACTCAGAATGAAAGTTTCCATAGAGTCATTACTATACTTAAAAATTAATTTAGTTATCAATTTAGCTTTCTCCAAACCTTCTTCACTGATGCCCCATACATCTTCAGGCTTTTGAAATATGAATAATTCATTTTCTTTAGGATAGGATTTTTTGAATTCATAAATAACTTGACATTTAATATTCATTTCAGTTTTCTAGAACAAAAATTAATCCATTTTTTAACTTTTATCAGTATCATATCTGTATTTATGTAGTAAATGTTTTAATAAATTATTGATGTTATAATTCAAATAGACATTCTAGAGTAAAATTATCCAAATCTATCTTACTTTAGTTGTAAGTAGCAACATTGCTAACTGTGGCCAGTTCTCTGTACAAGGTTTGCACATACAGTTGAAGAAAAAACTTTGTTTTAATAGTTGTTGTCTATCGTTTTTTGTCATTACTATTGATGGACCATAACTATCACATAACTAATACATATTCATGAATTGTATATTCAGAACAAAATAAAATATAGATTTTTTGGAATTTTATAGTACCTGATCACCTTTTTTGACTTGAGTAATGGTAAACATAATCATTTTTTTTTTTGGAAGAAACATTCTACTAAGATTAGGAGAGCAACTGTGATTTACAAGACTACAACATGGAGTAATAATAAGTCCTCTTTTGGAAGCGCAAGTGCATATAAAATCAGAATCAAGACAAGCACAAATAGAACCTTGATACTAAAAAATTGATAAAAATTTAATGTTTTATATTAATTAATTAATCATTTGACTAAAAATAAATTATACTATACCGAAAAAACATTCGCATCAGCAATTTCTCCAATTTTATGTAATATTATCTTCAATTGATTAATTAGTTCAATGCTAACTGTGTTTTGTGAGATTTTCTTTGCATCAAGAAGGTCAGTTTTAGTCAATAATAAAGTGATTAATTTTTTTATGTTGTAATCACTTATTTCTTGTATTTGTGCAGTGTATTGAGTATTACTTGACAAATTATAAAAAGATCGAAATTTATCATTTTGAAGTACTCCATTGGTTAACAAGCCTTTTATCTCATTATCTAAAAAAAGTTGAATAATTTTTAAAAGCTTTTATCACAATAAAATTAATAGATTATAAAAACCTCTTTCAGTATTTATAGTTTCAACATCATTTAATACACTATCAAGACCTTCATTCTTGACAGCTTTAAAAAATATTCTAAGAATGATTGGTATATTTCCTACATGAAATGTATTTTGGTCAGAAAGCAGAAATTTACAATAAGGATAAATACGACACTCAAGATCATGATAATCTTGCCAAGCTTTCTTCTTACATTCTTCACTGCAGTAAACAACGAAAGAACAATTGCTGCATGGAATACTATTCCAAGCGAATTGCAGACAATGTGAACACACAATATATCGTACACTATTGTTTGGAAAGCAGATGTAGCCATCTTCAACAATAATTACTTCTCCAGGGTTTATATCTTGTCCTGCTATAAAATGTCTACCCCATGTTTGATTATATTTTAAAAGAACAGACTCAGATGTGCATGGCATCATTGATGATGGCTTGGTGATACTTGGGAAGTTAAATGTTTCATTATCATTTTCTTTTTCTGAGGAATGCTGTGTATTATCAATGAGATTCAGAGATTTCATTAATTTCTCATTTGATATGACAATTTTTGCTTTGCGAGTTGTAAGTTTCAACAATAACTTTTTAGATTTAGAAATTTGTAAAGCTTTGTCAATATCAGCAATTGCTTCTTCAATACGCCCAATGTGCTCCAACAGTACAGATCTATTGCTATAAGCTGCAGCTAAACTCTCTGAATATTCAGGAGCAAATGCTATACTTTTTGAATAAACTCTCAAAACACCAAGGTGTAGTGCTTTATCATGTCTCTTTTGGCAAAAAAGGTTGTTTCCATGTTTACGTATTTCCTCTGAAATTTCTGAACTTTTTTTCAATAATTTTTCAAAATCATTTAATATTTCTTCACGATTGGAATTCATAATTGATGAACTTTTTGTGCCCTTTAGATACCTACAACTGCAAATTTCGTCAAATGTTTGAATAAATAACATTAGCTTTCTTTAGTTTAGTTCAATGAGTCGTAGACTAGAAGAATAATGTAAATATAAGACTGATGAACAAATATTTATACTTACGTTTTATTTTCTAGAAATCATCAATAACCTAATTTTAAGTAAAATTAGCGAAAAATCGGACACCATATGTATTTGAAATCACTTCAAAACGAAAAAAAAACAATGAATTGTGATCTCAGATAGTTCAATTATGTAACTTGAATATTATAATTCAAAATTTCTTGTGATTTATGGAACAGATCTATTTTTCTGAATCTTCTTTGTTCACCAAACAAAAAACTTAAAATAAAGTATGTTCGGAATGGAGGTTCCCAGTGTTGCCGCTGGAAAAATTATTCTCAGGCCCCGACCCCATATATATATATACGTACGCTTGCTTAGGCCCTGGTCCATGGAGACTGTATACAGGAGGCGAGGCAGGCCTATACCGCCCGTGTTAAAGCGTTCGGCAAACCCAAGTCACAGTCCCAAAGCAATTAGCCGATTTTAACGCTGCGTGCGGTAGTTAGTGAACTACTAGAAGACTTACAATATGAGCGCAGCTTATCGACCATGGAGACACAGTTTCCATGTTATCGACCATGGTACTGTAGGTGACGAAGATAACCCGCACGCGAATATCTTTTTTTATAAAAAGGGATAAATTAATTTTATAGAAAATGAATACTGTTTTACGATAAAAAAGTCTTGCTATTTTGTTCTTAAATGTACACTTTCAAAGTTGAGTGAATAACGTTGAATTTCCTATCATGAAAAAAAAAATATATATATATAATAACTAAATTTTTCGAAAAAGTTTTAGAAGTTTGTTTAAGTGAGATTGTTACACACACGCACACACACGTAGAATGATATTCAAGGTCATTTGAAGGTCACAGTGATTTTTTGCATAGGAACCTCTATTTTTGATTCCGGATTTGGAAATAACGAGAAATTCTACGTTTAGATGAGGTATTATGCGTGGGGTTTGATTGATGATGATGTTCCCGCATATATTTAATATAAACAATTAAATAATGAATATAAAAACTGAAATTAATATTTTAACTATTTGCGTAGTTCTTTAGATTTTAATTTTTTTGCATCATGGACAATATTGTGTCGCTCGCACGCCATTTTCATTCGTCTTTCTAAATAGTAAATTATGAATTTGTATGTTAATTTTATTACATGATCTGTACAACCAACAAACGCTAGAGAGTTCGTTTTTATTATTTTTTGAACAATGAACTGTATACTATCTCTAGTCATGCCATTATTACACTCAATTATAAAGGTCACACAATTTTCAACCATCTTAATTAATTCAAAAACATTATCGCTAGACTTAATTAAGCCACCAAAACTCTCTCTAGCATTTGTAAGTTGATGGCGTGCAGCAACACTGGAGAACGACTCCAAATGCAGATTGCAATTTTCGCACTCGTTGTCCAAATGTCGCGTCTCCCAATCTAAAGAAGATAATTGATTCTTTTTTTTTTGTCATTCAAAATCAAAGTAATTGCCAACATTTAGTTTTTACTAAATTCAAAACAGGTGACAATTACTAATAAATTAAAAAATAATTATAATTATTGTAAATTTTTATGTTAAAAATCTATGCTTTTTATACAATTGAATTATGGCTTTCGTAACAATATTTTTCTATTAAAAAGATAATTATTTTACACGGTAAAAATTTCGTAGATAGTTGACAATGACCACATTAATCATCGTAACTATCATTAAAGTTAAGTATATCGAATGTTATTTATTATTAGACATTATATTGTTTAATAAGGAAATATAAAAACAAAAAAAACTATAAAATTATTAAAATCGAGTGATCGAAAAGCGTATTCTACCATTTCAAAAAAATAACAAAAACGATATATTGCAAGACTTTTTCATCGTAAAATAGTATTAATTTTCTATAAAATTAATGGATTCCTTAATCTTCAATAATATAGCGTTATGATACGTTTGTTCCAGGAATAAGTGTGTTCGTTTGGGGCATGCGAGGAATAGTAGTAACTTTCTGTTGTTGGCACTATCAAAATTTTTAGCGATTTGTACGCGTTTGTACGCCTTCGTACGCGCGCATATGCGCATATGTGGCGAGAGCTTAATAGGCAACGCCGGGACCTCCATTTGGAACCCACACTTATAACGACTACTTTTATGAATTTGTGATGAGGATTGATATATAAATTAAGATTCAAAATGTATTATTACGAAGTAAGAAATTATATATGAAATAAAAAATTAGTCTTTCGATTCCTAATAATTGTAAGTTTGCGTTCAGAAATCGAGTGGAGGCGGCGGGATCTCACCAGCGAAAACAAATAATTCGATGCAAAATAATATTTTTATTTTTGATAAAAAATTTGTTGATTTTGGATCAACAATATTTTCCATTAATTAATTTTATTAACTTTATTATCATTATTATTAATTTTATTATTATTAATGTTATTATTTTTATTATTAATGTTATTATTTTTATTATTAATTTTATTATTTTTATTATTAATTTTATTATTAATTTTATTATTAATTGCAGAACATGAAGGCATAATATGACGGCACGCCGTGGAAAAGCAGTCATGCAAGAAAGTGATTTGAACAATTTATATTTTTTTGATGGTTTTGTGAATGAGACTGAAATACAATCAAGTGAAGGATATAAAAAATAGCAGCTCTGATGATACTGTGACAATGAATATGTAAATGAACACAGTAAAAAAATTAGTGTATCAAAGCACAACAAAGTAACTAATGAAAAAATATTTAGCTAATATTTAGCTGTTAATTTTTATACAAGATTTGAGAATTACAACAAGTTTTTATTTGTATATCTAACCCTTTATCCAGCTGTCAATCAGTTAACCTATTTGAATGATAAAGCTCCAACAAAAGTCAATTCAATCAATGCTTTTTATAACATTGATTATTTTAAAGCAACATAAAACTTATTTTGATGTGTTTAGACTCTTTGACATTGATGAAAAACAAGTGGGTAATATTTTCATGATATGGATAAAGTTTATGTACTTATAACGGTTTAAGATCTCTCAATAGCTATCTAAGCAATTGATTGATTCCCAAATACACGTGCAATTTTGGATGGCACAGAAGTTCCCATATTCAGATCAGGATTACCACTTGCACACCAAGATACTTTTTCAACTTACAAAACATATTTTCTCATATTTTCGCGGAATTTGGGATTTAGCGTACCAGTGCTCCCTGATGACAGAGAGATCCTCATTGTTTTATAGTTCAAAAGGTATCGAATTACATGACATCATGTCGCGTAACACATTATTGACTAGTGACTTTTTTGGGGCCAGGGCTACGATTACCAACATTTGAAAACTTATAGCATGGTAATTGGTATTATTGGTTAATATGGCGACGGCGCTTCTTTGTGTTTATTTACATAATACAACTTATATTATTACGTCTCGTTACTCAATTCATTGTTTATTTCTTTTTCTTAAAATTGAGATATTATTTGGTCAACTGAGTTGAGAAATATAACGTTTGAATCCTAATTTATTTTATTTGTCGTAAAGAAACGTACAGGTATATATAAACTGAAAATTAGAACTAATCATTTTATTATGATACTATCATTTTATAATTGTTTATGTATATATAATACATTTTTTTTCTAACTAATAGGTAATCAAAAACTATGTCTCGATTTATGACTGATAAAGATTTAGCAAAAATATACAACCATCCTCCAGATATAACAAAGATACTCATGATGGATTTTTTATTTCATGGTGAAAAACTTATAGAAAAGAACTCGGACCTATCAGTGCAAGCTCGTAAAACTGCAAACGAATTATTCAATCAAAAAAACCATGATGAAACCATTCATAAAAATACACTCTTTTATTACACAAAATGTATTGCACTTGCTCCTAAAGGAAGTGAAGAATTAGCTCTAGGCTACAGTAACAGGTCAGCTTTGTTAATGCACTTGAAACGTTATCAAGAATGTATAAATGATATTAATAAGGCAAGTGCAATTACAAAATCAGTTCAATTAAAATATATGCTTCAAGATGGTAAAAAACAGTGTTTAGCACTGCTGCACAATATAGAAAAAAATCAAATATACTTAGAAAATTTGAGTCTTAATAGCAGTGAAGATGACAGATCGTCAATATTTCTTACACCTACAATACATTCTGATGTAATTCCAGATGCTTCTAATTCAATAACTTTACGCTATAATGATATTTTTGGCAGACATTTTATAGCAACCCGGGACATAAAACCTGGAGAAGTTATTATTAATGAAAAAGGCTTTATTTGTTTTCCGTATACCAATCAGTTATATCTTGTTTGCTCTCATTGTTTAAAATTTGCATGGAATGCTATTCCATGTGACTATTGCATTTATACTGTTTATTGTAGTGAAGCTTGTGAGAAAGAAGCTTGGCAGGAATATCACAATGAAGAATGTTCTACTCTTCCATATTTCCATCTTCTCACCACAAAAGTGAATATTGTTGATGTAATGGCCATAACAAGATTACTAATTAAAGCTATCAAAAAGGAAGGTCTTGATAATGTATTGAATGAAGCTAAGATATCTAAATACACTAATAAACAACATCGTAGGTGTATAACATTTTAAAGGTTTCATTTGAATAGATCTTGATTTGTTTCGTTTTATTTCAGACAACAGCATAAATAAGATATTAACAGATGGAATATTACGTCATGACAAATTTAGGTCATACTATAATTTAATGTACAATAACAATAGAGTTCCAAATAATGATAAAGATGATGCTGAGCATTATGAGTCAGTTGCTATAAATTTATTATTCAGATTTACAAATCTTATTCGTCCAAAAGAAAGTGTGCTTAGCATCAGTTTTGATGAAGAAATAACACTCATTGAATTAAAGGATTTATTTGTAAAATTTAGGAATATTTTCAACACCAATGCAACTATGGTACAGTTTATCTTGAAAATTCAATATAATTTTAAAAGCAAACAATAATAATAATAAAATATTAATTCAAACTGTAAACAATAATTAGTATCAAGGAGTTATTTGCAACTGTTCAAGTGATATTGAGTGCAGTGAAAATTGTCCTACAAAAAGAGGATTTGTAATTGGCCCATGCAGTAGCTTAGTGAATCATAGCTGTAATCCTAATGTTGAAAAAATGTGTGTTCCATATGGAAAAATAGTTTTATTTGCAACTGCTCCAATCAAAAAAGGCGATCAGGTATTTATTATATTTTTAGAGACTTTTTTTCAAAGACTGATAATAATTTTTATTTCAGATATGCCAGAGTTATGGTCCAATATTTACAACTGAAAAAGCAATAAGACAAAAATTTTTAGAAGAACACTTCTTCTTTTTCTGTGAATGTACAGCTTGCTCAAAAAATTGGCCGACTTACGAAGAAATGAACTTTTGCAAAGATCCTGTAAGTTACATTAAAATTTATACATCTGGAACATTTTATACTTTATTGTCTTGTTTAAAGTATATCAAAATTTCTTTATTTTTAGAAAACTGATCATATCATCATGCTGAAAGTTCGTTCTCAAATTGAAAAAGAATTTATCAATGAAAACATAAGTTCATCTTTCAATAAAATAATTGAACAGTCGGAATTTGATATGGAAACTTTAAAACATGCCATAAAATTTTCAGAGTGGGTGTATGATCATTATGAAAATGGGATGGCTTTTATGATGAGTATCACATATAAAACATATATTAATACAGCTTTTTATAAGCTTTTTGGAGAAAAATGTATTATACCAGCTATATGCTAATGATCATAAAAGAATTATCACTTTGTATATTTTTGGAAAAATAATATATCTTTTTTAGTTTATTATACATTCGTAGAAATGTAAATCATGAAAAATAAATTTCTCAAGCTTCTAGTTTATATTATAGTAATTAATTTACATTTACAATTGCAATAAAAATATTGTCTACTGCGATGCGAAAATTTTTTTTCAATATTGTCACTAAAAACGTTCATACAATAATAACCTTAACCTTAATATTAATTAATATTAATGTATATGCAATTAAACTTATCCATATGAAAATAATCTCGAATTAAAATGATCAAATTCATGTTAATATTAATTTTCATGGCATTTATTTATACATGTTTTGAAAGATACATATCTTATTCAAATTATATATGTATATTATATACAATTATACAAGATTAAAAGAAACTTACGACATCATCGAGTTCATTAAAAACATACAAAAGTTAAAAAGTGGAATACATACACTTGTTAGGCAGTAAGAACGATATATATATCATAATTGCCTTGTATACTTAAAACACATTTAAATACATGTGTTGCTAAATTGTCCGATAAAATACTGTTCAAAGATGAAGTAAAAATACTGTCCACATTGATTCACATCAAATCTTGAAAAGTAGTCGAGCGAATCATCATTACGTCTGTTATATTTGCACTCATTGCCAAAATACTTCTTATACATATTATTCTAGTAGTTTTTATAACAGTATTGTCATGTTTTTTTTGAGAATCTGAAATCTATCTAGATTTGCGGTTGACTTCCCCACACTCTTGATATTCCAGTCCTCGCGAGTTTTTTTCCAATCGTTTGTACGACAAATCCTAGTTTCTGAAGTTTTTCGTGATCGAGAATTTTTCTACCGTCAAATATGTATGCCGGCTTCGTCATGTGTTCGTAAATCTTTTTATAGTCCAATTCCTTCAATAAAATTCATAAATGAACACTTTAGTAATAAGCAGTGATATAGAGATTTAATGAGATATAAAACGTACCACAAACTCATCCCATTCTGTACAGATAATAATTGCATGGGTATTTTTTGTTGCGCTGTACGCGTCTTTATAAATACTGATTCGGCTTCTAACTTGCTCTGGTTCTGTCGTGATCGAGGGATCAGTTAAATCGTTGATGACTTGTTGTTCTTCGACCTGAAATTGCATAACTCATTAAGCAGGACGTATGCAAATATCTTAATTGAAAAATTCAGATACGACTTACTTTAGGATCGTAAAGGTGCAGTACAGCGCCTTCGTCTAATAGAGTTTTAGCTACGTGTATTGCTGGCGATTCTCTAGTGTCACTTGTATTTTTCTTGAAAGCGAAACCGAGCAGTGAAATGTGCTTATCGGTCACCGTGTTGAACAGAGATTCTATGACCTGAAAATAACAATGTCAGACATTTTTATTTGGAACATCCAAGTCACTACTGCATATTGAACGGTTAGAATAAATGACCTTGGCCGAAAATCGCGACTTTTGATATTCGTTCATGTCAATGACCTGTTGCCAATAAGCAGCAACTTCCGGAAGGTTCAAACATTCGCATATATAAACAAGATTAAGTATGTCTTTCTGGAAACACGAACCACCGAAGCCAACCGAAGCTTGTAGGAATTTGGGACCAATTCTAGAATCGAGACCAACTGCGCGCGCCACTTCGGATATGTCGGCGCCCGTTGATTCACATACAGCCGATAAAGAGTTGATACTTGATATTCTTTGGGCGAGCATTGCATTTGCTACCTAAAATGCAAGAAAACACGATTATTACCTAATTACAGCGGCTGAAAGTTAAATGAATGAGCTGCGGACCAATTTGGAAAGTTCCGAGCTCCAAGTGTTGGTCGTGAGAATGTTTTGCCTTGGTATCCAATTTTCGTACACTTGGCATAGCTGCTCGATCGCTTCTTTGCCTTTCTTCGACTCTTCGCCGCCGATCAATACTCTGTCGGCGTTAAGCAAGTCTTCGATAGCTGTTCCTTCGGCTAAAAATTCCGGATTGGACAATATCTACGGCACATCCAGCAAAATCAAACGAGGATTCGCTCAAACTCATTGAAAAATGAATGTACCTGATAAGAGACGCCAGATTTGATATTAGCTCTGAGTATGTTGCTAATGCTCTCGGCCGCTCTTACTGGCACGGTACTTTTTTCAACGACGATTTTGTCACTCGTCGCCACTTCGGCGATCATTCGCGCAGCGCTCTCCACGTACTTGAGGTCGGCCGCGCGACCTTTACCGTTACCGCAGGTCTTGGTTGGCGTGTTGACGGAAATGAATATCAAATCGGCTTCCTTGATCGCCTGAAAAACCGTCGCATGCCTTACGAACGAGAACCGCGCGAATCGAATGACGAGAGGACCGGTTGTACTTACTGGCTCGATGTCCGACGAGAAAAACAAATTGATTCCGCGACATTTTTGAACGACTTCGTCCAGACCAGGCTCGTAGATGGGCAACTTGTTGGAATTCCATTGATCTATTCTTTCTTTACTCTTGTCCACCACGGTGACTTTTATGTGAGGACATTTTAACGCTATCACACTGCAGGTGGGACCACCAACGTAACCAGCACCGATACAACAGATCTTGCTTATCGGCATGGTTCACCTTCAAGCAGAATAACAATTAACAATGATTTCGGAATCTTTGAAAACGAAGTATAGAGAATTGGTCAAAGTGGTTCGATTGTTTACTCAAAATTTTACGACAGTGAAGGCAACGAATGCAAAAATCTCTCCAATGTTATTACATTCTTTAGATATTTTTTCTCAGAAGTAGGACATTTTCCTTCATTTAAGAAAGTTTTTTAAGAAATGCAGTAACATTCGAGACATTTTCGCTTAATTTACAATTGCCGAATCCAAATATTTGTGGATTTGAAAGCGAACTTGTCAAGTTGTACATTCTTGAAGATATTGAATCGAAGTACTTTATAATAATCGTCCAAGTCGTACCGCAGGAATAAAATGATACGGGCGCAAAGGATCGGACGATAATCTGCACCAGCGAAGCGCTCAGTTTCAGTTCCGAAACTAGACTACGCGGACTATTGTCGACTTTACAACCGAAGAATTAGAAGATTGCCATTGGATGGGAGAACCGTGAAAAAGGAAAAGATAATTGCTCGGCTGTCTGATGGTAAAAGGGAAAGTGTATTTTAGGAGATAAGGCGAGAAATTGGAAAGCGAGCGAGGAGTGGAAGCTCAGCTACGCGGCAATTGGCCGGACAAGCTAATTTTTCGTTAATGAATCATTCATGAAAATAACTATATACTGTCAAAATATAATATTAATTTCTCAAAATTCATCTCACCATACAATCTCTACGTACAACTTAAATTACTCGTTAGATTCGCAATAAAATAGCGACTTGAAGCGAAGTTGTCTATTCGCAAAAAATAAAAATCACAACTGCGAAAGTAACTCCGAGCGAAAAGTTTCGACGTGCAAGCAACAAAGAAAACCAGCGATAAATATAATCTCATCGTTCAATATTTATGCTTAACCAAACACTGGCACCGTGAAAAAAGAAAAGAAAAAAAATAAGCCTGTACCTTGTTTCGTCACGTATTTAACACGCAAGTCCCACGTAGTGTACGTACGTACGGTACAGAAGCTTCCTGCCGACTGACTCGATTTCTTCCTTGTCTAGCCGTGAGACTTTCTAATCTCAGGTTTTCACGTGCATCATCGTCATCCGCTTGCCAATAAGTTATTGAACGTGTTATTTTTTTTTTAATGGCATTTTAACGTAATACAAAGTTTTCTGTGAAGCTATTATTTATATAGTCGTTGACTCACACGCGGAACTGAAGATAGATAAGATATTATTTTTGGAACGCGTTTTTTTTTTCTATTTTGTATACAGAGTTATCGTGAGAATTACCAGTTGAGCAGGAACGACTTTTACGAAAATGGAATATATGACACTAAACGTAAAAATAGTCAAATAATTTATCTGATAAGGAATTAAACTACACAACGGAAATGATGAACTTCCTATATAGACTTGATAAAACCATTACGATACTTGAAAAAATTCGCTAATAATTTTTCGTTTCTTTAAAGATTTTTATAAATTGAAAAGAAAAGATTGTCTCGGTAAAGAATTGCATTGATTGGCACTTGCGATTCAATCACGAACTTTCTTACAAATGAACCAATGGGAATAATTTTGTTGACTAAATTAAAACGAAAAACCTAAAAAATTTTGACCCTTGGTGTTCTGGTAGAAAAACATCTATGTAATGTTTGCATGATTTTTATTTACAGTTTTTACATTGTTTCTTTTACAATGTTGAACTTGTTTTTTACATCTGTCACTCTACATTTAAAAGTAGCAAACTTCTACATATTTACATTGTGGTCTTTGTTACGTACGTGGCGTGTGTACGTTGCAATTTCTGTTTTTTTTTCAAAACTCTATATTACTCGTCACAATCATCCCTCCATACCATTTTTAATTAATAGAGCTTCTCTATTCGTTACCTATGCCTATATTACGTTTAGCTGCTTCGACACGAACCTATAATTGTTTTCTTTGGTAGCACACGTTTAAAGTATAAATGTATGTTATTCCGCAACGCATTTCTTGCGTCTGAATTCCAGCAACGCGCTTACAAACTTTTTTAAAAAAAGTGAATTCCGTAACCGTGGTCTTACAAGGTTTTTCTTCGTGTACTGTTCCGTTGACTTCTTTCCCCCTACAGCGAAATAGCTTGGCACTTTCCGAATTCGTATTGCCCCGTTACAGCTGCTCGATGATGTCGTGGTCGTTCTTAAACGGCTTCCTAAGATTATTTACCGACGAGTATTTGGAACGCTGCAACTCCTTGGTGAAGTAGAGAATGGTCTTGGTCAAGCCGTCGACCAGCGGGACCTTGGGCGCCCAATTCAAATATTTGTTGGCCCTCGCGATGTCCGGTTTTCTCCGCTGCGGGTCGTCCTCGACAGCCGGCAGCTTGACGATCTGGCTGGTTCCGCCGACCAGTTGTTTGATGATCATCGCGAAATCTTCGATGGTATTTTCCACGGGGTTGCCGATGTTGACGGGCTGGCTGTAATTAGCGGCCATCAAGGCAACCAAACCGTCCACCAGGTCCGACACGTACTGAAAGCACCTGGTCTGCTTGCCGTCGCCGTAGATGGTAATCGAGTGGTTCTGCAAGGCTTGCAGGATGAAATTGGACACGACCCTGCCGTCGTTCATGTGCATTCTTGGGCCGTAAGTGTTGAATATCCTGGCGACTCTGACGGACACGTTCTCTTGGCGTGCGTACGCGTAGCTGAGCGTCTCGGCGACGCGCTTGCCCTCGTCGTAGCAGGCGCGCGGCCCGATCGGGTTGACGTGGCCCCAGTAGCTCTCGGACTGCGGGTGCTCGTCGGGGTCTCCGTACACCTCCGACGTGCTGGCTATGAGGACTCTGGCGCGCACGCGCTTGGCGAGGCCCAGCACGTTGATCGTGCCGAGGGTGTTGGTCTTGATGGTTTTCACGGGGTTGAACATGTAGTGCGGCGGGCTGGCCGGACTCGCCAGGTGGTAGATCTCGTCCGCCTCCACGTAAAGCGGCCGCACCACGTCGTGGTGCACCAGCTCGAAGTTCTCGTGGCCGATCCAGTGCTCGACGTTGCGCTTCCTGCCGGTGAAGAAATTGTCGACCGCGATGACCTCGTGGCCGGCGAGCATCAGGCGGTCCACCAGGTGCGAGCCGACGAAGCCCGCGCCGCCGGTCACCAGGATCCTCTTGCGGTCCTTGTAGTTCAGGAACTTGACCGACGGGTAGCTCCTGTGGACTCGGCTCTCCAGCTTCGACTCCAAGTACTTGACCTTTTCCTCGAGCTCCTGGATCTTCGCGCCTGCGTCTGCGCCCGCGCCCCTCCTCCACTCGCTCGCTCGCCCGTCCTTATCTGCGCTTATCGACTTGGCGCCGAGCCGATCGCTCGGCAGCCAATCGCCGCTACGACCGCGCTCGTCGCGCTCGCTCGTGCTCGCGATGCTCTTGTAAATCACCAGCACTACGACTGCTGCGAAAAACACGACGACTAACAATTTCACTCTCCTCTGGATCGACATGTCTTGCTTATTTACTCACTGGTGAGCAACAAATTATGATCTATCAACTCACATACATTATCGCAACGCCGAACTACGCTATCATCGCAATTCACTCGGATCGCATAGCTAATTACAAAATTACCCGCAACTATGTCTATGAAACGTTCGTTTCTCTCTGTCTTTCTCTCTCATAGGTCGTCCGGCGAGTCTATAACAAATGAAACAGAAACCCCGATGCCATGAGACCTTTTTTTGTATTTTTTCAACACTTGAAAAATCATATTATATTTTGACAGTTTGCTTTACGTGTTTTTCTTTTTCTTTGCATGTCATATAAATTGTTTTCTTTCTCTAAATTGTACACGTTTTTGTCTGGTTTCATTTTTTGAATGGGTAACAACTGCATTCTTTTAGATTTAGTAATTAATAAAAGCAATGCGAATTGTCTGTTACTGAATATCTTAATGAACGTGGTAAAACTAATAGCATTTGTTGATTTTGTAAGTATGAAAATTGTTAATTTTTGTTATTAATGTACAGAGGCTTCAAGACATCAAGTTATTGCATTGAATATAGTCTGCAAGTAAATAAAATAATTTGTTTTATGTGCATTGATTCATTTTTTCCGAGACCTTTTAATACTGATTACATCTTCATGCACAACACTATTAAGAAATAATATTGCTATGTGGATAACCTTTTCTTTGATCTTTTGCAGAATAACCTTTAATTAATAATTAATACCAGATTTAGTGACTTGTCTCAACCAATAAAAATCTAGAGTAAAGACAATAAAAATTTTAGTTTATAAAAAATACATATTGAATAGACGTTAAAATTATATTATTTAAATGAATTCTAATCTTTTTATATCGTGATATAACGGTAAAATTGAAACATCAAAAATATGATTGATTATATATAGTTCGTTCGATATCTGAATTTAAATGCTATCAAAACAAATGTTTGAGAAAATAATGCAGCATATAGCAGAAAATGATTGAAACAAACCCTTTGCTGATTAAACGTCATCTACGCATAAAATGTTTGCACATTATTTCATTCGATTTCAAATTTTATCACGCACATGCGCGTAGATGCGGGATAACACACATACACGCACACAATTGCAACAGTAGACTGTTACACAAAAAATCAGCAATTCTCAACTTCGGCCCATTGAAGCCTCCGTACACGCGTCCTCTCGAAATAATTCAATAAAAAAAATATTACATGACACTGTTGTTTATACTCACGTTAATAGTTGATATCACAATTTTGAATCGGACCTGTTAACTGGCCAGTTCCCCTCGAGTGGCGATGATGTTAATGATGCAAGGATACGATGTGGCTTTTGAGACAAAGTGCAAAATAACACACACACATACATACACATACACACACGCACACATATATACACACTGTGGAAGCCAACACTAAGAGCCGAATTTGCAAGGTCCAAAATTATCACCTCGTGTCCCCCGTGATGATACACAAGCGACTGCCTTGTCGCTTTGCTTGTATATCCTGGTACAAGGGAGATAGAAAGCCCTCTCCGACATTTACAGACCGGTGACTTAAGTAATCTCGCGAATATCAGCGCTACTGATTTTATGTTTACACTTTTTTTTTAATTATTGGCTATATCGATTGTGCCTTCAAAAATCGTTAATTTTACATTTGGATATTTTTGCACGTGGCTTAATTATTGGAGGAAAATGCTAAATGTCTATTTGAAAATTAGAGCAGTGCTCCGAAATTGAAAATTCACTGTTATCACGTATTAATATCTTATGACTGATTTAAAATATATATATGTCGAGATAAAACAATTGCACATCACATGAGCAATCAACTTCCTATAAAATAATTGAATAATTGTAAATATTCATAAGCACATAAAAAGCTTTTAAAGATTTGATGAATATATTTATTTATTGTTCTTTTTATCTTACAGCATATGAAAATATAAAATAAACTATGAAACAACTTATTTCCTGCAATAATTTATAAATAAAAAAGGCTACAAAAACTATATGCTTTTAAAATAATAAACAAATTAAAAAGAAGAATATATCTCACAGTATCTTAAAAAAATTAAAATAAAATAAAATAAAATTACATATCAAAACAGTTACTAGGAATTCTACAATCTTCTCCATATAATTTATAAAATATTCTATCAATAAAATATCTGTAGTAAGAACTAAGTAAGAAAGATTTTATAGGATTATTACAGTACTTGTAAATAAGTTCACACATTTTTATCATCTTTTTCAATGACTCTTCATTCAATGGCCAAACAGTCTCTGTTTCTTGAAACATAAATTTTTCTGAGACATTAGGATAATACTTTTTAAATTCAGCCAAAACTTGTGATATGATGTTAGATTCACTTACCTGAAACAATTTTTACATGAAATCAATGAATTTCTAAAATATTTATAAAAAATGTATTATAAGTACATACTGGGTCAACAACTAGTTCCAGTTGTTTCAAAGTTGGCCAATTTTCATTACATACTTTACATTTACATGTGAAGTAAAAATTTTCTTGCAAAATTTTCTGTCTTATTGATCTATCCATTCTTAATGATGGTCCATAACTATCATATAGCTAAAAATAAATAGCAGTAAGTATCAAAATTTGCATATTTTTCTATAGTATTACAGTACATTATATCCAGAGTACCTGATCGCCTTTTTTAACAGGAGCAATGGTAAACATAACAATTCTATTCTTTGGCAAAAATAATCTGCTAACATTAGAAGCACAGCTATGGTTAATAAAACTACTAAAAGGAGCAATAACAGCTCCTCTGTTTGAGTCACACGTACACTCAGAATTTAAATCTTGACAAATACAGATGGAACCTTGATACTAAAAAGAAAAATATAAAAATATTTTTTCTGCATTAAAATAATAAAACTATAATTATAAAAATTATGGATTGCACCTGAAAAGCATTGATATCTATGACATGTCTTATATTATGCAATATTTGTTTGATTTTTACATGAAAATCATCATCAACTTCATTGTTTACATTTTTCTTCTCATTAAAAATATTTGTATACCTTGATAATAGCTGTATGATTTTTGAGAGTAATGCATCACCAACTTTATCTTTCTCGTCAGTATTTTGTACATTGTTTGATAAATTATAAAGAGATCGAAATGTATCATATTCCAAAACTTCACTAAATAATAGGGTTAAATTTGTTTCTGAAAAAAATAATCAAAAAGTTCAGTTAAATGATAAGAGCTCTCTTTCAAAACAAAAAGTAAGAATACTTCGTGCTCTATCAATAGCTTCTGCCTCATTTAACACACTGTGAAGACCTTCCTTATTAACTGCTTTAATGAATAATCTTATTGCAATTGTAACATCAGATATAGCATTGTTATGATCAATATGCATGATTGGTATATATGAAGAAATAGTACATTCTATGTTGTGATATTGCTTCCAAGATTCTTTTTTACAAGACTCAGTACAGTACATTGAAATAGTACAATTTTCACATGGAATTCCATTCCAAGAAAATTGCAAGCAGTGAGAACAAATAATGTATTTTTGCTTGTTGTTTGGAAAAGCAATATAACTATTTTCAATAATAATAACTTCTCCAGGTTTAATGTCTCTAGTTGCAATAAAGTGTCTACCAAATGTTTCATCGAACATTAAAGCTATAGCTTCAGAAACATTGGGTAATACTCCAGATTGTGCCATCTGAGGTAATTTTGGTGGCTGTTGCTTATCATTAAAATTAAATCCTTGTGATTTCTGTTCATTCAGATTTTGACAATTCATTAATGATAAACATTTATTTTTTTGAGCTTCAAGTTTGGATTTTAACTCAATAGATTTAGTAAGTTTACTTGCTCTTTCAATGTCAACTAAGCATTCTTTAAAACGATGTATATGACTCAAAATAGTAGATCTACTATAATAGCTTTCAGCTAATTCTTCAGAATTTGTTGGTGCAAAAGCTATGCTTTTCGAGAAGTACCACAGTATGGACTTGTGAATACTTTCATTGTGTTTTTCTTTAATGTAAAGATCATTTCCTTTTTGACGAGTATTTACAGAGATCTGCGCATTTTTCTTGCGAGTCGAATGACTAACCATAAATTCCGCGAATTCCTCGTCACGTTCAATGCGTTCGTCCCATTTGCTTTTCACATCCATTTTCACATTACATCTCCTTACATTCAAATTAAAGAAACTGCTTTGTGAACTAAAAAAGTTATAATAATACGTGATTATTTATTTTTTGTTATGATAAAGGTGGTTTTATTTTGTGTTGTAACCTCGATCTTACCAAAGTAATTTAAAAAAGAATTAATTCCGTAATGAAGATATGACATCGACCATATGTTATATTAAAAACTTGGACTTGTTTTTAATTTGAAATCGATTTTTTAATGTATACGTTTTATAGAAAAAACGCTGTTTCTTAACGTATATGTCATGTTATATAACTACTAAATGAATAGCATTACTGCTAGGGTAATTTCAGGGTTTGTCGACGACTGCCGTTTTAGACCTCTTCTTTTGTTTCTAATTTATTCCTAGTAATTTTGAAGTTGGTATAAAATCCTTGAAAAATTAAAAAAATATTTAATCAAATGTGAGATTGAATATCGTAAATATCGTTTATTACATGCAATAAATTTAATATGAAACATAAATTTTTTTTTATTTAAAAATTAATAACAAGTACAGTTATTATTACCGGAAAAATTATGACGTGAGCAATTTTCAAACAAATCTAGCATTTGAATGTTCAGTAGGTTATTATATATTTAAAAGTCACTGTATAATAACATTTCGACTCGAATATATACATCCGACTATTTCTTTCTTCTTTTTTATGACTGTCTTATTGTCTACAGATAATTTTGACGCGATTTTCGACCGTTGTTTACATACATACTATCTTCATTGGTACTATATGTACATCTATATATATGTAATATGTTTGCTGGTGGAGGCTATATCATGAATAATGTGGTAATGCTGATACAACAGGCCAAAACTTGTTGCCAGGAAACGGCAGAATGTCAACTAACAGGTATAACCTTAATTGTAGAATAAACAAAGTATTAGATCGTAGACATTTTTGAAGTATTTTATTACTGCAGCATTTTATTGTTAAACACAATGAAATGATTTTTTTAAATAATGTATACAGATCCGGATTTGCTTGGATTTCTCGCACAACGGTAGCCAAACCGGTTTCGGCGAACGTCAGATACCTTTACGAGGTGTACCATAATCCTAAAACAAGGATTTTCTTTGTGCCTTTGGATAACTCCACTAGTTTGTTATCGCCTTACTTTATGTTTAATAATTGAAAAAATAGTATTTAAGTAAATAGTTTATAAAAGTGCTGAAAGCGAATACTGTGTTGTGTACAAGTGCTGTGTTTCAAAATGTACTATGCTTTTCAGAGCAAGCTGTATTGTATTACAGAATCAATGGAAAAATTATGGATTTGCGTTCAACCAATGTACCTCCTAGATACAAAGGCCAAGGCATTGCAAAATTATTGACAGATGTAAGGCAACAAGAATAATATGTTTAATAAATGTTTATCAGTTTCCAATTCTTTGTTCTTCTTATGAAGACAGCTTTTACTTATGCAATAGTAAATGATTACTACCTGTTTTTAACATGCACGTATACACAAAAGTATTATCTTGCCAATAAAAATAAAGAATTAGAAAAGAGAATTGTTGGTCCTAAGAATATTCTGAATACATAACAGTTGCTTAATTATTTGATAAATTTGAAGAATTATCAGATCCAGACAGTGCCCATAGTTATAAAAAGAAATAAACTCAAAAGGTTTGGAAAAAATATTTCTAATTAAATAAGATTTTTTTGTAATATTAAGCTAATAATCTCATTATTTTATAGTATTTTCTGATTAAATCAATAAACTGTTAAAAATGGATGAAGTGGAGTATGAAAGCATAATTCACTGGTGTTGTCAGAAGCAGTATTACAATGACATGCTATCATTTGCAAAGCAAGCAGTAGATTTATATTCCGTAAACGATCGGATCAAAGTTCTTCTAGCTGTATCTTATACTCTGAACAATCATTTCAAAGATGGAATGAAAGAAGCTACATCATTGGTAATAATTTGCAATTTCTGAATAATGATAATAAATGAAATATTCTAAAATATTAAATTCACAGGCATCTAATGAGCAATCAGATACAGCTCTGTCAGGTCTGTTAATCCAGAGCTACATATTCAAGATACAAGGAACTGCTGAGCGTACATTAATTGTTCAGATTGATACAAAGATTAGAGAGGATCACAGGAAAGCAAATGCTTCAGCTTTATCATTAGCTGCGTTAATTTTGGTGCTGTTTGATAAATACGATAAAGCTAAGGAGTATTCTGAAAGAGCTTACAAGCTACATCCTTCAGATACTTTTGTACTTTTAGCTAGAGGATGGTCGTTGTTGACTTTTAATGATTTATCTCAGAATCCAGGTAAATATTGTATTCTTCTTGTACTTAACATTTATATTATAAAAATATTCAATTATTCATTACATTTTAGATAAATATTTTGAAGCAGTGCTCAAAGATGACAGCAGACATTTCAATGCTTTGTTAGGCTCTGCAAAAGCTAGAGAATTGAAAGGCGATCATTCTGGAGCAATGCTTATTATCAATCCTCTCATTGTACGCTATCCAAAACTCGCTATCCCTCTTGTTGAGAAAATGAATAATCTTTACGCTCTCAAAGAATGGGATCAAGTTATGGAAATGGCTAATCGCATTTTATCTTTTGAGAATAACGACATCGATGCATTTAAAATGAAAGCTATTGTCGTGATGTGCAAAGATGGAGATTATAATGAGGCATTGAAATATGTGCAAACATTTTTTAGAAATCTTATTGTTGCTGAACCAAGGAATGTTAAATTGTTTGTTGAGAATGTCAAACTGTTCACCAGACTTGCCGTCAGGAATCAGACTATTCTTGGGGAACTTTTCAAAGTTACTGATAGGATTTCTCAACAAAATGTAAGTATTTTAAAATAGGTTATCATCAAAATTATCTGCTATTTTAAAAATTCTTATTCAAATTGATGTTTTTCAGGTAGGTAACAGTTTATTGATGGTAGAACTTGGCAACTTATGTGCTCGAATGGCAAAGTACAAAGATGCTGAACACTGGTATCGTTCAACTGTTCGTGTTGACGAATCCTCCTTTGCAGCTCTCACTGGTCTTGCATTATGTCAGATGCACGATTCTACGCCCACAGCTGAAAATTTAGCAAAACAGCAGATCGATTTTCTGTTGGAGATGCATTCGGCAAGTGCTGAATTGATGTTTATGTCAGCGAGATTGACAAGAAAGGATGCTGGTAAAGCCATACCGATGTTGGAGAAAGCTGCTACGATGTTGATGGAAGTAGGTGGTTATTTTAATTTGGGAAGAACAGCTCAATCGTTTTCTCTATAGGCATATAGTTTTCCGGTCAAGACTGTTACTGTATGTCAAATGCGATGGCATTAGATTTTTGAACTACATGTTAGTTCGCATTCAAATCAAATCATTTTAACTTACTCACAAATATTATAGTTTCAGAAAAATAAATTAGTCAGTTTACGAGAGAAAAAAAACTACTATACTTTTTCACATTCAGACAATGAGTGAACATTACAAAGCAAAACCGTTAAACAGTTTGAATGAAGAGGGAGAAGGGATTGTCACATAATCAGATGTAGTTATTAATTTGTTATTTACTAAAATATTTATAAATCAAATGTAAAAAGAAATTGATAATTATATCAACTAAGTACTTAAATAAAGTATATTATTAAACTAACTTTATTAGATAATATATCAAATAAAGTAATTATAGCAACTACGATAAAATTAGCATTTTATAATTCCAATAAATACATTTTTGAATAAGCATAGAGTATTCGTAGAAAGCTTTACTTTATGTTTTTTAAATGATATGTTAAAACATATTGGATTGTATTTTAATTGAACAATTGACTAAAAGAACAATTTTGTCTTTGCAGAGCTGTAGCAAACTTTACTACAGTTGCGAGTATTTAAAACAGTTGAATCCGGACTTGTGCATGGAGATTGCAAGCGAGTACCTATTGCACACAACTAGCGGCTCTGAAAAAATGACGAGTGGGAAAACTGCGTGTGTGAAGTTATTAGAGCACGTGACAGACGCGTGCCCAGGCTTGAGCTGTGCACTACTATTAACGGGCAAAGTCAAGATGCAGATCGGCGATTTGAATGGTAAATTTTTACAGACCGTTTGGGTTGTCTCGTAATACTGAGTTTGATACACGACAGGTGCTTTGGCTGCGTTGAAAACATTGCTGGATAACGTGGATCGAACGAGTGCGGAGGCTCACTTGCTAATGGCTCGGATTTTAGTGAAGCAAGGCCACTACGAAAACGCCTCGCAGACGCTCGAGATAGGATTGAGTTACAATTTCAAAGTTAGGGATGATCCGCTTTACCATATGATTCTCGGCTCGATTGCTAAGGAAAACGGAGATCTCGAAGGTAAGTAAGAGCAAGAAGAGCAATCGCGTAAAACCAAAACTACAATCAATTACTTAGGCGCCGTGAAAAATTTGGAAACGGCCAAGTCTCTAGTATCCTGTCACAAAACCGGCACTTCTTTGTCCGACAAAGCGACTCTTTATCTCGAATTGATTGACGCTTACGCTGGGCTGAGGAAATTCTCCGAGGCGAGCACACTGATGGAAGAAACTCGTTCGTTACTGAAAGGAACCTCGGAAGAAGGTCGAGCGGTCATCGGTAACGCGGATCTGTCTCTTCACATGAACGACGTTGACAGAGCTATTGAGTTTTTGAATCAAATTTTGCCTGGACAACCTTACTACTTACAGGCACATACCAAACTGGCGGATATTCATTTGAATCACAGAAAAGATCGGAATTCGTTCGCTAAGTGCTTCAGGTATATGTTGATTCACCTTCTCAAAATACTCTATTCGTTCTCAATGGGATTTGTTTACTTACAGAGATTTGGTGGAGAACTGCCCTGGATCGGAGACGTACCGTATGTTAGGCGACGCATACCTCGCCATTCAGGAACCGGAACGAGCTATCGAGGCGTATGAATTTTCGTTGAAGAACAACCCCAAGGATAAAAATCTCATGTGCAAGATGGGAAAAGCTTTGATAAAGACACACCAGTTCGTGAAAGCTATTAATTTTTACAAGGATGCTGTAAAGCAAGAGGGTTGCCGAGATTTGAAACTCGACATGTCTGACTTGTTGATGAAACTGAAGCAGTTTGACAAAGCCGAGGAAACTTTGCTTGAGGAATTAAATGGTTAGTCGATTGGATTGATTGTACGTTGCAGTCTTTAAATGAGGACTTTCGTTGTGACAGAGGGACGAGGAGCAACGGATATTGCGACATTAGAGACACGTGGAAAGCAGCTATTACTGTTGGCGAAAGTTCGTGAGAAAGCGGGAAAACTGCAAGGCGCGTTGAATACCTTGAAAGAGGCAAAGGATAACCAAGTGCGTTATCTTCAAAGAGCGACCATGCTACCGAATTTGCTCGATCAGAAGAACGTGCTCGCGGATATTTGCTTCACTATGGCTGAACACGCAACGTCTATTAGGGATTTCAATCAGGCGGTTGACCATTACAAAGAGGTGCTCACTTATAAACCTAACGACGTTAAAGCTTTACTTTCCTTAGCGAAATTGCATATGCAGGTATGTTGTTTCGAATAAAATGATTTTATTGCCAATTTTAACTGCACATTACGCTCTAGATGAACGATCTTGAAATGTGCACGCACTACTGTCAGATTCTGCTGAATGCTGATCCAAATAACGAGGCTGCTTGCGTGATGATGGCCGATTTGGCGTTCAGAAAAGTTGATTTTGACACCGCAGCCTTTCATTTCAGGCAGTTGTTGTTGCAGAAACCTACGTATTGGACTGCTTTGGCAAGACTCATCGAAGTATCTCGTCGAACAGGTAAGAAAACTAACGCGATATTGTCTATCGCCAAAATGACATATATTGTTCATAGGGAACATCGAGGATCTTGGTGAGTGGCTTACTCGCGCAGAGTCAGTAATGGAAAAGCCCGAAGCAGGTTTCTACTATTGCTCCGGTTTATTGGATTGGCGCACGGGAAAGTTTAATTCGGCACTACGAAACTTCAATGCTGCTCGTCGTGATTCTGAATGGGGACAGCAAGCAATTTATAATATGATCGAGATTTGCTTGGACCCGGATGACGATAATAATGTAGTATCCAGTGAGATTTTTAGCGATGATGATGCGGATATAACTGATTCTAGAAGCCTGGCTTTGAAGAGTGCGCAGCATCTTTTACAGGTAGAGAGAGTTTCGTATATATAACAAAGTATTGAAATGGACGTGTAATATATTACTCTTGTTTTTGAATTTAGGAACTGAATCCCAAAGGCAATCCACAAGAAATGTTGACCCATCGACTTCTTGGCAATTTTTTCCTGCTTGCAACTAAACAAAAGCATAATATCGAGCGAGCTTTAACAGATTGCACGGCTCTCGCCAGCCAGGAAAGTCTTCGAGATCACGTGGGCCCAGCACTCGGACTTGCCACTGCTCACATACTTTTAAAACAAACTCCGCGCGCAAGGAATCACTTGAAGCGCGTCAGTAAGAATACGTGGACTTTTGAGGATGCCGAGTATTTAGAGCGCTGTTGGTTATTACTAGGTAATAATGTTATTTCCAGAAATTAGTACAAAAAGATAAGTCGATTGTTATTTTTGTAATGTATAGCCGACATCTACGTGCAATCCAGCAAATATGATCTAGCAACTGATCTTCTGCGCAAAGTACTGCAGCATAACGCAACATGCGTGCGAGCGCATGAACTCTCTGGTTACGTGTCAGAGAAGGAACAGAACTATAAAGAAGCTGCGATAAAATATGGGATGGCTTGGAAGTACGGTGATAAGTATAAACTAAACATTGGTTATAAACTCGCTTACTGTCATTTCAAGAGCAAACAGTATGCAGATGCGATTGAGGCTTGTATGGAGGTGCTGAAAGTCGATCCTGATTTTCCTAGAATTAAGAAGGATATTCTTGAAAAAAGTATTAATAATATTAGGACGTAGGATTGTTAGAAAGTTCTTGTAACCAAAACTACTAATAATAATTATAACCATCCAATAATTAATTCATTTGTACCTTTATGTAGTATTGTTTATAAAAGTTCTTGAAATAATTATGCACATTCCTTATGAATTAATGGCAACTATTGGATCATTTATTTAAATAATGAATTCTGTGATGCAAAAAATTTGATCATAAATTTCCGTAACTCCATTATTATTATTGATTTAACTTAATAAAAGTGCTACAATGTTTATCACTTTCTTTTTCTTTTCAAACGTGATGAAGTATTAATTTTGACAGCTGCTAGCTATCAGTCCGTCTTGAAGATGATTGATTAGTAGCTCTCAATGGCAGATTAGACAGTAGAGTATAATATGATTTTGGTTATGAAAAGTAATGGATCATACAAGATAATATAATAACTGATAAATAATATTTATTAATTTGTTGGCTAACTAAAAGAATCACATAACTGAGTTTAGTGCTTTCATAAGCATAAACCGTTTAAAGAAATATCTAGTGACAAACATTCCCCAGACTAGCAATCATAATACATTCAACCCACACTAGTTGATCATCACAGAGATCAGACTTGTATCTTGTATGCGCCATGCGTCACCGCTCCAGCGACAACACATTCGGACATAAATCTTACGATTTAATATCAAGATAATCCTAATTGATATATGATATTTCCCGGTAGATTAACGGCACATCATGAATGTGCAAGCAAAGTCGGTACCAAACTCATCGCACTTGCAGACGTTGCAACCGTCGGGGGTAAAAGTGGACCTAGGCGTGCAAATTTGATCTTTAGCTTTGCTGTCAAGAGCCTCGCAGGACATCATGGTGCAGATCTTGAATAAACCATCGGCCGAGCAGGTGCAGGTGTTGCACTGCTCCTTGAAGTGGCTGTTTGGGATGCAAACTGGAGCTGAAATCGGGAGAAAAGCACCGTTACTCGCGTGTTCTTCGTGTTCTTCCTCCGATAGGTCCATCGCGTGAGCTGCTCGTAACGATCGACAACTCACCTTGGGCAGACTTGACGGCAAACTTGGTGCTGCCGTCTTGGTTCCAGATCTTCCGGTCACACCACATCCTCGTGCAGGCGGCGGACAGGCCATCCTCCGAACAGGTGCACGCGTTGCAATAATCCTTGAAGGTCTTGCGGGGCTCGCAAAGCTGCTTGGCTTCGTGCTGAACCTGATGCACTTTCATGGTGCCGTCGGGATTCCAGATGTTCTCGTCGCACCACATCCTTGTACAAGCGGCCGTCAAGCCATCCTTGGAGCACGCGCAGGTGTTGCAGTAGTCCTTGAAGGGCTTATTGGGCTCGCACACTTTCTTCGGCTGTTCCACGGGACACATCCGCAGAGTGCAAGCTGCGCTGCGGCCGTCTTGACTGCAGACGCAGCTGTTGCAGTTGTCCGGGCTGAAGGTGGCGCCGGGAGTGCAGTACTCGCCTGAAAACCCGAGAGGAAGGCGTCGGTTGACGGAAACGCACTGAGCAGTCCCGAGCTCTGCCCGTCCACGAGATCGCGCACTCACCGTCGTTGGTCAAGCGGCGACTTCTTGCCTGGACTTGGGGCCCCAGCGTGCAGACCGCCGCGGTGCCATCTTTGCCGCACGTGCAGGTGCTGAGCGCGTCCAAGTGGAACTGGGTGCCCGGCTCGCAGATCTTCCCTGTGCGCTGCCGCTCCGGACAGACCATGTCCGTGCAAGCCGCGGACTTCCCGTCCTCGGAGCAGACGCAGTTGTTGCAGTTTTGCTCGAAGAGCGAGTTCGGCGTGCAGAATAGTTTTTCGGCTGGAATGCACCAGATACCAGATTACCAGTCAGCCGCAGACGAGCTGCTTCGACCAAGAGCAAATTTATATTTACCCGCTGCGGCGCTGACGGCGAACAAGGCGACAATCAGAAACTTCATTTTCGCGTGCTCAGTGTCTGCGTGGTTCGCTAACTCTTGGAGTTCACCTTAGCTTGTGTTCGCTTTGCTGTGAGCTTTCAGTATGATCAACTCCACCGAGTGCAACACCTTAAATACTCAACGCGGCTATACGTCAGTGCCAATCAAGTCTTATCGTATTGACGACGTGCAAATCGAAGCGAGCCTCTCAGCCGCACGCGTCAACAGCATGACGCTAGGAAATGTCCTCTTGACGACTGTTTTATCGTGTAGCGAGATGGTAAACAGCAATTGATGAAAAAGATATTTTTAATACCAAATGCTTTATTTTATATAATATCAGGCTGTCGAATGTTCCAGAAATGAAAATTTATTAAGAATGTACGCTGCACTAAGTTTTTGAAAAACTAAAATTTTCGATGCGCAATTATTTGTAATGACAGAGTACAGCTTCTTAGCTCCGATTAACTTGTTATATGACACAACCCGTTAATAAGTTAGTTAATAATGACAAATTCCAATAGCTTTAAGCTAAATTCATTGTGAAAAACTGTATTGTAATTAAATAATTTCGACAGATTTTGAACGTTTCTTCTCTTTGGAAAAAGGTGGAAGAAAACCTTAAAAACGTTATTTGAATTTGATCATTGAATTTGCCATATTTATAATGTACTCTTATTGATAGTCGATTCTTATCTTTTATCAGAACAAGAAAAAATATCTTTGAGTCGTTTAAGTAATTCATCACGGTACAAATCAAATCATAGGTAGAGTTTGATTATGCCAGGGTACCTCACGCAAGCCTGACTGTACTTAATGTTACTATGCGATTTTGAACATTTGTTTACTCGTTTTCGTTATAGTTTCGAACAGCCAAATATATTAATTAGCATATATTTATTATAATTCGGTGTCTTTTTTAGTTTTCTGTAACGGTGGAAATGCATTCACATGTGTTAGTGTATTTGATTTTTTACTTATCCTTACTTAATATTTATCAACTTCAAGAATAAACTTGAAGAGAATGTTAATAAGATTACTTTCAATCTACTGATATGGAAGTATATCCACTCTTAGCGAAGCAATAACGAATGCAGAAATTTGTAAGGTACAAATGGAAATACATAATATATATGGATAGAGGATGTAGTGACTAATAACATAGTACAGATTTACAAAGCATTTGACAAGTGTTTCGATGATTAGATCGAAGATTACTAATCAATTGTCTATCGCTTGTCTGTGACAGTTACTCTTTTAGATTATTCTATTTTAGACAATGGACAAGTGCCTCGATAAGTCTATTCTTTAACTCCAAGTTATTAATAGCGTTCAAGGATAACATAATTTAGTGTGGTTTCTTAAAATAATTCGAGAAAATAGAATAATCGATATTTAGTATAAAAAATCTTTATGAGCGATGAATATCAATTAAAAAAAACTTAGTTCATTCTTCAACCAACAGAAACGAAAATTTCTTCTCTTTTTTATCTGTTGGATTTCATGATTGGAAATGTCGTACTATTTTGCATATATTTTTTAGTTCATATTATTAATAAGTATCGAGTGATCAAAGATAATGTGTTTACGACGCCCCGGTAATTTGTGTAAAAATCTTGTTTATTCTAATTATTATCAATACTGATCCACTCGAACAACTCTTAACGATGCAGTGATATTAATCGGCATTAATTTCGAAAGGTTTAGATAAATGATGGGTAGATTGACATAATATTTTCTTCGCTCCTGATCAGATGGGTTAAGTTGATATGGAAAACAAGGATATAAATTAATAAAATTTTCATTATTGAAAAATAGTTGATTCTTGATGCTGAGTTGAAAAACGAATGGTCGTTTAATTCCATGCATGCATTGGAAAACTTTCGCATTTTCTAATAAATTAAATGGATGGTGAAAATTTTTTTTCTCAATTGGTTCTGATTGATTCTTACTTGAAAAAACGAGAATATAGATGCATAATTTTGATTCAATTGTTTTATGATAAAATGTTGATATTACTTCACTTGAGTTCTGTAATTTTCATTCACATTTTCACGTTGAGTGGAAAGTTATTGCGGATAACGTGTTTTAAATTTGTTCATGATCGATATCAGCCTATTATGAGAGCAAGATGAAATCAACGAGTACAATGTTCGAGACTAATTGATATCAATTTGAAGTAGAAAGACAATTACCGATATGAAATTTTCTTATGTAAAAAACAGATTTCGCAGTAAACACTATTCCACCCCTTCCAAGCGCGTAATATCCACAATTTTCATAAAACTTCCGGTTCGAGAGTGAGAGGGATCGTGTTCTTTACTAATATATATACTTATGTGGATTTCTACTTTTAATGTTATCTTCGTAAACCAAAGTAACAAGAACTTACAAAGAGATACTGAAACACCGATTTTCTAAAAATGTAAAAAACGTGTCAGATGCGTCTAACGTGCCTTTCATTCTAACGCGCAGGTATGAATTTAAAAACTCACTGAAATTGAGACTGATTTACAATTTTCGTATCTTGAGATACCAATTCTACTTACTGTAATTTTGACAAGTGATATGAATAGAGGAAATCTATGTCAATTAGATAACATGCATAATCAACGATTTTTAATGGTACTGTTATTGATTTGAAAATTGAATCAAAAAGAAAAATGTGAAAATTAAAATTATGTCTGAAAATTTCTTCAAACATGCAATTTTTATACCGATGTTTGATTCACCATTCAAATTTTAAATAGCGATATAAACGGGACGAATTAGGAGCTTTCATTTGATAAAAAGGGTTCTCTTATTTTCTTTTTCTTCGAAAATTGAAAATCAATCTTACATCTGTCCTGTTACAATAAGGTTTTTTATAAACAATTCTCTGTACATATTTATCATGAATGAATAAGCTTCATGCTATCAAAACACTGTTATAGTTCCAATCTCAACCAATGAAATTCACATGAGTTGATTTAATAAGTGAAGATATCGATTCATAAATGATGATAAAAAAAAGACACTTCCCAATGGTTAAAATCAATTAATAATTAAAAAAATATTTCTCTCGAACTAAGCAGATTCTGTTAAGGATGGCATTGATAATTACAAATAGTTACATCGTGATAACAAATAAAGATGTGCTCTACAAAATAAAAATCTTCATAAAATCCTGATTTGAGACGAACTTTTCATTTCTAGGACATTCGACAGCCAGATATAAAATGAAGCAATTGGTATTAAGAATATCTTTTTCATCAATTGCTGTTTACCGTCTCGCTACCTGATAAAGCAGTCGTCAAGAGGACATTTCCTAGCGTCATGCTGTTGACGCGTGCGGCTGAGAGGCTCGCTTCGATTTGCACGTCGTCAATACGATAAGACTTGATTGGCACTGACGTATAGCCGCGATGAGTATTTAAGGTGTTGCACTCGGTGGAGTTGATCATACTGAAAGCTCACAGCAAAGCGAACACAAGCTAAGGTGAACTCCAAGAGTTAGCGAACCACGCAGACACTGAGCACGCGAAAATGAAGTTTCTGATTGTCGCCTTGTTCGCCGTCAGCGCCGCAGCGGGTAAATATAAATTTGCTCTTGGTCGAAGCAGCTCGTCTGCGGCTGACTGGTAATCTGGTATCTGGTGCATTCCAGCCGAAAAACTATTCTGCACGCCGAACTCGCTCTTCGAGCAAAACTGCAACAACTGCGTCTGCTCCGAGGACGGGAAGTCCGCGGCTTGCACGGACATGGTCTGTCCGGAGCGGCAGCGCACAGGGAAGATCTGCGAGCCGGGCACCCAGTTCCACTTGGACGCGCTCAGCACCTGCACGTGCGGCAAAGATGGCACCGCGGCGGTCTGCACGCTGGGGCCCCAAGTCCAGGCAAGAAGTCGCCGCTTGACCAACGACGGTGAGTGCGCGATCTCGTGGACGGGCAGAGCTCGGGACTGCTCAGTGCGTTTCCGTCAACCGACGCCTTCCTCTCGGGTTTTCAGGCGAGTACTGCACTCCCGGCGCCACCTTCAGCCCGGACAACTGCAACAGCTGCGTCTGCAGTCAAGACGGCCGCAGCGCAGCTTGCACTCTGCGGATGTGTCCCGTGGAACAGCCGAAGAAAGTGTGCGAGCCCAATAAGCCCTTCAAGGACTACTGCAACACCTGCGCGTGCTCCAAGGATGGCTTGACGGCCGCTTGTACAAGGATGTGGTGCGACGAGAACATCTGGAATCCCGACGGCACCATGAAAGTGCATCAGGTTCAGCACGAAGCCAAGCAGCTTTGCGAGCCCCGCAAGACCTTCAAGGATTATTGCAACGCGTGCACCTGTTCGGAGGATGGCCTGTCCGCCGCCTGCACGAGGATGTGGTGTGACCGGAAGATCTGGAACCAAGACGGCAGCACCAAGTTTGCCGTCAAGTCTGCCCAAGGTGAGTTGTCGATCGTTACGAGCAGCTCACGCGATGGACCTATCGGAGGAAGAACACGAAGAACACGCGAGTAACGGTGCTTTTCTCCCGATTTCAGCTCCAGTTTGCATCCCAAACAGCCACTTCAAGGAGCAGTGCAACACCTGCACCTGCTCGGCCGATGGTTTATTCAAGATCTGCACCATGATGTCCTGCGAGGCTCTTGACAGCAAAGCTAAAGATCAAATTTGCACGCCTAGGTCCACTTTTACCCCCGACGGTTGCAACGTCTGCAAGTGCGATGAGTTTGGTACCGACTTTGCTTGCACATTCATGATGTGCCGTTAATCTACCGGGAAATATCATATATCAATTAGGATTATCTTGATATTAAATCGTAAGATTTATGTCCGAATGTGTTGTCGCTGGAGCGGTGACGCATGGCGCATACAAGATACAAGTCTGATCTCTGTGATGATCAACTAGTGTGGGTTGAATGTATTATGATTGCTAGTCTGGGGAATGTTTGTCACTAGATATTTCTTTAAACGGTTTATGCTTATGAAAGCACTAAACTCAGTTATGTGATTCTTTTAGTTAGCCAACAAATTAATAAATATTATTTATCAGTTATTATATTATCTTGTATGATCCATTACTTTTCATAACCAAAATCATATTATACTCTACTGTCTAATCTGCCATTGAGAGCTACTAATCAATCATCTTCAAGACGGACTGATAGCTAGCAGCTGTCAAAATTAATACTTCATCACGTTTGAAAAGAAAAAGAAAGCGATAAACATTGTAGCACTTTTATTAAGTTAAATCAATAATAATAATGGAGTTACGGAAATTTAGGATCAAATTTTTTGCATCACAGAATTCATTATTTAAATAAATGATCCAATAGTTGCCATTAATTCATAAGGAATGTGCATAATTATTTCAAGAACTTTTATAAACAATACTACATAAAGGTACAAATGAATTAATTATTGGATGGTTATAATTATTATTAGTAGTTTTGGTTACAAGAACTTTCTAATAACTCTACGTCCTAATATTATTAATACTTTTTTTAAGAATATCCTTCTTAATCCTAGAAAAGTCAGAATCGACTTTCAGCATCTTCATACAAGCCTCAATCGCATCTGCATACTGTTTGCTCTTGAAATGACAGTAGCGAGTTTATAACCAATGTTCAGTTTATACTTATCGCCGTACTTCTAAGCCAACTCATATTTTATCGTAGCTTCTTTATAGCTTTGTTCCTTCTCTGATACGTAATCAGAGAGTTCGTGAGCTCGCATACACGTCGCGTTATGCTGCAGTACTTTGCACTGAAGATTAGTTGCCAGATCGTACCGACTGCGTTTGCACATTAGTGATATATCATTGATTGATATGAATATAAATCATTATCATAATGTATTTCTAGTTCGAATAAGGATATGAAAACTTTGTAATTGTAAGTTCGAATTACAATAATGGTCAACTATAGCGTTATGTGTTATTTATTCTTAATTTTATCATTGCACATATGAAGAGTGGCTGTTAATAGGTAATTCTATTTAATTTACATATGCTTTTATAAGCATTTATGTCTATTATGCGATTCTTTAATTAAATAATAAATCAATAAATATTGATTTCAATATAACATTTATCTTTATCGTGTAGGTTTTCCTGTATATACAAAGTGTCCCATTTTAACATCGATAGTAAGATAACGTAAATTTTGCAATGTAATTGAAAAATGATTTAGATAAAAATTGTATATTTTTGAACGAGTCAATTAGCGATGGCCTTAAATTTGACCTTGAGCTTGATTTTCTAGGATATTTAAAATTAGCCTATTTATTTTGTAATATCTTTGATCCCGAAAAAGATGGGCAATTCCATTTTCAGATGGGGTATCAGATATGGGGTCCGAGATCATTCCTTGTGAAGTTCAAACTGAATTCCTTTTTTTTTGCCAAATAACCCGACAATGGCAGGACGATACAGCAACAAATGTTTATTCAGACATGTTTTAAACAACAATAGATTGTCAAGGTCATTTCAAGTTTAACTTTGTTTTTTTCAATGTGGACCTCATTTTTCATTCTGGATTCGAAAAGAATCAAGATAAGCTTTTATGCTATGATCGAAATCATTTTATCTACATAATTTGAGCATGTAGGGCTGTTTGTTGATTCATACTGATCTAAGCTGCTAAGTGCCCTAACTAATAACTGGCTATTTAGCTCAGTAACGAGAGGACCTATCACTCGACACAGCGTAGAGGTTCTTCCGCGCCATATGTCGGTTCTTCAGTAGATATCGGAACTACTGTGAAATAGATGAATAGAGCAGGGTGGACCAATAGCGTGGCCTCCTAAATCTCCGGATTTAAGCTTAATTGATTGTGGAGATGTGTGAAAAATATTTTGTTATATAAACTTCCAACACCATTGAAGATGATGGATCGAATTACAAGAGCAAAGTGATAGATTCTGAAATTCTTCGTGTACAGCGTAAGTTACGCTGGCGGTTGTTGATGTGTTTGGTGGACATTTGAAATAATGGTGGACACTTATTTTGCCTTAACTGGCTGGATCTCTACACGATCTTGCCTTAAATGGCTGGATCTCTACATCATTTTGCCTTAAATGGCTAGATCTCTTCACGATCTTGCCTTAACTGATCGGATCTCTATATGATCTTTCCTTAATGGTTCGGATCTCTGTATGATCTTGCCATAATTAACTGGATCTTTACGCGATCTTGCCTTAGTTGATTGGACCTTTACACCATTTTGCTTTAATTGGCTGGAAGATAAGACCTTGTTCGTGGCCTTGGTAAGCGCTAAACTTAAGTACTCGCAGATAAGGTTTTCACGATGCGTGAGCAATAGGCCACCCTGTTATTAAGTTAAGCAGCCATTTGTCAGATCCCTTGGCTGCTTAGGTTCTGTAGAATATTGCCCGATCTTTCTGAACCCGGGATAAACAATGAGGTCCACATTAAAGAAAACAGAGTTGAACTTGAAATTACCTTGAAAATAAAGTTCAGTGTCACAGGCAATTACCGAAGTTTAGCAGATGTTGTCTGAGACATTTTTCGCTGTATCCTAAAAGTGACGGGTGATTTGCCAAAAAGAAAAGAAATGAGAATCAAGTTCAAGGTCAAATTTAATGTCGTCGTTGATAGACCCCCTTTGAACCATACAAATTTTATCTGAAACAATTTTCGAATACTTTGCAGTTTTAAATTATCTTAATGTCGATGTTAAACTGGGACACCATGTATATGGGTTCATTCACGTCAAACAGATAATGGCTTTGTACCAATTTGTAAATCATGAAAAAAAAACTTAGAATCATAACTGAATAATTTACAATCGATTTTCGAAATATTTTAATGAAATCTCTATGGTTAACAAATGTCCAGAATGACTTAATGATTTACAGATTTTCTGGCAAGTCTGTTTATGTATGAGATGAATAAATTTGGAAGCAGATTAGTTGACGTAGGATATGAGCTAAAGTTGCTTAATCCTCTGAAGGTTTATACCGTATCTTCAGTAGTACATTGAAGTGGGAACGGTTATGCTGTACTAATCGTCCTTAAATGCTGTAGAAACCACACACATACCGTGTTTAATATCGATCAGTCATCGGTCGAGTCTACCACTAACATGAGCTTCGAGAGCATAATAGAGAGCTACATGTCCTCCGCTAGAATCTTCGTTGGTATGGACGACCAACACCGCCGAGTCTTCCTAACAAAAGTACTCGATGTAGCGGTGAACGGCAGTGTATTCGGCAGATTACTCTTCAACGTCAATCTGCTAATCAACCACGACCGACGCAAAACGCTTTACTTCAGACTGGCAGTTGCCATTACACGATATTGCGTTTTGTTACGTAATAACTCCATCAGAAGTGGAACTGAGGATAATATGTTGTTGGTAATGCTTAAGGATATTGAAGATATGATTCAGGAGGTACTGGATGAACAAGAAAATTACGAAGAAGATGACATTGATAGATAAGTGTATTTTCAATTACATTTTGTATAAAGATTAATGACTATTATCGCACGTGGTTGTGATATGTATACAGGAATATTGTACATTTAAATAATGTATTTTTAACAGTGATCGTTGCTTAGTAATGGTACTAAATATTAAATACAATGTTCTGTATTGAAGTGTAGGAATAAATGTCTATTTAAAAATATCAAATAAACATTTAATTCTTAAATGTAATATCTCATGTGACATTCATTGAAAAATTACACTATCTATTCGTTTTTTTATGTTATTAATATAATGAAATTCTCCTTTTTCGCCGTGTACTAATAAAAGAAACATGCTGAACAGCAGGAGTCGTCATAATCACCGTACAAAAGAAATAAGGTTTTTGAGAAGTTGCTGCAATCATCCTCTCAAAAATGTTTATAATATTCCCTGATATTTACCATGGTTAACAAGTTTCCATATCATTTGTAAAATAACAGGCATTCAATTAAACTTAAAAAGAAATGTATTTTAATGAAAATCAAGTTTCAATAAATATATTATTCATTATATACTAATTAAGATAAATATATTTGTTTTTTTTGCTTTGTTTTATATTATAGTGTGATTTTTACACATGACACACTGATCACTATACTTGTTCTTACGTACATTAGTAAATCATATTGCGACATGTGAGACTTAAGTAGCCCGTCATTGCACGGCATGACATTAGCGCCCGAGCACAAGCAAGAGCTAATATCGTCACGACGCGTAACGGTGGAATACTTGAGTCACGAGTGTTGTACAATGCCGATCATTCTTAAATCAGCACTCACGGTTTTTATATCCGTGAATTAAGTTTGCGCCATGAGTTTAGGGCACAAACGCTCGCCAACGAGTGAACTAAACACGGTGCAAAGGTGGACTATTTAAGTCACGGATAGGCGTTATACTGAAGTGCTAACTTAAGTCACGCAGTGCTATAAAAAAATTGTTGGTGACATATTTATTACTACGCAATGAAAATGAATATAATTAAATTTCAAAGAAGAAAGTTTGCGTGCCACTGGAATTATAATGATGCCATATGCTTTAAAAAAATCAGAGGTAAGTAGGGTAAAGTGGAAAATGGGGTAAAGTTGGATGTATTTCTAGGTGTATTTGTAATAACCGTAAATAAATTGTTATGATATACCGACGTGTGCAGACGTACTTTTATGCTTTCTAGAATATTTTAGTTTTTAAAAAATTTTCCACTTTACCCCACTTACCTCTACAATTAGAATATTGCCATTATAAAAAGTTGATTCAAAAATGTTGTTCGTAAGCAAATTTTTGTCAATTTTTTATAATAAAGAAATTACTTGTTTTCAATGAATTTCAATATGTTCAGAATTATGAAAAAGATCTCGGAATAAAAAATTTAGTGACACGCGAGTAACGATCTTGAAAAATTTTCGCTGGATAATATTTAAAATATCTATTGAGATGCGTTGATCGGTGATATCCGGAGTTGACAAACAACGCAAAAGAATGTTACGTAATGTTACGTAAGCTATGTGTAACTGTGGACTCTTATAATTTTTTATATAATTAATGTTTATGTTACAGGGGTGTTCGCGTTACCAAGTAATTGGTAAAAGCATTTTTAATGAATTAAGGTGAGAAAATTTACAAAGATGACGGAATTAAATTTAAGTTGACTTGTGTTTAAATGATTTAAATACGACGATTGACTCGTGCAATACCAAGTCGCTAGCAACGATAATTTCGTTATCAGAAAGCTTTTAATGTTTTGCTTTGTGTAACAGACGTTACAGTTTCTAAAGCTATACTTTTCATTTGTCTTCTTTACCTTTCTTGTCGTCACGTGCACGTTGGACCTCACGTTCATTGAAACAATTATGGTTGACATTAACGAAGATAATGTCATCAGATGGTTCTGCGGCATTCGACTCTCCCGATGATGTGCTGTCCGTACGGAAAAGTCCTGCACTAAACTTACGGACTGTTCTAATGGTTTTCTTTACCAATTTCACTGCACGATTCTCTTTCTTATGTAGTTTAGCATCTCCCATGTGCATAAAATGCCATATGAGCTTGAATTCGAGCTTCTCCTTTACACGTCGAAGTTCAATCATAGCTTCGCGGTGGCTTCTCTCGTCTTCGAGGTATTTTTCTCTGTCTGCGATTGCCTGCGAAACCAGTTCATGGTTCAAGTTTACTGTGCGTGCAAGCTCTTTCATGTAGTTAACTTTTTCTATGTCCATTTTCTCGTGCAGCTTTGTCAGGTATTCGTTTTCGTTTTCTAATCTGTCAGTCTTTAGGTCAAGATCGTTGATTTGGCTGTCTTTCTTCTGTATGTCAAGTCGCAGTTGTTCGACGAGCAACTTCATTTTGTGACATTCGGCGCAGTTCTCGGCCTCCTGTCGCCTATGCTCTTCGATCATTTCGAGTTTTTCACTCTGAGATTGGATCTCAAGATGGGCGCGCTTGAGTTCGTCCTCCAACCGGTCCTTCAGCATCATAATCTGATGCAAGTCTCTCTTCGTTTTATCCAACGCAATTACACACAGTTTGCCCGGTGGCGGCTCCAACAGCTCCACTAAACTTGTTAATTCCTTAATATCCCTCGTTGCAGCTTCTAGCGAAACAATCTTTTTATCGAGGCTTGATTGCATCGCAGTTAATGATTTTTCCAATTCCTTCTTCTCAGCCTCAAGAGCTGAAATGATGAGTTCGGAATCTTTTGTATTTTTTTTACCACAGTGGCACGTATCCTCCAGCAGGTCCTTGATCGTGTTGGACGCTGCGTCGACCAGGCGTCCGCTCTTAAGAGACAAAGCCGACTGCTGCTTTATCCGGCGTTCTATAAAAAAAAAATTTCAACATTAGTTTATTTTAATTTTTCATAATTGTTTCATTATGTATCGCGCCAGACTAACTTTTTTTTAAATTTAATTTATTTCAAATTATAATGTAAATATGACTAAAATAAGTTAAATATTCGGGAAAAATTTTACCTAATTCATCATTAAGCGATGTTAATTCAGCAGTCCTTTTCTTGAGGTCGCCGTTCTCCGATGCAAGTTTTTCGAACTCATCCTGAAGGTCAACCATTTGAAATTCAATATTTGTAATGTTCTTAGCTTTAGATTTGTAGATGTTAAGCTGGTCGATGAGTTCTTTCTTGCTCTTGTGCAGCAGGTCATTTTCAGTTGTTAACTCGTTCACGCGGGCTCTATAGTGTTCCATTTTTTCTATTTTTTCTTTGTACCTGTCGATTTGTTGTTCTAGGTCGTCGAATCGAGAAGCTTTATCCATTGCGACGTCCAGAGCGTCCCGGTAATCCTTTGCTGATTTGGCTTCGCACGCTGTGTTGAGAAAATCACCATTAATTAAATGGTATAAAATATGTTTTATAATATTTTTTTCATTTATTTTTATTTTGCTAATTACTTATCAATTTATTTGCGTGAGTAACTGAATGATATTGGTAAAAAATTATTCAAAAATAAAACTAAATAGTACCAGTGTTTCTATTAAAACTCTACTAAAAAAAGTAGTGTAAAAAATTAATACATACCTAAACGCGTATTTTCTCTTAGGATAAATGTAAGTTTATTTTCAATTTTTTCTAATTCTTCTAAATATATTACTTGCGTTTTTTCGAGTTTTTTAGCTTTAGCCTTCCACATATTAAGCTCCCCACAGCATTCTTCTGTCTTGTCTTTTTCTTTTTCTACAAAATTTGTATACTCGTCGTTGATTTTCTTGAAATATTCGAAAGCTTTATTTACTTTTTGCGCATGTAAAGAGACTGAGTTACAGTGTCCGCCGCCGTTGTCTGACTTGAACAGCAGCATATCACGAGACAAGACTAACTCCGGAAAATCGGTTATCTGTTGAGCATAAATGATGATTATTATCAATTTATTGAAACGATAATTTTCTTCGATTCGTAATGCAAATTTTCTTCGATAAAAATGCTCTTACCTTTTCGATATATACTGAAAGAGCTTCCTGGGTGGAGCAATTGAATCTCTTAATATTGTCGATAAAATACTTCTTGTTTGGACATCTCATCGCGCAACCCAAGAATAAAACTAGTAATAACTCGAGGTCATCTAAATTATCTTCAGGTGCTTTAGCAATCATTTGCAAATTGGGCTCCTTCATGAGCACAGAGTCAATTTCATAGAACTTCTTCATATTGCGCATTACGATTACCAGATTTTTCAGTCGTAGCTCGTGGTCCGACAAAGGCTCTTTTATATCCTCTATATAGTCATGAATCCCCCTGAACATTAAAAAAAATATATTAGAATTTCATCGAAATAATTGATCACATTTATTTATACAATATAGAGATAATATTTTTCTCAATGTAATTTGAGTGAAAATAATTTACAAAGTGACGTAATATAGCTTAGTATATGCGTTTTTACGACTTACATTTTCCTAAAAACTTTGTACATCAAGACCCCATCCGCAATCTCCTCTATGGTGAGCTTACATTTAATAAAACAGTGTACGCAGCTCTCAAACTATAAAAACAAAAAAAATCGAACCAATCATTTAAATCACATTGTTTACTTTCGTTAGTTTTATTTAACAAAAATTTTAATCAAAATATCGAACTTACCCATTCCACTACCGGTGACTCCATAAAATCCTTACTACTTTCGTAACTTCTGCCGTTCCACATGGTTTTATACTGAAAAATACGAATTTGTATTTTAAATAATTTACTAATAAAATTACGAATTAAATATTATAGATTATCGACAAAAACTTGACGAGTCTTATTAAATCTGCTCAAAGCGCAAAAAGAATTGTTGATGTAAGTGGTAAAGTATCGATCGTGCACAAACAGCTCAGACAACTACACGATCCGCATATTAATTTGTGGGCAATAATTGCGTGTATTATAATTTTGTGCACGATCGATACTTTGCCATTCAAATAATGCTTCAACTATAAAGTGAACAAGCGATTCAAGAAAAAAAACGAGATAAATGGAAGAAAATAAATTTCGTTATAAAAGTCGTAAGAACAAAAGTTGCAAAATGTGTGTCAATTATAAAATAACGAAAAAATCTTTGAAAAAAAATATATATATATATATGTTTAAAAAATATCACTGTACTTACTATGAATTCGAAAAGAAGATTTAAAAAAATTGTACGATGTTCGTACAGCAGCAACTGTCAAAGAAGATTAGCACCAAGTACGAAACGTACAACAACCGGTAAGGGCGAGTCAACGTACTCAAAACGTCAGTACTACAAAAACTTTAAAGGCAACAAGAAACTGTTAGCGAAATTTACAGTTGTGGCTACTAAAGCAGAATCACCTTGCCAGACTGATCTCGCACATGAACTGACCCGAATGTAGCGGAGCGACGGCTAATATAGCCGTGAGCAGGAAAGGGGTGGAAAGTCGGCACATCCCTTCTACCTTTTTCCGGAAGCGCCTCCGTTGCTCACTTGCGCCCCCCATGCGCGATCTTTTCTGTGCTCACGAGGATAACTGGTATTAGACGCAACACCCTCCCACCACTTTGGCCGTTCGGACCCCCAGCAAGTAGTTCTGACGCACCCCCACTAGCCTCTGGCGTGGGTCCCTTGCCCTCTCGCGCAGCCTGCCATCCCCTCCTACAGCTTGTTTTGACGCACCCCCACTAACCTCTGGCGTGGGTCCCTCTCCCTCTCGCGCAGCCTGCCATCCCCTCCTACGGCTTGTTTTGACGCACGTCTCTCCACTTTCGTCTATACTACAGACGCTCTTACACCCTCGAAGGTCGGACGACGGGGTAACGAGGAGAGATGATTTCAAGAAAGGATACCTGGCAGCGCACAGCAATAAGGCAACCATCAACATAGTAATCCGTTTATTATACGCGCTCGGTAGACAGTCAAATTGAGGAAGCAATTAACAAAAGATTCAGATTGTAAAACGGCCGCAGTCCAGTCTGCCATTGCTACACCTCTGTCTCTATGTCCAGGGGCCTATAATTGAGTTTTAGAGTACACATATTTGGTATTATAGATTGTAAATATCCAAGTAAATTATGTAAGCACTAAAAACCTTCTCTTCTGTGGCACATACATTGGACAAAAAGTAGAGTAATAGAGAGAAAAAGAGCGAGAGTGAAGTAGATATTTGTCTTGTCGTTTCGCTTCCAGCGATGCACTTTCTTTAAGTGCAATATTATTTTTGCTTTGCCGTGCAGCCTCTTGCCATTTGGCTTTTGATTTTTTACCTCAGATTCATCCTTCAAAATATGGAATATTATTTTTTCAAGCATCATTTCTAACTCACGCTTTTTTTTCAATATATATAACGTTTTACTGACTATAGAAAAGTAGACACATATATTTTAGAGCAACGGCATTTTTAATAATCTGTACAAACGTTTACAAAAGGCGAGACAAACATTTCATATAAAAAATATATCTTTAACATTGATAAGCGTACTCTGGATCGTTCGGAATAGAAAAAATACAAAATGCATATTGGCTGTGATGTCGTGCAAACTCCCTACTCGTTGATGAACTTAGGAGCACGCTTCTCGACGAACGCCTTCATTCCTTCCTTTTGGTCAGCCTGCAATGTATACGATAAAATAATTAGTATATATAAATTAGTATTAATAAATAGTAGTATAATTAGTAGTAGAAATATGCATGCATATTTTCGTCTTTTGCTTAACTAAAGAATTATCCTAAGCCTAGTTTTTTTATCAATACAAAAATCTATATATTCACTCGAGAAATTCATGACAATGTTTATGTATTTTGTGTATTTTTAAGTCATTAACAATCGCCACATAATTATTATTTAAGATATGTTAAACGCCCGAACGGAGCATTTGGTTTAGTATCTGTCACCGAAGATGTGTGTAATGGAAAATGTAATTTTAATAGACGAGAGATGTCGGACCATTCTTAATGATAATTTAATGACGCCTATTTAAGTGAGTTGCACGTGTCGACTGCAGTGATGGCAAAAATGTGTGGGGAAAACCGAAGGTACACCGTCTTTCAACTAGCACTGCAGATATCGAGCTCTTTTACAAAATCCATTTGCACAGATTCTAAGCATTGTAAAGAATTTTGGTATACCTTGTAAATAATTTAGCCTATAAATAAATATTTTTCGAACAAAAGATGTAATTATTTTTTCGATACTCCGCGTGCAAAGTGCGTCTTTCCCGCACGTTTGGCAAAAAACGTGCGTTGAAAATCGCACTTTCCACACGTCGTATCAAAAAATACGGTACGACACATGTTCGGGAGAGTTTCTCGTCTCGTGTATCTTTCCACCCTCGCTTCGCTCGGGCGTAAACGCGCCACGAGACAAGAATCTACTTTCCCGCACTTGTGTCGTAATGTACTATTCAGCCTCGTGAGGGTATTGAAAGAGATCACACGAGGGTAAAATCACTTTCTCACACGCGTAAGTATCTAACTTTACTTTTCAACGCTCCGTGCGCGACGACATGACTTGATGCACATTCCAGTAACGAGCATGTTTAAAATTTCGTCTCACGCACGTCGTATCGAAAAATAAAGTTCGATGTATATATATGATAAAGTGATTTCACTCTTGTGTGGCCTCTTCATACACGAGCATCTGCACGAGGCTGAATTAGTACATTTTTTAACGGTGTGCAAGAGCGTTTTTGATGAAACGAGAGGTTTGCGACACGAGCCAGAGCCGAGTACTGTAACGAGATTCGTAAAAAAGCCTTTTTGCGTTAGTCAGAAAATATACTATTCTCCTATATGCATCGAAAAGTATTAAATTATGCCTTGTAATCGTAGAAAGACTTTTCTTATTGAATGAAAGTTTTTTGAATGCCATTTAACTTCTCTCATTTTTAATTCCAATAACTTTATTGATTCTTGCTAAAATTCTATTTTGTAAATAAGTAATTTTGAATTTTTGGCTTTTTCTTGCATAATAAATACAGGAAAATTCAAACAAAATTATTACTGACAGATATAGTAGCTATAGATAGGCTGTAATAGTTATTTTTTTTTTTAAATGATTTAGAATAGGAATAATATAACGTTGAAAATTAGCGGTACTCTATCTCGTAAATAATGAAATTACGGAAACCCAGATCAGTCTTATATATTGTGCTGTTAAAAATGAGCTGATCTCGACAACATTGATAAAATTTCTTAAAACTTATGCAAAGTATGATATAAATAACAAACAGGAAACAAATAACAATAATGAAAGTTGCTGCAGCGAGAAACGAGTTTGTTATTGTTACTATTATTTCAAGAACTACGTTTACGTAGAACGCTGCAGAGGTGTATTAGTTACTTGTATGCATTAGTCATTAACATACAGCCTTACCTCCCCTACCATATTCGGAATGGTAAGAGGAGAATCCGAACCACTAGATTCACGGTAACAATATGAATATTCATATTTATGAAAATTTTTCATATGTCCGCAACTCAAACCTACAACCTACTTTGGCTATCAATCAAATTTTTTGCACAAAAGTTATCATTTCGTCAAACTACTCCAAATAAATAGAAATGAAATTGGATTCATTATTCGCTAAGGTAACAAAATTTTCGCTCGATTTGCATTTAAAAAATCAAGTTATTCTGTTGTCAGAATGTCAAGACTGAGGAATAAGTGACACCAATAACCGTTCAGTCTCATGAAAAGTCCGATGCTGAGTGGCCTATTGCATATGCGTTTTTCAAATAAATAAAAATCTATTGTAGGCAATTCAAAATCAATTATACAGCAGTAGAAAACGTCAAAACTTACCAACGCAAAGGTGCCCCAAAACAGCCTTTTCTCATAGTCCAATCCTTGCTGCAAAGTGGTTTCATATGCTGAAAATAAAAGCGTCCATATGAATTATTTTAGCAAAGTCAAGAAGTAGCAAAAAAAAATATTCGTGAGTAGCATTTGGAGGAGTGAGAGAGCCGAGCTCAAGTGTTTCAGGCCACACCGGTTAAAAGCGCGAGTCGCGAAAGCTGACAGAACCTTCTTGACGAGGGTATTATAGTGGCAATAAGAGTAAGAAGGTAATAGCTGCTGACAGGGCTATAAGCAGGTATACGGCTGCCTCGTTTAAGTCTTCCCCCATCGCGTATTTTCTTTCACCGTGACACGTGTTGAGAGAATTGAGATGCCAATCTCTGTCTTTGGTTGAAGATTTTTGGTAAAGATAATACTTTCAAAGGATATTACGGTGATAGTTATATATTTTAATTTTGAAGCTGTCTGTTTACCAGAATTACAATATTTCTAAATTAGAAAATTTACCAGCAATGTTTCGACCTTTTCTTAGTTTTACTATTGAATGAGATTTCCAAATAAATTTACAAACTTCGTTCGCTAGTAAATTTTTTTATTATGACTTTCCTAGCCTTTTACTGGCCTATTTCAAAGTAAAATTTTTGACGGGTAAAAGTTATGATATTGTTTATCGCCGCATTAAAAAAAGTCTACTTCAGGATCATGTGCTCAGCGGTTGTCAAAATATTTTTGATTATTTATAAATAAAAATAATCTTGAAAGTTATGAAATGAGTTATTTTAGTTGTAAAATGTCTGTTACAAGTTTTATTAAATTTTCTAAAATATCATATTGTTTATCAACGTCTCAACGATGCATGTATCTAATCTTGAAACCTATTTGTCGATTTCTAGAAGAGACTTGGAATATTTATGCTCAGATGAGTATTCCCAAATCACAACCGCTGAGCAAGTGGTAATATTCCTACGAACGTTCTTTTGTGGCACATTCCAGACTATGACGATCAGCTTTTCAGGGGTAGGTTTCGAATTTTCTTGAAACTTGGTCTACATATTGTTTATATGGTACTGTATTCAAGTATGGGTTATTAGATTATTATAATAATTATATCAAAAGTTATAAAAAATTGAAAATTTTTGACGCCGATAAGTTGGTAAGTTTGATAGCAGTGCCGACGCGCGGTCGAGCGAGCGTCGAAGGGCCTGTGAGCGTCCACTATTATCGCTCACTGTGTCGCATCTAATGATCGCTCGATGAATTTAAAAACGGATTCTTAAAGATAAAATGTCAAGGAATTCAATAAAAACAGAATTTTTAAAATAAAAATAACACTTATTGAGATATGGGCAATTGTTTAAAAAAAATGTTAATAACTTTTGGAAAAATTTATATTAAAGTATTGTTCACTTTATATTTTCAAAATACACCCTTTTATGTGTAATTTCAAAAAAAATTCGCTTTGATAACTTAAATGGTTGCGGAGATATACATTTTTGAAAATTTTTTGTCAAAAATTTTCAATTGTTTATAACTTTTGATATAATTATTATAATCATCTAATAATCCATACTTAAATACACTACCATAGAAACAATACGTATACCAAGTTTCAAGAAAATCTGAAACCTACCCCTGAAAAGTTGATCGTCATAGTCTGGAATGTGCCTTGTATGTATAACATTGCATGGATGGTACATCGTATGTTCGGATCTCAAATAAATTTGTACGTGAAAAAAGCGTAGCACGCGTTATATTTGCTTGTAAGATCAAGTGTCGTGGTAGCGGTACGCATGCGAGTAGGCACGTAGTGGGGGCGGCGGGCGTCCTTCTATATATGTAATATACAATACATTGTCAAGTTAGGGCTTCTATGAACATTTTTTTTCTCACTACCACGTATTTGATATTAATGTTCTGATAAGTCAAATTGGAAGTCTTGAATAGCATCTATCACCCGAAAAAAGTTTCAGTTTTTTGTGAGTGAAATGTCCCCACCCCCTTACACACCTTTCAAAAAAGGTAAAACTGTCATGCGAGTAGGCTTCCGAGATTGTTTTAAGGGATAACATGCTAATTTCGGCTGATTAGATTCAGAAAATATTTTTCATGGTAGCAAACGTTTATTTTCGTACTACTTGACTGTCCCTTTTGCATCGCAAGTAGTGAAAGGTCGGTCGACTACCCTCAGCGAGAACGCAGGTAAACTCTCTGAGCAACTAAAACCTTCTTTAAAATTTGCATAAAAATAACAATAATAATAATAATACTTCTTTAAATAATCCCAAAACTGAGGAGAAAGTTAATATTAGAACTTCTCAACTGGATTAGCATGTTAAAATGATGTTACAAAAAATAACGATGTGCTTTCATAAATTATAAATTATATTGTTATTGAAAAACCAAGGCCGATTTTGCACCATCCCACTAAATGGCTTCTATAATTGGTTCTCATGAATATTAACAGCTCAAAATTGATCTTTAGAAAAAAATGTTTTTCTTTGACAATTCGTAACAGAGTTTTGTCCATCGAAGTGACGCATCTCTTAACTCTTAAGGTTTTAATTTTTTTCCGAATAAACGAAAGTTTATATTGATTTTTGGGAAAGACTATAGGAAACTAGATACTATGAGGAATATCCTCAAAAATTTTTTTTTCAATCTATTAGTAATTATTTCCTCTTTCTCACACACCTTTCAAGAAAGATAAAACTGTTATGCGAGTAGGCTTCAGAGACTGTTTTAAAATCAATTGTTAGAACACGATCAACGACAAGCAAGTGCATATAGTATAAATGAATTTCGATTACGTCTACGATACGTTTTTCGAACTTAAGAAACGGGTTGGTCGGTTGGTCGAATTAGTTTTTGGAACGAATGAGTTTCTCTGATGTGTCTTATGAAGTTCAAAACAATCGTGACGCAGCCGTATTCGAAATATACTATCTACTATATGCACTTACTTGCCGTTAATTGTGTACTAAAAATTGATTTTTAAATAAAAAATTTTAACTCGCTTCGCTCGGGCGTAAACGCCACACGAGACAAGAATCTACTTTCCCGCACTTGTATCGTAATGTACTATTCTGTACTTGTATTGTAACGTACTATTTCGCTCAGTGAAGCCGAAATTACCATGTTATCAATCGAACCGCGACCGGAAATAGAAGATAATGACACAAAGTCGGGAAAGTATCGGCGACTCCGTATCAGGTGTGAATTAACATCCGAGGCGACGCCGAGGCAATTAAACGCATGCTATGGGCTTGCCAATACCCTGGCCGTGTGAGCCAAAAAATAATATACGCATTACGGTCGGAAAAGTAATAGTTCACAGCATGTGAGAATGATAACCGAGGCGAGGCCGAGTCTCTGCAGTTAATCTATTATTCCATTATGAACTGAATTATAGAAATACGCCTACTTTAAGCATAAAATTTCAGATTGTTTACTATACAGCTTCCATTTATCCACCTCCATGTCACCGAAACGTCTCTCCGTTTCATCCGTCCCTAAAGGATTTTGCTAGAGAGCTGCTTAAACTTAATAAGCTGTGGCCTTGTGTACAAGCGTCTATTCGTTGATTTTATTTCCAGAAATATTTGCTCGTTAAAGTATACAATAAGTTAGAATGATTTTTTCTTATACCCCTTAACTGCTATGTGAGGTAGATTTACCCTAGACAATTTTTAACAATAAATAAAATTTTTTTTTTTTTTTCAACAATTTTTTTCAGTGTGTGTAACATTAAAAATTGTTAATCTGAATATTTTTTTTTGTAGTAAAAGGTTCGAAATATACTAGAAAAAATTTCCATAACAAAACATCTAAAATTCTCTGATTTATTCGATGTTTTTCGGGCTGGGGGAGATTTACCCCACCGAGCATTTACGTGGCCAAAATGAGGCGTGCAAGTTAAGGGATTCACATTTGTCTTTTACTAATGGATCTTTAATAGAACATTTTAGCTTATGATTCATAATTGACACGAATTTCGAGTTTATTTATTTTTTTCATTTTTAACGAAATGAATGTAAATCTATTAATTATTATAGTAGTTTGAAACTCGAGCTTTCATTACTCTAAAATATAAAAAATCAATTTTTCGTATCAGGCGCCCGGGAAGTGCGAATTTCCGCTCGGTAGCATGAACGGAAGTTTCACTTCTCGGCCTCTCTAGTACGAAATAGTACATTGCATATCAACAGAAGTAAATTATTGGCAAGTCTAGCTCGGCTTGCCACCCAAGGTTTCGCCTACAATTTAAACCACGCCTCAAATATGTTTTTTCAGACAATTACGTTCAAGTTTTTGATAAAGTTGCTGGATAGTCAAAAAATGATTTTTTTCCCTTGGAAACCTTCTGAGCCAAGTGTATGAAATATCTGAAATAAACTTGACTCAGAAGTATCTCAAGGAGAACAAATTATTTTTTGAATACCCAACAACTTTACTAAAGTTCAAACGAAATTATGAGCAGCTTGAAAGAAAGCACCAATATGCCTAATTAATTACGTCATATTACTATTAAATATTTAAACTTTATTATTTATATAATTAAATAATTACACTTTTAAAAGATAATTATAAAATGCAGAAAATGTAATTGAAAGTTTGCAATTAAAAAGTCGCCTTGAAATAAATGTCAGACAGTATCTCTCACCTTTGTTCACAGAGTCCTTAGCCATAGCCACAGCGACCTGCGAATGAGCAGCGATTTTTTCACCCAGCTTCACAGCCTCACTAACGAGTTGATCATCGGGCAGGACTTTGCTGACGAGTCCACTTTTTTCTGCATCTTGAGCGCTAAATTGTTGACCAGTCAATACAATTTCCATAGCTTTACTTTTGCCAATGGCACGCGTTAGACGTTGTGTGCCACCTGCACCGGGTATCGTGCCAATTGCTATCTCTGGTTGACCGAATTTGGCTTTTTCACCCGCATAGATAATGTCGCACATCATTGCCAACTCGCAACCTCCACCGAGCTGAAAAATGACGAAAATATATTAGGGGGTTGTAAACGTGATTGTTTTGACGTAGAAAGGATCGACATCAGCCTGAGTCAGGTTTTAAATTTTGGTTTTTGTATTGTTGAAGCGAAGGAAATTTCATGGGTGGTTGGAAAAGAAAATTTTGAAAATTAAACGTTGCCTCTTTTTTTTTCCTAAAGGCCCGAAAAATAAAAGAACTCAGTAGGTGTTTTCAAAACTCTTCAAAAGTCAAGAGAAACTCTTAACGGAGTCAAGTATTAAATACGTGTAGGAAGACAATGAGTTAGTTTTATGAACTGCTAAAAGTATTATTGACCAAAAATATAAGTAAGAGATAAAGAATATTTCATACAAAATAAAATTATTAAAGAATTCTAATTTATTTGTTTTAATATTTCAGGCTAAAGAGTATCTTCGTATAATGAATCTTAATTCTATTGCATAATCGGTAAATTGCGTATTCAAATTAATTTTTACAAATCAAAAATTAACGACAACGAAGGAAATGGAAAAGAAAAAGCAAATATACAAAAGCACAGGCTCAAGCAACGAATTGGCACGTCCAGTCAGGCAAATACAAAATAATCTAACGTCGAGAACTCAAAACGCTGAAGCGATGAGAGACAGAGCCCATTTGAAAAACCAATTTTGCTTTGTAGAAAATATTTGGGAGGAGTAGTCCGCGAAACGAGTGGGCGCTTGCCAAGAAAACGAAAATTCTAAGTGAGCGATGCTAATGACGCCTTTGAGGAGCGTGCTTCGCGACCCGCTCACAGGGATTAACATTTCCAGGTAGTTTGCGAGCAAAGATCCTACCATTTTTATGACACTCGAGGCTTTAACTGCTTAACTATGCACGTTGCTGTTAAACGCTTCTATTTCCCAAGATTTACCGACGAGTTATTGTAATCTCGAAATTGTCTATGCCTTTTCAATGTCACTTTTAGAGGAGTACGGCTTATAGGAGCAATATAACTTTCACTTTTTCACGTAAAATGAAAAACGAAAAAGAAATAAGAAATTTAACTAGCGCTATTCGTTTTTCTACTTCGCGTTATTTATTACATTAATCGGACCTTTCGACATGCTAATTATTTATGCATGCATAAATCACGCAGTTTTGGAAATACACAAAAACTACCGATATTCGTTGACGAATAATATTTCAATATGCACTCATAATTTCACAAAAATTATTAACTATTTACTTGTTAATCTATCTATTTATTTGTTAAACTATCAAATATTAATATTAACAAAAAAGTGATCAGAACGTAAGCTCGAACCTGGAACCTCTTATTTTCCAGGCTAAGCCTCTTCTGTTTGAGCTATTTTCTCAACTTACACTAAATATATTTACTTTTTCATTTATATTTTGTTTATGTGTATTACTTTATTTATAGTGTTAAGTCATACATGATACTTAAATAAAGTGATTAGCACAAACACAATATAAGTCTGAGAATTAATCATGTTCATGAAATATACTTTTGAAACTAGAGTTGAGAAAATAGCTTAGACGATAGAGAGTAAAATTATAGAGCAAGATATTTTGAGCTCGAGTCGTGATGGAGGTTTTATTTGTTAATATAAACATTTGAATTCATTGTGATGAATTGCCTTTAGAAATCAGTAATAATAGACAAGAAAATCAAGCTAATCATCACATGACAGACACCTCTGTTGAAAATGAGGAAAGTATTCATGAAAATATTGAAGCTATGATTAATTATTTAGACCACGATTTATTCATACAGAATATTGCTCAAATATATTTAAAATTAGAAAGTGAATTTTTGATTCCTGCAATAAATTTTGAATACATTAATAATGCAATTAATGATATTTACAACCATGGGCAAGAAATTATGTTAAAAAAAGTAAAAGAATCTTTAGAAAGAGATAATTTTCGCTCCGATAAAATAGAATAGATTTCAAAATTGATATTGGATCATCATTCAATGAATGAGATACATAAAAGTTTAGACGCTAATTATTCGCATAAATCTTATTATAAAAATAGATTTGATTATGTTCAACCATTTTTCATTAAAATTGATAAAGATAAAAATAAATATTTTACCTACGTTGCCATTAGAAATACTTTAAAGAGTATTTTTAAAGATAAATCCGTCAAATACGAATTGCAATTTACGCACAATCTTTGTGACAACGATTTATTGGTAGGCATAAGAGATGGAACCGTTTATATTTTAAAAATATTTATATTTTTTAAGGAAAATCCAAAGTCTCTTAAAATTCAACTATACCAAGATAGTTTTGAAACTATAAATCCTATTGGTTTGACAAAGAAAAAACATAAATTATAAACCGTGTATATGACAATATTTCATTTATCAGACCATTTCCGGAGCCACATAAATAATATAAAGCTTGTGGCTTTGTGTAAAGAAATTAATTTTAATCATGAAAAAATTTATGGAAAAATTGTTGATGATTTAAAAATCATTGAAAATGATAGTATCAAAATTGGAACAAAACTTTTGAAAGGTTCCCTCGTTTGTATTAGTGGTGATAATTAAGGTACTAATAGTTTGGGTGGCTTCATGGAAAATTTTTTCACGTCAAAATATTAGTGTAGCTTCTGTTCTATTACAAATAATGAATTTTATTCTTAAATTTTTTACGTTATTAGATTAGATTAAAATCACAGAATGTTTGTTTAACTCTGCCTACAATACTCTTGATTTTATTCAAGCATGAAAATTAATATTAATGTAAACAACAGCTTACGTAAAATTACGCACGTAGCGCGCTTGACGTTCGATACTAGTAATTTTAAATAAGCTTATTTTCTTAGCAAACGAATTCATTAAAACTTAAAAAGCAATCTTACAGCATATCCATTAACAGCAGCAATAGTAGGTTTTCTAGCTTTAGCAACGCCATTCCAGTGTTCAAGGAAGCTCTTCTGTACATTGTGTGCATATGTGTTATCAGCCATCTCTTTGATATCGGCACCAGCAGCGAAAGCCTTACCCTGACCGGTGATAACAACAGCACCGACGCTCTTGTCGCTGTCAAATTTTTCAATTGCATCGTTCAGTTCGGTCATTAACTGAGCACACAGCGCGTTCAAGGCTTTTGGTCGGTTCAGTACGATGAGGCCGACATTTTCTTTTTCACCGGTCTTTTCTACTTTGATAAACTCATAGGAGACTGGCGATGTTATCGCTGTGAAATTAAAATGTTATGTTATTTTTTTGCTTGATCGTGTAATTAATTTTAAGGCTTGCGTTCAATTCGATTTTAGAAAAACGTAGGGCACTGCTAAATTAGAATATTGAGTTTGATAATAAAATTCAGTAATATTATTTTTCTTTTGAAAAAATTTAGGAAAAAACAAAAGACGAAGTTATATTTGCTTCATCACGTTAATGAGGCCGAATATGTTACATTTTTTCATATTTGAGTCTATTTGCAATTTTTTGAAACAAAATGAGCTGGCCTACAAATATAAAGATACAATCCCCTTTAAATTATAATTAAGATTTTTATAAGTAGATTCACGTATGGCTTTTTAAAATATTAAATTTTTTAACAAAACAAACATCAATGAGATGGGCTGATATGGAGATGTCAGACGTCTAACGAGATTGTCGGGGGTGACAAAACTAATTGCTTTTTAATGCGCAATTCGATTTGTTATCGGTATTCTTACTTATGAATATTCTTTATCAATACTATTCGATTTTTTTACCATTACGGCTTGTTGCTTTTAAGTACGCATTAATTTCATTAAATGATACCTTTTCATAATATTAAAAACTTAATTTAAATAAAATTAAAATAAATTTTCAAAAAATTAAATTGAGACATCGATGCAACCTATAGGGAATGATAGAATTCATCGGTCTTTCACAATCCGAAAGACTAATATCCTGCGAATTCCGAGATTACGTTTTATGCAACATGACCATTTTTTTTATTTGTTTGGCAATGTGATCGATAATCTATTTGAAGTGACTGTTTGTTACGTGTTAAAAAAGGTGAAAAGTTAAAAATCCATTTATAATCCCGTTTATAAAAGCGAGCATGCGAATTAAACTCGAATCATCTTGAATTGAACGTGATTACGTTAAAACAGCCCCTCATTGGTCCATCAAAATTCGATTCGATTCGAGTCGAGCTCGAGTTTCGAATTCAAGTTAAAGAGAAATCGAGTATATCAAAATAATTAAAACAAATGGGAAGTTAACTTCATGCAAACAAAAAGTATATTGATATCGTAGTGAAAGATATCAATAATTTAAAAATTATCGATGGTATAGACAATGGTATAGATACTCATCTATAAATTACATTAAACATTCAAACATAGTAAATGGCACTTGTTACACGCGCGCGTTGTGCGCTGATAAACTGGCTAGTATTGATCTAAGAGTGTTCAACTTTTGGAATTTTTTTTTATTATCTTAATTGCATAGAAATTTTGAGTTCTGTTATCCTTGTCAATCACGCGCAGTTTTCCTATAATTTTTTCAATTTCATTTTTGTTGATTTCCCGCTAAGTTGTTTTATCCTGCCAGTGTAAAAGCTGTACGGATAGGAATGACTTATTTTGTCAATAACCAAAAATTTTAAATACTCCAATATTTACGTGGCATAAAAAAGCCACTTCTTACTAATAGTTCACCTTAACGATTATTTAAAAAAAAAACCTATTCCTATTAATACAGCTTTTATTATTTTGGGAGTGTGCCTTACAATAATAAAAGTATACATATCTATGTTTTTCAGGTGTATGTATCGCTGTAGTGAGAAATAATATTTATTCTTTAACGGATGGTTATAATCATATTATGATTGGCTGCGTGTGATTTGTGTTAACGATTGAACATGTACGTAGAAACAGTATTTAAATGCCACGCAGATACAATTATCGACAATCTGTAGATCAACAACTTTGGCAATTTTTTTATTAATTACAAAGAAATTGCGCGGGATTCGTAATCGGTTTTCCTAAGCTTACTAACGACACGCAGTTTTTCTATAATTTTTTTGAAACGATTACTATAGATTTCTCGCTGATTCCTTAATCCTAACGAAAAATAATTTCAATTTTGAATTTCGTCGTATGTTGACGAGCCCATCCAGTGTATAGACTACAGCTCAGATTGAAAACAGACTTGTGAATCTGACGCCCAAAAAATTTTTTTAAACATATTTTTGAGTTTTTATGAGCTAAAACGTTTTCTCCCTTTTTCCGGATTAAGTCTCCGCTTGAAAAGTTATTTCCGGATTTTTCGTTTTTAAGAAAATTGCGAAAAAAATCAGGCGTTTGGACAGCGCGCAATATGCATTAAACATTTTTTTCCTGTTTAAAAAGAAATAATATCGATAGTGGATGATAGCTCATTATTCCCGGATTACGAAACAATTTTGCTTTACCTCATAGTAGTAAAAAGAATACGATTGGTAAGGCAGAAGCGTTTCGTCCAGGTAATACCGACTGGACTCGTCAGTGATGCTCGACGGCAGATAACATCTGCCTCACGCTCGGAGTGATCAGGCCGCAATGAGGACTTATATATTCAACAAGCGAATTTTCTATTATACTTGCAGATGGCCGACACCATTTGGTAAAAAATGGGTGGACCACGAGACTGCCGAAATCACTTCGCTTGGCTCGCAGAAGTTTTGAAATTCCAAGTGAATGAGAGGCTACGTTCAAAATGTCAGGTCGAAGCCAACAGCTTATTTTTACAGGTTTATCGTTATGAAAATTTGAAAAGGATGAATACATTGAAAACAATGGAGATAATGAAAAAGCAGAATACATCTATTATGAAAACCATGCGAGAATCGGACAATCGTTCTGTTATAAGGTATCGTGCATTTGCTCGTATGAAATGCCGAAAGAATTATTAAATTCATAAGCTATAACGAACTGATTAAAATAGCCTTGTATTAAAACAATGAACAAAATAAAAAATTACAAAATAAAAATTAATTCTAAAATACCATCCCCTGCTAATTCCCAATCAAACTCCTTCTATTTGACACTAATATCTTTATTGCTTTATGTTAATATGTATTTTGCGACCGAGCAATTTTCTTATTTCTTGCATATTAGTTATTAAAAATTCTAAAAATAGATCCTACTGATAGTTATGCATATATTATAATCACGTTTTTTCTTAAGAGTCACTTAGAATAATGGCACACTGCTGATACATTGCGGCACTTTAGGTCATAAATGATTACCTTACCTCAAATATAGATCAATGCGATATTATTTGTTTTGATAGAATGCACTGATTCTGAGAAGTTTGATAAAATTTAGTAAGAGCTGTTTAATATATGAATACTTAACATTTTGAACATTCTTGCAAATATTGAAAGATATTCTTATTAAAAAATTATTTAATTTTACTACGTATTGATCCTCGTGTATAATCTAGTCAGGAATCTAATGCTGCCAGGTTCTTCGCGTTATGATAATAAGGAAAAAGTAACGAGCAAATAACTAAAAGAATCGTTTTTCCATGTTTTGATTATTAATAAACAATATCCTGACACCTCTCATCGCCTACGTTTATCTCCCATTGTCTACACTTCGCGCGACGAAAAAGGGGATTACCGGGGGAGATTAGATCCAATCATTTTGTCATACCAACATGACTGAACTTGTATGCGTTTAGACATAGTACACATTTGTAAGACTATTTTAATACCTAGAGTGATTATTATGAAAGCTAAGGCTTCTTATATACCGCATACATTTTTATTTGTTCATTTGAAATTCAGATCCATATTATAAATCTTTCAGTCGCATATTCTTTTGAAGAGTGCGATGACATTTTTTTGATTATGTTATTGGTTATTAAATTCTAACTAATAATGATTATATCGATTAAAATAACTTAATTCTGTTGTAACGAATAATGTGACGAAAATCAAAGTAGTTCAGTTATAGTAACTACTGAATATAAAAACGACTCGCCTATCGTGTACAAACCACTCTTACAAAATATTTAGATAGCATTGATCTTCAGCCGAGTGCACCAAGTACTGTCGTTATAGTTTTGTCACGTATCGATTGATTTTCTACATACGGTTGTTTCAATAAGTCGTTAATTTTTTTTCTTTTTTATTGTGCTGTGTGTATGTGCAAGAATTTTTTAATACTTCATTGAAGCATAAATAATTAACTATTTGTTCAAAACTAAATTGTTGATAATTCTCAAAGTTGTTTAGTACTTCGAATATTGCTTGAACAAAATTGTATTTACTATAACTATGAAAAATTATCTAACGTATTAAATAATCGGAAGGAGCTATTGGTAACTCTGAAAGATTTTAGTGTCGTCAAACTGGTTATGTTACTATCTGATTTATTCTTAACTTTGGTGATAGGTTTGCGTCTAAAACATTCAAGATTTCCATTATTGATCGATCGAATTCAAATTAAATGATAGATACCGCAATTGTAAATTAGATAAATTTTCAAAAGCTTCCATATTTCTAGCATTCTATAACCTATAAAATTGTTCAGTTAATATTCGTCAGAAAATGACAGTACAACAATTTCATATAACTTGTTGCTATCCAACAATGTTGACAAACAATGGTATGAAAAGACTGTAATTAAACTACGAACGCATGGCCATATATCGCACAGAAGATCACATTAAACGTTACATCACAGTGCAAACGAATGTAAACCTGGGTATGAATAAAATGAAACTCACTGGAGTAAAATTTTGGTGCTTCGGTAGTATTTTTGACAAGGTTGAACACACGTCCAGCGAAAAGTCGGCTGATCCCTGGGTTCACCATATTCACCATATCTTTCAAATATTAGAAATATTTTCTTCAACACAACACTCGCACACACGTCCGCAGTTTTGATGAAAGCAGTAAAGATTAAAGTTAAGATATATAGTAAGCGAGAGCGTGAGTGCAGCCGGTATCCGAGGCGGTGGCTCCGCCACAATATGGCCCACATGTAATCAAGAACTGCTGAATAATACGCAGCTATCGTACGCAGATTTTGAAAAAGAAAAACTTTAAGCGTATATACGCTGTAAAGGCGATGCTTCGAAAACTATTGTTTTTATAAACATTAATGGTACATTTATCATGGAAAGTTAATAAAAATTAAAGTTGATTTATGTAAATATCCAACCTTAAATCTTGATACAATCAGCTCATACGCTCATACTCATTACAACAATTTAATCTTATTTATATGTAATCAATATTCATTTAGAATAGTTTTCTTGTTACACATTAAAAATTCCTTCTCGATTAAAAGTTTCAAATGAGCCATCAACATTACTTTGACAATTTTGATGAAAAGTAGCAATAAAAATTTTTAGATATGTAAGAAAAAGAGTTTTCGACACTCCGTGCGGAAAGTGCGTTTTTTCCGCACGCTCGGCAAAAAACGTGCGTTAAAAATCACACTTCCCATACGTCGTATCAAAAAATACGGTACGGCACATGTTTGGGAAAGAGTTTCTCGTCTCGTGTATCTTTCCACCCTCGCTTCGCTCGGGCGTAAACGCCACACGAGACAAGAATCTACTTTCCCGCATTTGTATCGTAATGTATGTACTATTCTGAGCGACGAACCTGCTGATATACTTCATTTAAAGAAACACGAATAAGTAAACAAAGTTTAGAAAAACAAAATTATATATTATCTCGCAAAAATAAAGATAATAATATTGGAACTCATTTAGCAGGGTAACTTTACGATTCTCCGAGTCGTCGTTAATGACTAGAAAGCCATACTGCGAAGTCCTTTAGTACCTGACACCGCAGGTTATAAATTATCGCACCAATACTAATTATTGCTCCATGCAATTGGCGTCGACTTATACTTGCCGACGACGTTTGGGAATCCCTAAAGATTTATGAGCGCTATTATTCCATCCAGCCCAATAAAATTAACTCTTGTCGGGGTTTCCTTAGAAAATAACTCCTGACGTTTTGACTCGAGACAAAATTAGCAATAATGAAATAATACTTAATGATCTTTAATGGCCTTTATGGTGAACCCACCCCAGTATAACTTAAAGTATAATAAAATAATGACTCCTGTGCTAAACACATTATTTGAAATTCTTAATTGTATTGCTGTTGATTTTAAATTAACAAATTCGAATGTTTTTAACACAATTAGAGACGAGTGATTACATTTTTGTATTTTCTTGAAGCTAAGTTGCAAGCCTGTAAAATTTTTCATCGCTGAGACTGACTTTTTGCAGTTTAACAAGCATTGTTCTTGATTGCTTGGAGAGAGGAAGTTTTGTTTTCGATATTTAAAAAAATATTTTAGTTTTGCTATAATTTTGTTGTTGTTTTAGTCATTGTATGCTTTAATCTTCTTTTTTGGTAAGATCTATACCTACTGTAAATAAAGACAAATTTTTTCATGTAATATTCATTAGAAATTATAGAAAGTAGACAGTCATTTTTTATGATTTCTGCCCATGGGGATGAGGGTGTGTGTATTGTCAATCGGTATGATTTCTACTCAACAGATCTCAATAAAACTTTTTTGTTTTTATCGAAATCCTTCAAAGTACGTGAAAAAACTATTTTGAAGCTGGTGTAGTAGAAAAAATTTTATAGTTATTTTTCAAAATCCAAAAAGTTGTTAAATTAAGATTTTTTGCATGCGAACTGTAAAGGTTCACCATATTTCCGGAAATAAATTTATTTGAAAGAAATTAGCTAGATGCATTGAATATCTATAAAACGTTGTTGTGGCTTGTTATAAAATTCAAAAATGCAGCCACATATTCTGGTAGAATGCTTTCTTCGAGAAAAATACATTTTACTAATTATGAAAAAAATTCTTGTTAAAGTAAATTTTACTTTATCAGTTAATTATTTTTCTATTTTTATTAGTTATAATTATTTTGATAATTATATTATTCATTATTACGTGAGATTTTATTTATTCAAATTCTGACAATTTATGTTCTAATTATATCTTACGAAAATACAGACTTAAAAAGAGTTACGAGTTAGTTAAGAGAAAAAAGTGAGATAACTTATTACCAAATTTATCCTACAACAACTTGTTCCAAAGCTGCTATTGTAAGCTTTAAAATGAATCCTCGTGCGTAAAAATGTTTATTCTCAATCCAAAGTTATAGCAATTTGAACTTGTTAATTCCATCTGCACAATATATTTTAATTTAACAATATCTTTTACTTTGAAAAATAGCTATAACATTTTTTCCAATTACTACGTCTGCTTCAAAATAGTTTTTTCATTCACCTCGAAGGGTTTCCAAACGTAAAAAAATTTTCATTCAAATTCGTCGAATACAGAAATCATATCGATTGACAATACACACAAACATCCGCATCCCCATAGATATCATAAAAAATGACTTTATCGTCTCTTCATAATTTTTAATAAATATTGTATGAAAAAATTTGTCTTGAATTACAGTAGGTAGAGATCTTACATATTCTAGAAGGAGATGATACTTTAACTATTATCATTGTTATAAGATAAATTAGAGCTAAGCCCCACCTTTTTCATTCCCTTGTCGAAATTCCCGCCCTATCCCTACTGCTAACTTTTCTTTGAAGACACGGCATTGGTCAATGGTTAATAGTCTGCCAAGCCCCTATGCGCATGCTTATAAGAGTCCCAGGGTACCCCATGCAGTACACCATTTCCGTTCGGGACATAGTGAGGATACTGTTAGTGTGTTCTATCTTGTACGTCGATACGTTTATAGTTGCATCTGTGTTAGTGCGTTGCTGCCAAGCCGATCGCGTGGGTTTTCAGCTGTGAGCAAGATAGCCGCCAAAGTCCCTACAAGTTGTGAGTATTATCATTGATTTTCGTTCCATTTCACTTAACATTCATGTATTTTGTCTTCAAATTATTTCTTACAAGACTGATTCGTTAGATTGTATAGATTTAAGCGCGTATTTTTGAGAACTTTTCGACGCTGGGAATAACCTCAAATTATTTGTGTTGAGGCGTCGTCGATTTGGAGGGAATTTTTACGTGTATAAGCGTCATTTCAGTATTTGCTATTACTCTTTTGGAATTTACGTTATTGTACACAGTTTTCTTTGTTAACCTTAGCTGTACATTCTTTTTATTTTGTTTGGAATAGCGTATTCTTATGGGGTTGATGGGTAGAATTTGGTGACGCTCCGATCAGAGAGAGGTTTACATCACGACTGCAATGGCTGCTGTAGTTTTTATGTTTTTAAGCTAGTTTTTCAAGTTTTCCTAGAAATGTTTGTTAGTTACATTCAACTATTTAGAAAATTTAGGCTGCTTTGACTTGATTTTAAATAAAAAATATTTGTTATAGTTTCTGTAACGCCTTATTTTCATAAACATTAGAAAGTATTCCAAAATACCTTTCTGTACAAACCGCGTTAACTGATAAATTCGTTTGTATTGGAAATGATTAATTTTATCTAATTTAAGTAACTAATAATTGTCTTTTTTCCTTTACGAATTTAGCTCTAGCAGCCAAAGAACTGTACTTAATCGCCAAAGTCAACAAAATAAATAATCGTCAAGATGGATATGAGTTTGGACGATATCATCAAACAGAACAAGAGCAAGAAAATTGCTCAGAAAGGTAAACACCCAGGTGGTGGTACCCACAGAGCTGGCAAAGGAGGTAAAGGAGGGAGCAAGGGTGGTAAAGGTGGTTCACCAAGGAGAGGTCCACCAAGTACCCAGAAGAATCGCAAACCAGGTGGTGGAGTTCTGCGTGGTCGCAGCCGTGGTGGCATCTCTAGAACCACGGCTAGTTTTGCTGGACGTTCTCTACCTCCTCACAAACGTGAGGCTTTTCTTGGCTCTGCACCACGTAGATTTGGAAGCAGTTCCGAGGCTACAAAACTCATTGTGTCCAACCTGGATTATGGAGTAACTGACTCTGATATTTTGGAGCTGTTCAGCGAGTTCGGACCTTTGAAGTCTGCTGGAGTACATTACGATAGATCTGGCAGATCGCTGGGATCTGCCGATCTCATTTTTGAGAGAAAATCAGATGCTATCAAGGTAATATATTAAAATTACACTTTGTTTAATTTTACATTGACAAATTCAGAAAATCAATATTGGACATTTGACTTACAATATTTAGAAGCAAAAATATTTTCTCTTTACCAATTCATTGAACATTAATAAATGATAGGTTTGATTTTATCTGTCATATATTTTTTCACTTTTTGACTACTTAGTTATTTATTATATATTCATACTTGTAAAAGATATAACATGTGAAACTATAATTTTTTGTCTCAATTTCAGGCGATGAAACAATACAACGGCGTACCTTTGGATGGTCGTGAGATGAACATCCAATTGGCCACATCGGAAATTCCCACAACCACCGTATCACGAAGTTCATCAAAATTCTCTCGCAACTTCAAGAAACCAGCCTCCAGCGGAAATCGTGTCAACAATAAATCTACAGGCGGGCGGCCTGGTGGCGCAGGTGCAGGACCAAAGAAAGGTGGACGAGGTGGCAAAGCAGGCGGCGCTGGCGGCAGACAGAAGAAAGCACCACCACCAACGGCTGAAGAACTTGATGCTCAACTTGAAGAATACGTGAAGAGCAAAGTAACCAGCTCTGAGGGCGCGTAGATATCAATTGCGTAGATTATGAGTGTATAGTTAAGACAAGAGAGAAGAAAAACGATCGGGATTTCATATTGAATATTTTATGAAGCCAACATTAACCGCGTTTTTTTCTATTTTATTTCGGTACGACCTGAATAATAGTCGTTAATTATTATAATTCATACTTTTTTTTATAATCCATTCAATTGACATTGTAACTGAAAATTGTATCATCGTACGACAAGTATAATAATATATTCACTTGTATCTAGTGAATATTTTATGTAGAAATTAATTGCAATTTAAATGATTCAACTAAAAAGAAATGTTGAATGTGCTAAGGATATTATCAATAAATAATTATTTTTAAATTTCAAATTTTTTCAAGTTTTTGAATTCAACCTCCTTAAAGGCTCCCACCTTTCCATCTATGTAAATTCTGTCAATTTTTTAAGAATGCTTATCATTTTTTACATATGAAGAGTCGTGCATACATGAGTGATTAATTCGGACTCACGGCCATTTTAGTAGTCATATATATAAAATCATTCATAGATTGATCCGGCAGACATGTGTTTCCTTATCGTACAGCGTATTACATTTTTATTTTTTCTTGCCGGTAGAAAGCATTTTCTAGCTTAATATATCATAAATAATTACTTCGTAAACACGCCAATTAATAATGAAAAATAATATCTTTACGTTCATTTCACGAATAATTAAAAAACGAGGTTAAGACCATTCAAAACATGAAAAAGGTGTTCATGGTATAGTGTTATAAAATTCTTGCAGATTTTTACAATTATTAATCAAACGAAAATGTCCATGAGTCTGAGATGCTCTCTTGGGAGAGCAAAAGCATCGTTGTCCATTCAAGCGCGAGTGATATTTAAATATTATTCGTCTCAACGTGAAAAGCCAGCCGAGAAACGCTATACTAACACTGTTTTACTACCAAAAACAAGTTTTCCAGCCAAGATTCTTGGCAAAAAACGCGTGGAAATGGATCAATATTTACTTGATGTAAGCATTTCAGTATTGTTGAATGATTTTAATTTTTGATATACTATTGGTCTATGCAGGTCTCTGAGAATCAGTTGTTTTATATATTTTAGAAATGTCGCTTTGCTGATTTATACAATTGGCAGAGGGAAAATTTGGAGGGTCCTGATTTTGTTCTGCATGATGGTCCACCTTATGCAAACGGAGATCCTCACATGGGACATACAATTAATAAAGTATATAAAAAATCAATTGATTTAAAAATAAGTTTCTCATTACTACTTTACTTTTTTAATAAAAAAATAATGAGTATTTATAATGCAACAATTATTTCAATTTATTCGATAGTGAATTAATCATTTTCTTGTAGGTTTTAAAAGATATAACTACAAGGAGTAAAGTAATTAGAGGTCAACGAGTTCATTATATTCCTGGTTGGGATTGTCATGGTTTACCAATTGAGCTTAAAGCTCTAACTGATGCTAAGAAAAAAGTATTAAATTTAACACCTTTACAGATTAGAGGACAAGGTCAATTGATATTTTTTAATTAGTATCCATGTTATATCAGTTTTTATATTTATAATATCCTAATCATTGCAGCTCGTAAATTTGCTGAAGAAGCTGTTGCTAAACAAAGGCAAGTTTTTGCATCTTGGGGTATTATGGCAAATTGGAAAGAAAAGGGTTGCTATTTTACAAACAATACTTCTTATATAATCAATCAGTTGCAACAATTTTTCCAACTGTACGAAAAAAAACTTGTGTACAGAGATTTCAAACCTGTCTATTGGTCTCCTTCTTCAAGGTACTTATTCTTTTTCTATTTAAACATCAAAAGAAATAACATAAAAGATTTATTAATATTCAATTGCAGAACTGCTTTAGCTGAAGCTGAATTGGAATACAAAAGTGATCATCAAAGCAAGTGTGCAACTATCCGATTAGTTTTAGTAGAATTACCTCCAAAACTTGCAGCTTATGAGGGAAAGTCAGTGTTTGGATTAGCATGGACAACAACTCCTTGGACATTGGTTGCCAATCAAGCTTTAGCATACGCATCAGAGGCAAATTACTGTTTAGCAGAAGATTCTCAAGGAAACTTATATATAATTGCAGTTGATCTGCTCGATAAAATTATTGAAAAAATTGGTGAACTTAAGGTTGTTACAACTTTTGTTGGTGTGTATTTTATATCAGTGATATAATATCATTGGATTTTTAGAATACTATGTGAAAACTATTTTCTGAAACAGGAAGTGACTTGAAGGGTGCCAAATATTCTCATCCTATAACTGGCACAACTCTACCTTTTCTGCCTGGAAGCCATGTGAATACTGAACAAGGCACGGGTTTGGTACACACAGCACCTGCACATGGACAAGAAGACTTTTTACTAGCTTTAGAAAATAATATATCTGTGGTATAAAATAATTAACATTTTCTTTATTCAAGTTACTCAACAAAGTCATCATCGAAGTTTCATAAAAAAATGATATTATTTTATTAGATATCACTAGTTGATGAAGCAGGTACATATACTTCGGATGCTGGTTTGGAGTTTGAAAGCTTGCAAGTATTAGATCAAGGTACTGAAGCTGTTTTAAATCGAATAAATGGCAATATTTTGCACACAGAGGTGATAACTCATAGTTATCCTTATGACTGGAGAACTAAAAAACCAGTGATTCTGCGAGCCAGTAACCAGTGGTTCATTGATACAAATTCATTAAAAGAAAAAGCAACCGTAAGAATTATTTTCTAGTTATAGTTTTACATTGCTTTATATAGGTAATTAAATTCAGTAATTTTTGCAGAAATGTGCAGAAAATGTAAATATTTATCCACAACAACAGAGAACAGCTTGGCGTAATGCTTTGCTATCACAATTAAAGCAGAGACCATATTGGTGTATATCTCGTCAAAGAGTTTGGGGTACTCCTATTCCTGTTTTATACTATAAGAATACTGGGAAAATTTTTATTACAAAGTGAGGAAAAATTTCGTTCAAGCAAAGCATAGTTATTATAGTTTGAAATACTTATATGTGCTTTGAACTTTTTTAGGGACTGGATTGACAGAATATGTAAACTAGTTGAAAAATATGGTGACGATTTCTGGTGGGATTTACCTGTTAAAAAGCTCATTGGAAAAAAATTACTGGCTGAATTGAATGTCAGTGATACAGACCTAGAAAAAGGACAGGTAAATTATTCTGTTTACAATTTTCTAAGGACGTCTAAAAAAAACATTTTTCTTTAGGATATTTTAGATATTTGGTTTGACAGTGGTATCTCCTGGTCATTTGTATTGCCCGATAAGAAAGCAAACCTTTATATGGAGGGAATGGATCAATTCACTGGTTGGTTTCAATCGTCTCTCCTTACATCTATTGCTTTGCAAAATTGTGCTCCTTACCAGTATGTATTAATAAAGAAATTATTTCATTAAAATAAAATTTTTAGTATGTAAATAATACTTTTTAATCGCAGAGATTTGTTCGTGCATGGGTTTGCTGTTGACGAGAAGGGCAACAAAATGTCAAAATCTGTGGGTAATGTCGTCAATCCAGAAGAGATAACCAAAGGCGGTAAAGATATGAACAAAAATCCAGCTTATGGAGTGGATGTATTACGGTATTCTTTAAATGATTTCAATTATCATAAAATGTCTGCAATATAACAAGGATAATAATGTTTTATAACAAGATGGTGGGTAGCAAGTCACGGAACCCAACACGCTCTCGTTCCAATGAAAACCACTTTACTACAAGGCAGTGCAGAAACAATCAACAAACTTCGAAATGTTTTTCGTTTCCTACTTGGTGCTCTGCACACTTATGATGACAAGAAAAATATAAATGTCGAGCCTCAGTATCAATTTTTGGATAGATACATGTTGCATCAGCTGTATCAATATTCTCAACAGGTAACAAATATTGCAAAAAAGAGACTGAAAAGACCTTGATTATTATTTTATTCATTAATATTTTCTTTAAGATTCAATTGCTGTACGACAAATACGAATACCACAATGTCAGCAAAATGATAGTCAGTTTTATTACGAACGACGTATCGGCTATTTATTGTCACATGATCAAAGATCGGCTGTACTGCGAAAAAATTGATTCACCTTATAGATTAGGTGCTCTTGATGTAACTGGCGAAGTTTTAGCTGTTACTGTCAGGTCTGCCGCTCCTATTCTACCTCACTTGACTGAAGAAGTATGGCTCCATCATCCTGAAAATCTTGGTAAGATTTTCAAGCGCATATTAAATATTTTGTTTTAGTTCTTACGTTTATTGTTTTATGTAGCATCAGTTCCACTATTTCATTCGAAGCATAAGTTACTTGAAAGCTGGAATAAACCGGAGGTAAAAGAAACAGTGGAGAAAGCTTTGCATGTAAAAAGTATCATCAACAAATTAACGTCTGAGAACTCGTGGCTATCAAGAGCTATTATCAGAGCTAATTCCAAGGATTTTGAACTTTTATCGGTAGAAAACCCGTTGGTAATCGAATTAATAATATTGTATTATTTGTAATATGATAATTTTGTTATTACAGTTACTACAACCAAACGAAACATCCGCAACATCAGAACTCTGTGATATTTGTCAAGTTTCGTCAATAACTCTTGTAAAGGATGACACGTGTAACGAATTGAATGTCAGTTTAGAAACTGTAAATCAACCACTTTGTAAAAGATGTAGGAGATATTTAGAGCCTGCAGACGGTGAACTTTGCGATCGCTGTGCTGAAATACTGAACATCGAATAACTTTTTTTGTATTTAAGTGTCCTTCAACTTGATGAACATAATTTTTATAAGCAACAAACACACTGTATGTAAATAACTTTGTACATAAAATGTAATTGATGTAAATATTTTAATAAACTAAACGAGTGGATTGACAGCGACAGTATTTATTTCTAAGTCCATCGGTATTATACACAACAAAGTTTGAAACTCGACAATAAATAAAAATTAGGATTCTGCGATCAACTATTAACTGGAAACAAAACAAAAGAGTATATCTATTAACAAATTATAAATAACAACGACGTGATGAGAAGAGGGAATCACTTGTCCTCGATGCCGTTTTGTTCAGGAACTCTCTCGATGTCAGCTTTAAATGTCATTTTTTTGCCAAGCTCAATTGCCAGCTGTTTCACACTACCGTTTGGAGTCACGTCGATTTCGTCTTTAGATTCAACAATTTCTATCGTTTCTTTAATTGTTTCACCAGTTTCTTCATCCGCTGCCTGTGATGTTTTCTTTACCGTGCTTCTTCCTGCTTCTGGCATCGGTGGTGGGACTGGAATAATCCCTGATTCTTCTGTACTGTTTTCCAGTTTTGTGAGCGCTGCATCTATTTCTTCTTTAATTTGTTGTTTATCTTCTGAACCTTCAACTTCTTTTGTGTTTTCATTGTTCTTTGATTCTTCTGTTATTTTGATATTTTCTGGTGTTTCTGTTGAATTGACACACTTTAGTGCCTCTTCTGATTTAATTTTTTGCAATTCCTTTTCAAATACATTTGTTGTTTCAGCATTTTCGGATGTTTCTATTTCCCTTTTACTATTTGGTTTTTCCTTTTCCACTGGTTGGCTTATATCCAGTGGCAAATCTGACGTTCCATTTTCCTGCAGCTACAATTGTTTTTAAGATTTATTCATTTTTATGTTATTGACTTTGAATAATTAATTAAAATAATAACAGATCACACTCACCACATCGTCCTCTGTGAGTTTTTTCAAATTCGACCTCTTGAGCGTGGCAGCCAGTTCGTTCTGCAACATCATTCTCGAGCCATCCACATCTTCTCCAGGAGTGGAGGGCGTGCTACTACTCGTTTTAGAACTGCTACGCGAAACTCGTCCTGGAGGTAAGAAATCTAAACGTGTCGGAGTACGAGGTGCACCCTCGTATGCAGCGATCGTTAATGCTACGCGACCTGAATGCCTCAGTTGCTCTGGTTCCAGTGATAGTGATCTAATGATAAAATATTTTTTTTACGACAAGAAGAAATACATATAAATGGTTTTGAATATCGCACTGAAGAAATGAAATGTGTTGAATGAAATTCTTTTACTGCTCGTACTACTTTGTATGAATTTGATATGCAAATAAAGCACATTTAGTTGCTATGTAATTTAACTTTTTGTTACATCTAACTTAATAATAACTTACGCATAAGATTATCTTATTATATAAAATCAACGTGAAACAAGTTCTGGATTGAAGGAATAAAAGAAATATTCGTCGCTACTTTCGATAAAATTGTACAGAATTTCACGATTGACGCGACTTGTTTATTTGTAATGCGTTTTCACGAATTCACCTAAAAACGATAATAAAATTCGCGAAACGCGTATCGATCGATCAAAAAGTTTGGGCGAAAGAAAAGCTAATGTACGGCAACGATCAAATAGCACCAAAAAATAATGCGAAATATATATTCTGAAATTTCGAGAATTTGAACTGACCTCTCAGCCAATTTTGGCGGGAATGACGGTTTCCCAGCAATAGGTCCGTTTTCAACAGCCGGGGAGTTGCAAGCGGACGAAGGTGGACATACGGGTTTTTCAATAGCGAGTTCATCATTGTACCTGTGTCTTGCCGGTAGCGTTCGATACTTAGTTGTCGAGTCGAGAAAATTTAACGAGACTGGTCTTGTCTTCGGTAGTGTCCTCGTAGGTTGCGAATGCATTGCCGCTACATCGTCGGTGGTCGCCGAGGCGAACAAACCGTTTGTCGAAATTTTGTTGATAACACGCTTGTCGCGCTCCTGCGGCACATGGAAATCACGTTAGTGAATGCGTTCATGGAAGGCGTTTATGCTGTGAAGATGAGCTTGCGTAACATTACGTTTCAGTATTTTTACTATGATTGCTTTGATTTCATTTTTGGCAAACATTTACAAACAGAATTTGGGTAAAAATAATCATATGTGAAATAGTGAAATTGTTCTTTGTGCAAAGTGACGTGTTTATTAATGTTATAAAATTAGTTGAATTACGCGTCAGACTCTAGATAAGAGATTAGTTCAGTTCGCGTATCGCAGGTGTTATATTTTTCCATTTTCACTGTATATACAACTATTTTTAGAGCCAAAAAAGTAATGCTGAACTTACGCTATACGAGCCGATGGAAAAGAGAACTTGTTTCTTCTTCGGTGGCGTCGTTCCGTTTACTTGATCCATTATATATATTTTGGCTTCGTGTCACGGTTCTTTTTTTTTCTTCTTGCAATTCTTCAACTTTTTTTTTTCATTCACATTGCCTTGTGACAATTTAGTCTTTCCTTCATCCCAACTCTATTCTTTTGTTCGTCGAATTCTGTTTTTTGTTTCCTAAAAAACATACATTTGTCACTCGTTTCGACAATTATGCTAATTTCAACTAGACTTTTTGTAATACTCAGCATTTCGTTATCGCTGTATAAGAATATTATTTTAAGCTTGGAAATTAGCGTATGCGCTAAATAGATTTTTCTCTATTACCACGAGAAACCTTTAATTTAGATTATTATATACTTTATTATCAAGTTTTCTCATGATAATTGTTGTTGATATTGTTCACTTATAAGCCAAGGCCGTAAAAATAAAAAAAATAATAAATCTCATCTAATCAGTTTTATATCCCTGCATCACATATATGCGTATAAATTAAAAAAAAAAAGAAACTGTATCTGCAGTCCTTGAAAAATGAATCATGGGAAAAAGGTTGTATAGTACAATGGTAAGTTTGTTGAGAGGATGCGCTCTGCTATGTTACGTAAGATTCTATTAATTTCTTCAGTCGACGAACAAAAAAATGTCACTCGTACATGCTAAGGCAGCCGGGAAAGGCTGGGAGATCGTTAATTTTATATATTGTTTTTCGCAAAAAGCTGCGCGTAATTGCGTCTGTGCACGGAACTTTATTATTTTTTTAAAGCTCGAATAACTGTTACGTAAGATAACAAATGCAAACATTAATCATTTTAAGGAAAACACGATCGCACGAGAAGAAAAGATGTACGTAGTCGCGGTGCGCAACTGTAACACTTGTCGACACGCACAACAATATTTTAACACATCGCCGCACGGATATTCAAATGAGTCTTGCGCAAGCGGCGAGCGGGAATGAAACGGAGAAGAAAAAAGACGATTAGTCAGGTAAGAAAAAATATTTTAACACACGCCTCACGTCAGGTGATTCGTGAAATCTCACGTGCCTTCGTGCGCGTATAGGCAGATAAGAGACTTATCAGCGTTGCACGCTCACACACTTACTGTCTTGTCCTCCGTCGACGATGCGAGCGCGCGCGAGTCTGGCGCTCGACTGCTTCTGCCGGCGAAGTTGCACCTGCGTCTGAGCTGTCTGATAACGAAGTTGAAGTGTGTATGCGTGTGAGCAAAGTGGCGGTGGTGACGATCGATAATAAAAAAAAATGGACGAGGGAAGGGATAAATGCTTTTCCAAAAGAGGGAGACTGACGCTTTCGTAATAGTGAAAATTTTCACAATGGTTGAAATGCTTCTTCCCATATCACTGCCAAGTCACACGGATATCCTCTCTCGCACGTTCTCCATACGACGACGCTCACCTTTTTGTCCGCGCGCAAGGAATTTTTATAATTAATTGTTTGATATTATTTTTTGTAGGAATTTTCCGTAGTTTATACACTTCGATGACGATGATAACACAGTTTTACACGCGTGAACAGGTTGCAGTTAAGAGAAAAAACGGTGAATCGCACAGCTTGATTTCTTGCATATCTGATAAATCAGTGTGTGCGTGCGTGTTATCAGCCAGCTGATAAAAGATGTTATATCTGATTGTTGAATTGAATAAAACAACAGGTTCATGTACACGTTGGATTTGATAGCTTTTCAAATATTTTATCTATTGGGTCAATAAATCGTGCCTACTTCGTTGGTGGAATTATGAATCAGAATGACGTAGAGGTTTTTGATAAGTTCGTGGAAAGATATCATAATATAATAAAATAACAACAGGATTGTTCGTCGAACGTGATAATCAATATTTTTAAAAGTTCCGAGTTGTTAAACTTTATCTTTATTTATTTATGCAATGTGCGCGTGCATAAGACGTTTACTCGTGAAAAATAACTCATCCGAGACACTGTAATGGCTTAAAATTTCACGTTCTGTTGCGCTTTCGATGCACTACTGATTGAACGTTAGATTCGAATTTTTAAAATCGAGAGTGAGGAAATAATAATTGTACGAGTGAAGACACCGTTTCCACTTAAAAATATCTAATATTTTCGAATTCGTAAGTGTTTATTGTGAAATATAATTTACGTAAAATCAGGTTTGGAATTATAATAAAACAAATACGTATGTATTAGTGCTTAGTGATTTTATTTTCGTCTGCAACATTAGAAATCGTAGATGATTTTTTCAGTTTTTTATCGGGGTTATAATAATGCTTTGCAAAGTGTGAGTATGTTTGTGTATGTCTGTGCTCTCAATAAATCCGTTATCATAAACATTTTGAATACGACGGAGAGAAAAATGGAACAAGAAAGTCGCTCGATGATGATCTTTTTGCTGTCTATCCCTATACGATTACGCATAGTATACTTATAAAAAGTTTCGAAGTTTGTTATGTTAATAAATAATATAAAAAGACGCATATTGTATAATACATTTGGGGAGTGTAAGATATATATATATATATATAATGTATATCAAAAGATTTATTTTTTCATTTCTCTAAAAAAGTCTTGAACCAGTTTGGCAGTATTTTTTCGCCAAATATAATTTATAGAAAACGAGCTCGTGTCCCTTTTGAAAAAAATGTACAAAAATTCCGCGTACATATCAAATCGTACAAGAAAGTCTCTACGATTACGTTTACTTTCATGCGCGCGCTCGTGAAATTCCTTAAAACACAGTTTTGAAGGAAGCACTTCGACGAGTACAATATATCAATTGGAAGATGCTTATACCTGGCAAATAAAATATAAATAAAAGTTCGTGATTGTTTGACTTTGCGAAAATTGACAGGACGAGTTTAACGGCTGAGTATAAACGTTGATTCGTTGTATTGTATATGAATAAACAAAGCAAGTTAACCATTTATTAATATTTCCTAATATATGGCAACAAGGTCGACGTTTATAAAGTCTCTTTAACAACTTGCAAGCTACGTGATAACTGAACAAAAATGAGTCTGCACTCAGCCGATAAAGCACAAATTGTCAGAGGGGGCCATCGTTTTCCAGCACGCGCAGAATTTACGAGACAGAAGCTCCGAAGTTCCTTTTACAGTTATCGTTATTATAACGTACTTTCTACAGATTAGTCATACAGTTGATGTATATATTACATTATGTAAGATGCTCTTTACGAAGAGTAGAATTATTGTTTTTCATTTCTAGCAAACTAAAAGCCGTTGGGTGTATAAACAAAAAATTTACATACATCAAATTGCACTTAATGAAACGCGTTATAAAGAGAGCCAGTCTTCGTTCACAATTGGAAGAGAACATTTTTTTTTTAGTCTTCGACAACAAAAACAGAGAAGCAGTGCTTACTGTCTCGCTAGTCTTCGTAGAAAGTATCATTATATATTTATTTTCTATCAATATAGTTTATTTACTCTTATAATATTTATGTCAATACTGCAACAATCGAGTCGATTTCTTCTTCGCTTTTTTGTTTTATATAGCTCCCGACTATATAACTCACGTACTTCTTTATAATTTCGTCGTCTCTGTCTCTTTCTCTCGGTGCGCGAAAACGATGCTTTATCGAGTTGTGCCGTTTGCTTCGGGATTTACTCGGATTGTGACTTTGTTGTTGAGGCTGTTTGCCAATTTCTCGACGTTGTTCTCTTGACTGTTTGTCTTGTTGTTGGCTTCTTCCGTGCTGTTGGCGTTTTCGCTTTCCTTTAAAATAAATGTTACACATTAGACGCGTGCGCCTTACCATTAACTATATTCTACTTTGGATTTTACTTTCAATTGCTATTTCAAAGTATTCGATGCGAAATTTTGGTGTTTAACATGGAAAATATTTCTTCTGGTTACAAAGGAGATATCTATGAGTTCTAATTCAGAAAAAGACGTATTCGGAAGTTGCCTTACGTTAGTTATGCAACGTAACTAACGTCCATTGATTACTTCGAGGACGCTTCGATTAACGCGAGAGCGCGAGCGGAATTGGGCGCGCTCGAGAGAATTCGCGAGGATGAGGTGGAAGACCGGCACGCGACAAAGACTCATGAAAAAGAATTGCGAGATCAGGCATCGTTTCTCACCTTTTATATCGCGCGCGCCGTTAAAATTGCGTGGACAAAGTGACGCGTGGCTTTGACTCTCTATGTCTCTATTGCGTACGGTAGGCGCGATCGAACAAATCTCTTGCTTTATTTCGAGCTTTCGCGCACGTGTTCAGCTACGTTAATCCACCGTTACAGCAACCACTAACCCACCATGTAATTTACGTATTTGCGATAATTGTTCTATCAATTATCATCATTACATTTCATAATTTGAAATTCATGTAATATTTCGTTTTACATTTTAGTTTAAATCTCTGTTTTGACGATTATCTGGAAATCAAACTAGTAGATTAAAAATATTAAATAAACTCAAATTCGATTTCATATGGAGATTTTGCGAAGTATTTATAATGGACAAAATTTTGTAAGGCTGTTACTATCTAAAATTGTGAAAAATTATGCAAAAAGCATGACAAATTTGTCATAAATTGACGATTAAATATGACATTTTCGTCATGCTTCATCAATAAATTTTTAATAATTCAAACGGAAAAATATTCACATAAAATTTTATTCAATAGAATTATACTTATTTATGTTATTCACAGAAATTCGGTAAACGTGTAAAAGACAATATTGCGCAAGTCCATTTTGGATAAAAGAACCGTATGAAAGCACTACTAACATTTGTTTATTTATTATACTAATTTTTCAATGATTATAATAAATTAATAATACATTCGTATTATTAACTTGATTTTAACATCATCATAAAAACAGAGATCTAAAATTTCAAATTAGAAAAACAAATGAATAAAAATTGCAATTTATCATTACTTATCATAAATTAATTGATTTTACATGTATAAAGTATTAATAATAAAAATAGTACTAATACGTGTTAATTAAATTATAGGGTGGAAAAGGGTGGACAGGTAGCAAACTAAATGTTAATAGAAATTAAAAAAAATGCATGATACTATTGCAACATAAAGCTACTTTATTGTGCTAAACATCGTCTAGGACGATTTTCAACGCAATTAATTGAAAATGCACACCATTCGAAAAACTATACGAAGAAATCCATTTCAAGTCCCCTCAAGAAACTTAAAGGCGCAACTAAAACTCACCCCCCTAAGATTCGATCTGAGGAGCGTGGCAGCAAGCTCGCTATGAAGCCTCGACGCGGGTCTACCGACGCCGTTGTTGTTCGTTTTAAGAAAGCCAAGTTTGGATGGTTGCCGGGATTCGACATCACTGTACGTGCCGATACGAACGGCAACTTTTTTCAACGTCGAATGAGGTTTCGATGGGGACGGGAAATAGGTTTTTGGGGGCTTTGGCACTTGTGTCGAAGTTGTTGGTTCCTTCAATTTGAATGATTCAATACTTTGCATCTCAACCGCTTCGTCTATCTTTTTATTGTTGTTGTTGTTGTTCTTGTTGTTGGCAGTGACGAGGCTCGCTGGTTTTTTCGGAATCGTAGGCGGAGCTGAACTTTTGTCCTTTCGATGCTGAAATGTTGGATTGTTTTTCATTTGTAGAGGGGCTTTGAAAAGTAGATGTAAGTTGTACGAATCTCAATTATTTCACCCTCAAGGTACATACCGGACGATAAATTTTTTTTTTGTAGATTTTTCATTTTTGGAAATCGCAACTTTAACGGCATCAAATTTGATGCATCATAAATGAAATTACTAACGAAGAGTTACGACGAGTTTTCAAAAACGCAAAAAGGGCTATTATAATAATATTAACTACAAAACAATATTCTTCAATTTTAAGACATTTTACCATCGTATAACTTGAAATGATTTTGGCAATTAGAAGCTTATTTTAAAAGCAAGTTTATCTATCCGGTTTATGTTTTTATTGGACTGGAATTTAGGAAAAAAGAAATTTGAACAACTGTTAAATATTTTAGATTTGTATAGAGTTTTGACAGTTCATTGCAACCGGCAAAATTATAACATATTTAATTAGAAAATTCCGTTGAAATTTAACTTTATATTGACATCGACTTATTCTGCAAAATTGTAAAAGTAGCATGTACCTTAAGGGTATGATGAAAAAAATATCGTCTGAAAATTCAACAACCACATGACGTTGATTGAAAATCCAAATAGACGAGATAAAAGTAGATTCCAGTGCATTGAATTTGTATAGAAAGATGATGACAGATGGATGATGCAGTATGTGCCGTATACAGAAATATGAAGTTCTTCCTCTCGAGATATTTGCGAAAAGAATGATGTGGAAAAATAAATCATCCCACGCCGCATAGTCAGTGAGAGACAGAGAGCCTTTCGTGAGAAAGTGACCATATTTACAAATGAAGAGTGTGCACACACCGTGAAGAGAAAAACTTTTGTGTCAATTTATACGAAGCCGATGAGGACTTTCACTTTTTCACACTCGAGAAGAGCTGACGTTCTCTTATCGGATGAATGAGCCTTTTCTCTCGAACGATAAATAGGGTGATATTTCAATAGTTTACCGCAACATGCGAATTTAGTCTGTCTTGGATTATGAGATTTGATTAGTACTAAGAGTTATTTTATTTCGAATATCGCTGTTAGAAATGCATTAACATTGTTGGGTAAGCGCGATGATTAATAAATAAATAAAAGAAAGTAAAATTATTAATGATACCAAAGCTGAAAAAATTAATGAATGTTATATTTTTGTTTATGAGTAATAAGCCTTTTAGGGAGGGTGAGAATGTTAAAACTAAAAAAAATTATGAAAGAGAAGAGAATCTTCAAATAACTCACCTGTTCGCTGCTATTTTGCTCGTTGGACTGGTTACGCTGTTGAGCATTACTGAACATCCTCTGATGAGCGCGTTTGAATTCTTCCATGAGCTGCAAAAAAATAAAAACCGGAATAAAATTTCACACTTCCTGCGCCGACGGCGATAATAATGTTTTTGCCGCAACAGAAAAAAAGGTTTATAAATTTATTAGACGTAATATTCGCGCGTAACACCACAACACCGTTAAAAACAGATGTCGCAGAGACAATAATCTTCGGTTCACTCACCTTGTCGTGCGTAACTTTTTGTTCCTGAGCTCGTAGAGCCTCAGGGTTTTGCGGTTGCTTACGGATTGTCTCCGTTTTCTCAGATTCTTGAACCCCACCACCATTGTTTATATTCCGCTGCACAAAAAAGGAAAAAATACTCAGCAACAATGTATCCTCTCGTTAAGTTATTGACGATGGTTGCTGTTTTTTTTTAAATACATTTCTAGTATAACACGAGAAACTTAGTGGAAATATGTTATCTTCAGTGATTAATATTACAAGTTAAGAACGTTGATGATTAAGCATTCAGCATAGCACAGCCCAAAATAATCTCCAATTGATTGCACTCTTGAAAAAAGTTCTCAGACATTTTTCACGAAGCAAGACATTTTATTCTCAGATTAAGAAAAAAAAATGTATCTTTTTCGTCCACTGCGAACCTACCTGTTTTCGCCTTTGCAACTCTTGTGTAATAGCCGAGCCCAGATCAATGGGTGGCGGTGGCGGCGGTGGCGGCACCTTAACAGCTTTCCCTCGCTCTTGAACTTTAACCCCGGCGCCTTGCGCGCAAGCAGCTGCGATCGATGTGGCAAAACTTGATGGTTGTTGTATTACCAGTGGCGGTTCGCACGAGGACGACGCTGAACTTGTCGACGCATTGTCTTTGCCGCCGCATGACGATTCGAGCGACGATTCCGTTTCTGTCGAGCCTGTACTTCCCATCGATATCGTACTGCCCATTTGCATACCCATTGCGTTCATTGGTTTGGATTCTAAAAGTGAAGAAAAAAAAAGAAACGTAAATCTCGAAGTTTATATCGTCGTAAAGCGACCTCGTGAAACAATGTTGCAAGGTCACTCGCGAGCGAAAATTTATCGGGGTCTTATTCGCCCAAGTATCATTTGTTATTCCCTTTTAAATCATTTCGCAAAATTTCTTACCAGTGGGCCATTTATAGGGCATCGAAGGTGGTGCTGGTGGACTTGGCTGATGTACCTCCACCGACGTTACGGTTTTCCGTTCTGGTTGCTGCTGAGTTTGTTGCTGCTGCTGTTGTAATTGCTGTTGCGTTGGTTTGCTGCCGTTCAACACAACGCTACCGCCGTCTGTTGTTTGGCCGTTTTCCTGCGAGGAATACAATTTTCTTTTTTGTCCCTTACACTCTCGAAAGATGGCGTGAGAAAAATGAGCTCAGGGATCATTCATTTTAATTCCACAAGTGTGCTCAATTTTAAAATTTCGTGGCTTTTAAGAAGGTTGTAAAAGGTCCTTATTCAAAGTGTTTTTACCTTAACGAAAACGTCTTCGAAGACAACCTCGCGAATGCCATGTTCTCGCCTATATTCGGCTCGGCGATCAAGTTCGTCGCGTGGATTTGCATCGAAATCGTGACACTCGTAGTCGCGGGGTGCCACTGGATCATAAATTGGTTCATCGTCGTCGTAACCATTTCGTCGTAATGGTGGTGGTGGACCTCGACGTGCTTGATATTGTTGCTGTTGTTGCTGTTGTTGTTGGCCTATTCGGATGACCGTTGTATTGTTGACTTTGCGCATCCATTCTTGTGACTAAAAATTTTTCAAGTGGAAAATTGTCATTTTGTAGTTTGTGTTATTATTAAACTACAGATATTAAGATACCATTCCACAAAATCGTTTACTGGGTAGATTACCACATAAAGAAATACATTTTGAATCGTAGTGTTTGAAATTTCATAAAAAATAGTCTTTCCGCGCCAAAAGAAAAGAAGAAAAAAATTTCCAAAACATTTGCATGTAAACGTGGATATTATATCGCCTACTTGCAGCAGAGTGAAAAAGGGTATAAGGAAGCCAACAAACCATTTCAAAACAAACTCGTAAAATTGTTCAATAAATTCAAGGCATTTATTACGACACATACACGGCGTCTCGTAAAGTGCATCCCGTGGATTTCTAGAAAACACCCACCGCGATACAAACAATAGAAGTTGAAAAAAGTTATGAATTATGTAATAAAACTGGACGAACCTGTTCGACATGGCCCCAATCCGATGGACCCGCAGCGTTAATACTCGGTGGACAGCAGTTCCTGCAAAATAATATTTGAGAGATCTAAATATTTGCAGCGTTAACTTTCTAACGCGTAAGATTCACTTTCACTACTGCTTCATTAAGAGGTGGGTGGGTTGGACGACTGATTAGAGCTGGCCGTAGTACGTTATAGTTTTGCCGCAGGTAATTGTTGTGCGGTTGGCATGGTATATACCTATACGTGATTGCGAGGTGCGATATAATGAGGAGGTGTACTGGCTTTTGTTTCTCTTTCCTGTTTTTAGTGTCAAGGCGTATGTATGTGTGCGTTTTGATTTTTTTATTGTCATAAAGGCGCGAAATAGAAAGTTTAATTTTTCCTTTGCAGTTGTGTATTCCCCGTAAAAAAAGCTTTTTTACCGCGCTTGGAAGACTTACACGAACTATTTTAATGGGCGACTTCCAATCGCATACTAACTCACCTCAAATTTCGATTGCACGCGTTAGTCGGGCGATGTTGTGGCGATCCAACAAGGCTGGAATTTTCCGAGTCATAACCACTAGAACCACGCATCCAAAGTGCTTCGGGACAGTCGTAAACATGATTAGCCGTTGATTGTGCGTTTGGCGATGGTACGATCGGTCGATTGACGAGCAGATCGAGCACTTGCGCGCTACGCATCGACTCTATTGCACGTTCAAACGGCAAATCCGTCAAACTTTGACCGTTGCACCACGTGATTACGTCGCCAGCTTTCAAACCTGCCGCTCGTGCTGGGCCACCTTCTCGCGTGCCCTGCAAGAAAAGTTCTTAAAATGGAAAAGTTTGCCTTTTGCACGTAAAACGCAGTATGGATGAAGCTTGCTCGCGAAAATTAGATTATCGTCTCGAACAATAATTCGTTTTCGATTTTCTTGAGTCTTTTGCTCCGAAGACCATTCCATTTCATTTCTACACACCAGAGTAATGAAAAAAGCATGTACTCACCTGCACCGTGAGACCAGGTACCAAACCCCTGCATACGCCACAACCAAGCCTGCCTTTCTCGCCGAGGACCACTCTAATTCGAATTTCATTAGTAACCGCGTCGCCGAACTGCAACTGCTGCTGTTGTTGCTGTACCATGTGCCATGTTACAGGGTCATTGGGATTACTAACAGAGGAGAAAGAGAGAGAGAGAAAAAAGGTCAGGTGCGTTGTTTTCGAACGTTTAGAAAGTTTCGTCTGTTTTTCTCACTCTTTGACTGGGATCATGCCAACGCTACGGATCTTTAGCACGAGAACTTGCTGGTTCTTGGCTAAGAGTGCTACCTCTTGGTGGACTGCGTCTTCCACTGGATAACCATTCACCCGAAGAATTTGATCTCCTACCTATATTTTTGTGTAACAGAGAAACTTTTAACAAGAATATGTATACATTGAATTTTCTTTTAACGTAAAACTTGTTTCACGAATGAGAGCCGAAAGTTCTTAATTAGTGCAGTTGAGGAAAGACTTTCCTCACTTTAGGAACCATTTTCTCGGTTGATAGGGTAGTCAAAAATGCAACGCAAGTAATGAAAACAATTTTGTTTTGCGCAATATTTTAAAGGGAGCTCACCCTGAGTCCATGACTGTGAGCTTCGCCGCCAGGTACAACGTCGCTGACGTAGAATCCAGCGGCATATTCTCGACCGCCACGAAGCGAGAAGCCAAAACCCGCAGCACCGCGTCTGCGTAGTTTCACATTCCTCGTTACACCGATAACTGCCATTCGACTTCCACCACCACCGCCGCCGCCATTGCCATTTACGGGATGCGGTGGTGGTTGCTGTTGTTGCTGTTGCTGCGGCATCGCTGTGCTCGAGCCGCATGAACCGCCGCTCGACCCGGCTCTGCGTGAAGAAAAACAAAATTGAAAAAAAAAAAAACATACAACGAAAAGAAGTTATCGTAGTGAAACCTCCAGCAATTTTTTGCCTTCGCGTACTTTCCATCTCTAGAGTTTGTACGCAGAGAGCGGTCACTTCCTACCAATCATCGTTTCCGATTTTTTTCTCTTTCGTTACAATAATCAGTGCGTCTTGGCGTATTGGCGAAAGTCGATAAACACTCGGTCTATTGTTCCGTGCCACTAAAATTTCGTTTTTCCTATTCGTAAGTTTTCACCGGTCTCATAAACGAAATAAAAAAGGCAAGCATTTTCACCCGATGTATAAAACTTTCGACTCGTTAAACTACTCGCGTCGTTGTTATGAAATATACCTTGCACTTGACGACGACGCAGTGATGAAACGTGTTTTTTTTTCCGCTAATTTATTAACGAGTTCTTTCTAGTGGAATGTGCGCAGAGGCAGCGAAGATCGTAAATCCAAGGTCCACTGGACTGTTCTTTTGTTTATTAAGTGTTTAGCAACATTGTTGCCGAATAACTTTGACAAGCGGTCGTTCTTAGGACGTAAAAATGCTTGTGAAATCCCGCTCGATTATAATATTTTCAGGCGCGCGTGCGAAATGCCGAAACGCAACAATTGGCATTCCAATTCTTGCAGCGAGCAATAAAGGAAATTCGAATTTGCGGCGTATAATATCGTCCCGAATAGATATTCCAAAGCGAGTGTTGGCAAGGTCGAGTTACTCTGCAGCAGGCAGCAGCGGCAGTTTACCGTTAAGTTACTCGCAGCTAAGGCCAAGCCTCGAGGCTAAATTCCAAGAGAGAGAAGTCTTATCGAACTTCGGAAGCTGCCGCTGCTGCTGCTGATGCCCCATTCTGCTGCTGAGATTTGTCTACTACGACTAAGAATGATAAATCCAAGTCGGTTCGAAGGCTTAATTGAATCCATCGCGATACTTGCACTTTGATGTAAAGAAAAAAAAACTATCGAACCTACAAGTAGGAATAAATGGTCATATGTGCCTTCGTTGCGGATCTTACATGCTGATCGTAACAACGGACGAACGAACGATCCTCGCATTAAGATTAAGAAGCAACTTGAGCGTATCTTCGTTCTTCCGCGTTCTCTCACTCGACGATGAATTCAATCTCCTCTAATGACGCCATGTCGCTTTTCCGCCCCCTTTCTAATTATCTAATTATCCACGACGATGATGGCGGTATATACATAATGAATGCTTGTCGTCATCTGTGAATCGTGTTGAACATACTGCGGAAGATATCGATGGGAAGTATTTTCTCAAATTTTCATCTTGAGAATAATTTATGTAAAACTATGAAAGAATTTTTCGAACGAAAATGAAAGGTTTGTTTCTAAAATTGTCCGAATTATTCTTATAAATTATAAAAAAAGTTTTTATAAATGCCGTAGCATTTAAAAAATTTTGTTTGCTGTGAGATGAGAAATCAAACGGAAGATGATAAAAAAAAATAAGAAAAAACTTTAACGAAATTCACTTGTACGGTGTGTAATAAATGTTGAGTTGGTATTATGAAAAACGCAAATTATTCTACATACGTAGGTGAGTCGAGAGAAGCTTGGTAAATTGATTGAAACGCGTCTGAAATACGAGGCATTGTGTCTTATTATTATCAATCTTTCTATTAAGAATCGCAAAGGAAGTGAGACTTTGCATTAACATCACGAAATTCGATCGCGCCGTTATACACTATTCCGTATATTTATTCGTATCACGCGTTTTAAAACTGGATGGGTGTGGATTCTTCCCAACGAAGTCTGCCTCGAGCTATACGAAAAGCCCTCGTTTGCAATTAATTTTATTTACGATTTTATCGTATATATGCGAGTCTCTTTGGGCCAGTGGGTTGAACGAGTCATTTTTTCGAGGCGTGTGTGCTATGTGATTATTCCCCTCTCGCTCGTGATTGATATGAAGGATTTATTTTGTTTTTTTGGCCTGGATGCGTGTGTAGTTTAAGACCTGTGGAATTTTCCGCAGCGTCCTTGAATGCTTCGAGGTAAACAAAAGTTCTTGAGTGTTCGAACCATTCATGCGGTTCAAGATGAAAATTTCTTATTTTACGATGAGTTTCGAGTTTCGAAAAAATGTTTCTAAGAAATGGAAAAAACGTCAAAAAGACATTTTTATTATATCAGTTACTTTTTAACAGATTTTCTCAAATAAAATAAGTAAATTTACTGAATTATCAATAATTATATAATTTAACATAAAAAATGTTCTTATGATACGACGCAAATGACCACGAATCGGTTAAAATCAAAAACCGAAAAGTATTTTTGAGAAAATAGAGTTTTTATCCATATTTTAAGTGAATTTTTCAACGTTTAAGTGATTTAGTTCGTCAGATCAAGAGAAAAGTTGTCTTTTTAAGAGAAATAATATTTACATTAAGAAATTTAAGCTAAATTTAAATTACTTCAAAATAACCTTTGAAAAGATTGTAATTTCGATTTCGGTCATCGACCTCAGCACGAAAACTAAAAAATCAGGTCAGATGACCGTTCTCCGAAAGTGAATCTCCAATGCCGTACGCGTTTTACCCAAATTCGTCTCTCCACGAAACGTTACGTGTTTGTCGTGTGGTGTTAGATTATGTAAATGAAAAACCGTTGTGTACAGGTTGTCAAATCAATCTTCTAAGCCGATAACCATCGATACACATTTTATAAACTCGCGCGCTAAAAAAAACACGAATATCGCGCACTGAGTATAATTGCTTGTGACGCATATATTATATACCTTTCTCCCTCAAACCTGGAGAAAAACAAGGAAGCATTTATGTGTATTTTTATATTTTGTGGGAAAAGTCTGAATTAGTGACTTTTACTTTGCATTTCCACTTTTCTTCGCTCTCCGTTTTGCGATTTTTTTTTTGCATGCGAATTTTTTTTCTCACACAAGCCACAATTTCGTTGCAGACATGTAGAATGTGTTTAGGTGTAAAGGAAATTTCATTCTTTCACGTTGTTATGGGAAAGGAAAATTTTCATAACACGAATTATAAAAATTGTAAGCTCTCTTGCCATCGTCGCATTCGATCTGCATCACTTTCAAGGATAACGCACTGAACTTTCACTGTGCGAAAAACTATAAGCTTTTCGTGGGAAATATATAAATCGCACGGATTATGTAAAAAAAAAAAAAAAATAATGCAGCAATAGCTGCTATTTGCAAGTAGATCGACGAATTACTTTTATTACGTGTGCTTCCATTTTTTTTTGTGGGTTAATTACCTGCTACTGTTTTGCGTCTCAAGATACTCGCGCAAATTGTGCGTTTTATGTAAATATGCCATAGGAGACCGCTTTTTTTTGCAAATGCCAATATATATTTGCCGGAAGACGTTGCGAAAAAATAATCCCATAATCTTCGACAAATATAACGTTATGAACGTTTGAGACTTATAAAGACGGGAAAACAGTCATTTACGTAATTTGATGATAGCGAGAAAAATTATCATACGTTGCCGAAGATAATTTGAGTTTTGTTGTAATCAATTAGTGAAAAGCATTCGGTTCACTAGCGTCAAAGATAACATATATATTTTACCTTTCTAAGTTACGTAAATATATATATATATGTGTGTGTGTGTTCGAGCTATTTATCAAGTTCGTATGTATGTGTTGTATAATAAAACGTCTACGGAATAAAAAAAAATAAAAACCATTGTTTTTTCCTGAAACATGTGCATCGGATAAAGACGAAGCCTCATCAGTTGTGTGTTACGTTCAAGGCCATCGCGACGACGACGAAGACGATGTGTGTCAGGGGGTCAGTGACTCGGCCGGTTTTCCCGACGACGTTTTCTCTCGGGTCATCACTGGTGCGGCCGCGTTCTTTCTGGAACGCATCTCTCTTCGTCTGGTTATTTTTTGTTTTTTGTTTTTTCGGAGCGAACGGCACTTTCAGTTTTCGACGAATCGCTATGTTAATGAATCGCTTCTACGACATATCGACAGTACTTTGCGCGTTCGGATACATATTTGTCTTTGTATTATAATTTTGACCGCGAAAGGGTGCGAGAATGATAGTAACCATGTAACCTTGACAATAATTGACTGCCGAAGGGGGTCGTGAGAAATGATCACACTTTAACTTTATTGTTCTTTATGCGATGATTTTAATTGCGCGTGCGTGTACTCACGCATGCTTTATAATGATGATCGTTGAACTACAAGTATGTACGCGTAAGATAACAAGCGATAATAGAGAGGAATGAGAGAGAAAGCTTGGAAACGCTTGGTTTAACCCGCAAGGGTACGCACTCGGTTATTTATATTCGGATACCGCACTTTTCTGTTATGCACATCGCTTATTTTTTAAGATGACTTATTATATTAAACTTTCGAATTGTTAAGTGTTGCATCACAAGCTTAACCATAAATCGACTGTCTTGCAATGTTAGTGCCAAATCAGATTGAAAGACAAATTAAAAAATAGTTTTTCAAATTTTGAAGCACAATTATATCAACGCTAAAGGAAAACCGACTTTTTTAACGTAATTAACGTAATTAATCTGATTACTTTTACCAAATTAGAATTCGTTTCGATTATTATTTATTTATTAATTTATTGGTATAACATTTGACAAAGCTCAGTAAAAGCAAGAATTTTGTGCGTTTTTAATGATTAATTGAGAAAAACACGTAAAAAATAAATAATTTCATATTCTGCAATGAAAATGTTTGTGCCGTTTGAATGAGTCACTTATCTTTATATATTATTAAATGCAGACTCGAGATGAAGAAAATGTTCGTGGGTTGACGATCATCATTTTTACCATGACTGTTTTCTAAAATGATTATTTTCTTTTTTCCAAGCAAACACACGCGTCAATCACAGCGAATGTGCGAAGAGGAGTATATGCACATCCGGGCGGACTCCATATTTGCTTTATAAAGTAAAGTGGAAAACTCTTTCGCACGCTCGATTAGAAATCGCAGTCGCAGCTCTCTCT